AAAATTTCATCCATGATATGCATCACAGTAATTCCAGATGTCTATTTAGTACATTATATGGTCATCTTATGCTTACAAGCATGTAGTAGAGTGTAAAAATATGAGAAAATATGAAATATTAAAACCGTACCCTGCTTGATACAAGTACATTCATTCATATTCCCTGCAGTTCTGTTTATTTTTTTAGTCGTGGATTCAAACATTGCTGTAAAGGTGGAAAACCCTGTTTAACGGAGTTCCAGCGGAACTGAAAGAGCTGACAGACAGGTTTAAACACACACATACACACACACACCTCTTCTCAGTCGTGTGTGTGTGTGTGTGTGTGTGTGTGTGTGTGTGTGTGTGTGTTGCAGTCATAGGGCAGGGTGTCAGGGATTAAACACTCAACATTAATTACGCTCAACTTTTCAGCAGGATCACCCACTCAGCTGTTTGGAGTGTATTGTTTCTGGCGACTGTCTGTGAGCATGTGTACGTAGCATAGCCTGCCAATAGAGGACTCGAGACATAATAAAACACTCATCAAATGAGGTATTTGAGGACATTAAGCTATATACATTCATAAGTCAATGTCCACATTAAGTTTCCCATTCTTTCCCTGATTTATGACCAAATTACCCTGAATCAACGCTAGAAACACATCACCACCAGAGAAAAATGTGTCGGGTGTGTGTTAACCCATCATCAGCTGGTCATAAACTATGACCTCAGCCTAACTTCTAGCCTGAATGAATGTTGGATGTTAAGCAGAAGTCATCAGAGGACTTTCTAGTGCACAACACTACTATGATTTTAACAGGTGAAGCAGATAGTTTGATATTTTCATTTATGAAATACATTTGTCTTTTTTCCATTTAAAAATATCTTACGATAAGATAGACATTTACTTTAGATGTAAAATTGAATAAGATATTAGTACTTCAGAGCTTATGTCCAGAATTATATGAATAAAACAAAATAATAATAAAAATCCCCAATGGTCTGTAAAAAAATAAACTTAATTCAAGATATATTCCCTATTACCAAGATATTATTTTATATTTACCTAATATCTTAAATTGTGTTGCTTCTCAAGTAAATCACATATTTTTACTGGACAATGGGACAAAAAAAAATATTAATTTGGACATCATTGGATCTTTGTACATCTTCTGGCTTGCAACATGTCAGTGAACTTGTCAAAACCTTGATGATTTAAAGGGATAGTTCACCCAAAAATTAAAATTAGCCCATGATTTTCTCACCCTCAAGCCACCCTAGGTGTATATGACATTCTTCTTTCAGACGAATACAACCGGAGTTATATTAAAAAATGTCCTGACTCTTCCAAGCTTTAATAATAATTAATAATAATTCATTACATATAGCGCTTTTCTAGGCACTCAAAGCGCTCCACATGGAAGGGGGAATCTCCTCAACCACCACCAATGTGCAGCATCCACTTGGATGATGCGACGGCAGCCATAGTGCGCCAGAACGCCCACCACACACCAGCTTACTGGTGGAGAGGAGACAGAGTGATGAGGCCAATCAGTGTATATATATATATGGGGCTTATTAGGAGGCCATGATGGACAGAGGCCACTGGGCAAATTTGGCCAGGATGCCGGGATTTTTAATGACCACAGAGAGTCAGGACCTCGGTTTAACGTCTCATCCGAAGGACGGTGCTCTTTGACAGTATAGTGTCCCCATCACTATTGGGGTGTTAGGACCCACACAGACCACAGGGTGAGCACCCCCTGCTGGCCTCACTAACACCTCTTCCAGCAGCAACCTGGTTTTCTCAGAAGGTCTCCCATCCAGGTACTAACCAGGCTCAGCCCTGCTTAGCTTCAGTGGGCAACCAGTCTTGGGCTTATCAGGATGATAAGCTTTATAATGCCAGTGAATGGCCGTTTATGTTTTGAAGTCCATAAAATGCATCCATCCATGATAAAAGTGCTCCACATGGCTCTGGGGGGTTAATAAAGGCGTTCATGTAAGAAAAATATCCATTCCACATTTAAAACTTTATCGACTAAAATAACTAGCTTCCGGCAGACGGCCTACGCAAGTCGACTTACGCCAAAAGAGTAACACTTGACCCGATGTATGACGTGGGATGTAGGAGTAGCGTAAGCTTTGACGCCTCTCGCGATTCAAACAAACAGGGCTGGGCGACAAACTCAAGCTCCTCCGAAATTTCTCTTAAAAAAATTGTGAATAGTTTTATGTTTTGCTCTATCATCGGCACTCCCGCGTTCGTCAATGCGTCAGGTCAAGTGTTACTCTTTCGCCGTAAATCGATGCGTACGGCCGTCTGCCGGGAGCTAGTTATTTTAGTTGATAAAGTTTTAGCCGTGTGGATTATTTTTATCATGGATGGATGCACTTTTATCATGGATGGATGCACTTTTATCATGGATAGATGCACTTTTATGGACTTCAAATAAGAAACCGGCCATTCACTACCATTATAAAGCTTGGAAGAGCCAGGACATTTTTTAATATAACTCCGATTGTATTCGTCTGAAAGAAGAATGTCATATACACCTTGGGGGTGAGTAAGTCATGGGCTAATTTTCATTTTTTGGGTGAACTTTCCCTTTAATAGGGGATGTTCTTGTTCTTGGAGAACATTGGAGGTCTCTCTGACGTCAAAGAGATGACTTGTTTGAGTTTAGTATTTGGTTTCCCTGGAAAATCATGTTTCCAATCCATTAGAAAGTTACTGATGAAGAAACATACATGACAAAAAACAGAATGTGGAGGAAAAGTTGAATGCTTTAATTGGTTGGACATTACTGGACCAACATGTGTGCATGTGTTTGTGTGTACACTTGTGTGTTTTGGGGGGGGTAATAACAGGGTTTGGTATTCTCAGTGCCGGGAGGAACCTTGTGGTCGAAACCTGCGTGTTGGAGCCTGTTGGAGACTCTCTTTCTCTTTCTAAGGCTAGCCTTTCCGTCTCTGTCTGAACATGTCCTGACTTAACAGTAAATGTTATGGAATTCACACATGCCCCTGTACATTCATTCTGTCACTTACACAGCCTTATTGTGTCTTTCACTTTTATTTGTCTCTCTAATCCATTGAGCAGGCCCACGCGCGCTTGAACTCTGCAAAAAGCTCTGAAGAATTTAAGTGGAGAAAGACAAGTCTCTTAATATATTTGCAATATCTATGCAAATTAGCTTCTCAAGTAAATGTATTAGGGCCTTATTAGGGCCCAAGCACCGATGGTGAGAGGACCCTATTGTTTTAAATATTTGTAAACTCTTGTGTTTGTTCATTAAATGGTTTTGATTGTTTTCAGTCATCAATACGACACCTCAGCTCTGTTTAATGTGAAGTGGACAGATCCATAATTCCAAAAATATTTTCAAAAAATCACTGCAGAAAATGTGCGAAATGTCTTTTCACTCCCTCCTTCTTTCCTTCTCAAAATACTAGAGGGATAATTCACCCAATATAAATTGAGTGGTTCCAAACCTGTATGAATTTCTTCCATAAAACAGTTATAGAAATTAGAAGTTTAGCAGAATGTTGTTGCTGCTCTTGTGAGTCCAAAACTTTGGTCCAAGTGAGTCCAAAAATTGGTCATTCAATGGAATGGATTGGAATTGAGGTCTGTATTCACCGAAAATTGTGACTAAAAATGACTTGGCCATTTTCACTGTATAGAAAAGTACAGTTTGAACATTCTGCCTAATTTCTCCTTTTTTGTTCCACGGAGAAAGTACATTCATTCAGCTTTTGAAGACATGAGGGTGAGAAGGTTCATTTCTGGGTGAACTATCCATTTTAATAAGGGAAAAGCAAATGAAATAAAAACATTACATCATTCCACACAATATGCGGGACTGTTTGAAAAGGAGTGTTACCGTTTGTCTATTTGTGTGTGTTCATGCGTGCAAGTTGGTAAGAATGCAAGTGAAAGAGAGAAGGTTCAGACATAAGCCCAGCCAAATGAAAACAGCGTGTGAGACAGAAATAGAGTGAGAAACAGAGAGGGGGTGAGCTTGCGGTCGGTGTCAGGACCGCTGGATTATAGACTAGGACTTCTGCTGAGTGCAGAGAGAAGTGAGGAGTAACGGGAGGTGAAGAGCAGAGATTTGAGAAGTACATGTCTGCTGCTTTGTATAAAATAAGTTGGAAACAACGACAAGAAAAAAAATCCCCTTCTGTTTATATATATATATATGTATATGGCGACTGGCACCGTCCTTGGGGAACTTCCTGCTCTAACCAGATACTTCCTGTTATAGTAAAACCACAGGGCTGGTGAGGTTGTTGATTTTAGGTTGGAGAGGAAAGAGGTATTTTCTTGCAAAATTAGGGGAATGATGATGTCACCTTTTAAATAAAACTCCACCAAATACCTCTTTCGTCCTAGTAATCAAAGGATTATTTGATTTGATTTCTGTACAGATCCTTGGCCTTTATCCCTACTATCTAATAAGAAATGTTCCTGTTAGTGGCCTCTAAGAATTCCTTAGAGAATGTTGGCATCACAAAAATGACATCATGGTTCCCACATGTGAAATGTCTCCCTTGCCCCTCCCCCTTTTAGTTACTTTTCCTCACATACCCACGTCTTGTTTGTACAGGTGGCGTAAGTAGACTGACAGTTGGGATGGTCATTTGGAACAACAGGGTGTTATTTCTTGCAATTATCTGCCAAGGGCATTCACCAATTATCACATTAAATGTGATGTGTTCATCAACACAGATGCATTTCATTTACACTTATGCATTTGGCAGACATTTTTTATCCAACACGACTTACATTTCTCTCAAGTTATACTTTTACATTTGATCAGTTCTTGCTTTTCCTGGGAATCAAACCCTTGACCTTGTCGTTGCTAGTGCCATGCACTACTGTTTGAGCTACAGGAGAGCTTTTGATTTTCATAGATTTTCTATGTGACGTAATCCCAATGGAATAGTAGTTTTGGACTGCGTGTATCAATGGCGAATGTCTAAATTCAAATATCTCTCTGTGTTTCCTCCAGGCAAAGGGGTGGAGAGATGGGACCTCTTCATCCAGTGAGAACCCTCGGCCAGTGGTCAGGAGCGGGGCAGATGGGTTGGGCATGTCCTGGCAGGGTCCACGTACACTGGTGCTCCAAAAGAACTCTCAGGGCTTTGGTTTTACGCTACGTCACTTCATCGTTTACCCGCCAGAGTCTGCCCTGCACACCAGTTTCAAGGTGAGGAGGATGCCTGCCAACTATCACAATATCAAGCCCTGACTAATCAATCATTCAACAACTGAAATAAGACATCTAATATGATACAAAACTCAACAAACTGTCTCTGTCTCTTAACTAGGGGTGCAACGGTACACGGTAAAATCCCGGACCGTTCGGTCAGCCCTGCACGGGACAATCTACCCTCGTGTCCCGCGGGACTTCGGTTTTGCCATTGAGTTCGCGCTGATCCTTTTAGTTTTTGCTTTAAACCTTGTTTATACTCGACGCGTCCGCACGAGCGCGAGTCTCCACTGACTGCGCGCGCACCTCTTCAAACGGCCGAGGCGTTTATACTTGACGCGCTCGCCGTTGTGCTATTCTGTGAAACGACAGGGGGCGACCTGTCGAGGAGTAATTTTCCTCTTAACCACCAGGAATCAGCAGTGAAGAAGTAGTTTGCCGTTTATTAGTAGTTTATTAATTGCTGATTCATAAAAGAGTAATAAATGCAGTAGGTTTATTGTAGCCTACTTTCACTGCATGTAAACTAGTTAAACAATTGAAGCCTGAGTGTTTAAACCTTAATTTCATCAGCAGGGCTTACTTCTGCTATTGTAGGCTTATTTTGTAAATGTAACCAATTACTTTAGACAAGTGCAAACTGGGTGCTTAATGCAAATGTGTTCCTATTCACAAAATGAGAGGCTTTTATGGTCGCCCATCAATGCAAATGTCTCTGTGTATAGAAGGATCATAAACATGCTGGTACAGACGTACCAGTTCGGCCTGATTCGGCTCGAAGTCGTTCATCTTCACAGAAACACAGAAAGATAACCGGTGCATTGGGATTCCATACACATTGATGTTCTTCCTACTGTGACATTCTGTTTATGCTCATAAGAAAAATAAAACATATTTTTGGGATGAAATAGCAGTCTCTTTCTGCACAAAACATGTACCGAAACCGAACCGAGACCGTGGCCCAAAAACCGAGGTACGGACCGTACCGTGGGCTATCTGTACCGTTGCACCCCTACTCTTAACTACAAACAGTAGTTAAGTAGTGCTCATTCAGCCTTCGAGGCCTTCTATCTTAAAAAAAAAAATAAAGTTCTTATAAAGAAACTTCTTATGAAGAACCATTTGCAATATCAGGGCTTAATAAATATTCTGGTATCAAATTTTTGAAACTTTAAAAAGACACATTTTTGGCATCAGAATCTAAAACCCCTTTTTATTTTTAAGGGTTTAAGCCACACTTGCAATTGTGGTTGGACTTGACCTCAGAGACCTCAGAGCCAGACTTGCATCATTTTTCCTTTGGTCTTTTTTTCTCTTTAGAAAAAGATGCTAAAGAAGCAGGGAGAGATACAGTGTAATCTACTAATGAACTTAAAAAAAGGGACAGCTTATACAAAGAAAGCCATGAGATGCCTAATCGTGTTTGGTCACATGACATCTGATTGTTGGAACTACTTTTTCATGCTGTAAAATGTAGATATGTGCAGTTATTAACTTTTAATTATTTTGTTTTCAATTATCAAAAGCCATTTACCTTGTTGATGTAGCCTAATATAGCCTGATTCAGTCATATAAAATACTTTTTCAATAAAACCAGTTGGTTTTAATATTACTGCTCGAAACAAACGGTGCTCTGCTGTTTTACGGTGCACTACTATGTGTCTTATTAAATGTTGTAAATGCAGTGGACATAAAGTGTCTTTGTCATTTTTATGTTATAAACAGGGCATATACTCTGGTTCAATAGTTTGGGGTCAGTAAGATTTTCTTTTTGAGAAATTAATACTTTCATTCAGCAAGCATGCATTAAATTGATCAAAAGTGACAGTAAAGGCATTTATAATGTTACAAAAGATTTCAGTTACAAATAAACGCTGTTCTTTTGAACTTCTGGAAAATAAATGTATCATGGTTTCCACAAAAATATTAAGCAACAGGATTCTGAAGGATCATGTGACAGTGAAGACTGGGGTGATGATGCTGAAAATTCAGCTTGGCCATCACAGGAATAAATTACATTTTAAAATATATTACAATAGAAAACAGTTATTTTAAATTGTAATAATATTTCACAATATTCACTGTTTTTACTGTATTTTTGATAAACCAAACTTTTGATCGGTAGTGTATATTATTGAGAGCGGGCTATAGATGTTTGAATGGTGTGTGTGTGTGTGTGTGTACATGATGATGGAGAAACAAAGCCCCATTATGATTGGTCTATATGGCATCTCTTCTCTGAGCAGCTGCTGTTTGCTTTTCTTAGTCAAAAGGCCTATTTTGTGTTTGACTGGTACCACACGCACTCTGAGCTGGGCCGTACCAGGGCTGCTGGGACAATGTGTTCTGGTCCATTCTGTTCTTCACTGTTCCCAGTGTCCACATGGTCACATGACTGTGTGACTCTCTCCATCTGTCACCACATCACCTTCTAGTTAATGCACACGTGGACTTACATTTTGATCTGTGGGTTGGATGCTGATTATAAACTTTAAAGTTGTGGTCACTGTCCGTCACAGTCCCTACTCATCTGTTTGCCCCCCCGTCTGTCTTTTTCCCGGCACGGCAAAGCCTCAGTATTGTGTGAGTTTGTTAGGAATGAGCCCAGTCAGCGCAGACTAAACATTGGGCTGCCCACTTTAAACTGCCTGATCAGCGTTGCACGTGTGTGTGTCATTTGAGCCTCTGGTTTGCAGTCTGGTTATTTTGTGAAGGTTGTGCATGTGTGTTATCTAAACTGTGTCTGTTGTAAATAATGATTCACAATGAATATTATGAATACTATGTCATTTCCAGCACAGATGGAAAGATGAATGTGGTTGCGGCTCTTCTTGAGACCTTGCGTTTATGTGTGTTTGTGGCTAAAAGCAGCAAATTCACTGCTAGAGGGGTCCATATTCCCAGTGCTGACCTCTAGTGCTGAGACAGAGTCAGGGCTGATATCACTGTGGTTCATTTAGACTCTGTTACTCTGTATAAAAATAATGTAGATGTGCAGACTCAGTCCTCATCCTCAGTCATTGTAATTGCATGGAAATGAGTCAGTAACCAGCATATTTGTTCAAAATGTCTCTCTTTGCCTTCTAAGAAAGGCATATTGTTTTTTTAAATGTGACACAAGGATGAGTAAACAATGACAAAATTGAAATTTCTGAGTGAAACTAAAACTTTTAAAAAGCTCGATGAACACTTCTTGTTAAATACTCCAAGACTCCACTATCATTTCTATTATATGATTACTTTAAGTACTTATTACAGAGGATAATACCTCACTTAAGTATTGTGTCTTTTGTAAATTACTATTAAATCATTTAAGTTTAAGGCTGTCTAGTTATTTTGCAATGATCTAACTCTCCTCTTATTGTTTCCTGTTAGGATGAAGAAAATGGGAATGGAAAGGGTGAGTCTATCTTTTATATTTCTTTGTTTTTAAAAAGTCTCATTCACATTGTGTGAATTGCAGTCATTTCAATTTCTTATCATTTTGAAGATGAGTGACAAATCATCTTCAAATTATGAGTTGACTAAACTTGGCGTCACTTGATGAACACTTTGTTTTTCTCATTCTTCTTACATATATTATCATCTCTCAGTGATTGATCTGAGATTAAATTGTGGCATACGCAATTTAGTGTCACATGGTCAACGATCAGGGAATTTTGTTTCATTGCACCCCCTAGAGCAAGTTTCCATTCATGCACACTAAAGTTGCCCATCTGCATTCAAATCAGTCTGGTTTAAGCAGGGTTACAGGAATGAGCACAACTGATATGAGATATATATCATATCATTTGCAAGTTCTGTCATATGAAAAATGTTAAATCATTTCCATATCAAACAAAACAGATATCATATCGCAGTACTATATACCAATGTACTTGTACATGGAAACAGATTTAATAGAAATATGTCCAGATATCCAGTTTTTGATCATTTTCATGGCGCCCAGAATATTTTGTTGTATATTATCTGAACATGCAATATATTAAAAGAAAGATCAGAGCCTCTGCTTTAAAAAAAAAGTTTTATTCTAGCTTCATGCAAATTTGTTTTACCAACACTTTAATGTAGGTAAGTTTCATTTAAAAAAAGGGAACATTTTGAACAAAAAGCTTAGAAAATCACTTTTTTTCCCCAATGACAGCAATGTGCATAAGCAATGCTTTTATCGCTTGTTTCTACTCCTTTTTTGCCTGTGTTTTTTTGATCCGGAGATTCTCTACTCTTTCAGAAGATGCGTAATAGCGCGTAATAGCGCCCATAACACTGAAAATGAGGAAAGCCAGAAAATTCAGTCTCATAAATGATGGACAATTCAGTCCATTGTAGAGAGAGAGTTCATTTATTTGAAGGAATTATTTAAATAAATAAAAAAAGGTTTGAATGAATGACTCACTCATAAATACTTCACCTGTTTCATTACTGGATGAATCAACGTCCAGAAAATGAATCTCTGGAAGTAACGATTTAATGACAAATAAAAAAGAATTAACAGTAATTTCTCACCCCTTTTTGGTGTAAATGGTGTTTTTGATACAATCTTTATTTTGAAGCGTCAAGTTACTTTTACAAGGTGATTTATTCTATTTTGATCGCCACCACCATTGTTTATATCCAAACTATAAACTTATACCCCAGTACTTCTGCGATAATTTTAATTATTGTAACAGAAATAATGATACTGTGGTTGAAAAGACTGTTTGTGAAGCTGTTTCATACCTGTATGTGACAACTGCTCTCTCGGGTCAGCGGAAAATTTGAATGTTCCACTGTGATTGTACTTGTCAAAAGGTTTAATAGACACAGCCGAATCATTGTCATTTAGGAATAAGATCGCGGGGGTGTTTTAATTTAGATCACAATCATTTAACGATGAATCGTGCAGCACTACTTACACATATAGAGGTACACACACACACACACACACACACACACACACACACACACACACGCATGCATCTACACAGATTTGTGAAATGAAAGCTGCTTTTGACAGATCATCTGATGAAATAAGACAAGTATTGATACTACAGAAAGCCCCAAAGTTACTAGATAAGTTTAGTATTACTACGTCAACCTGTTTGTTGACTGTAACTGTCTGTCCTCATCTTATCATGTCATCATGATGAGGACACTGGCATCAGAGCAAAACACATTCCTCAGTGCCAATCTATACATCTGTGTATGTGTTTTTGTGTCTCTGTACAGTGAAGTCTATAGTAAAACGATTTATTTTTTGCACACCTAATCTTTTTAGTTTTCAAATAAGGCAACATGGTTTATTTCTTTAAAAAAAAAAAAAAAAAACAACATTACTGTGAATTTAAATTAACAAAAGTAAGTATTAAAAAAAAGTAAATTAGTGTCAAAGACAAATATCCCTAATTGGAGGTGATCCAAAGAGCATCGAGCTTCAATGGAAGAGCATCTAACTGTCTTTATAAAGTGTCAAATGATTAATCTCTACTTATTTAATTAGTGACCTTGAGATAGTCAAAATCTGAAATATTTTGTGCTCATTTTACATCATAATGGTCATCAATATTTTAAAAATGTACATAATCTTTGCTCATTTTCATTAGATTTATTAGATTTTCTTAGACTTTTTTACAGGGTCGTATTTAGAGCCACTGTTGTGTCTTCTGTTTTTGTACAAACTATGAATTTACTATGCGCTATGTATTTGTCTATGGTTGTGAACAGGGTTGTGTTTGTGTTTCGTGCAGGGCTTCATCGGAGTTGTCTGGAGCCCATGGACACCATCTTCGTTAAGAATGTGAGGGAGAAAGGCCCGGCCCACCAGGCCGGCTTGTGTACAGGTAAAATAGAGAAGAAAACTGTGTGTGTGCAGCTGAAATTATATGTTCATAGAAACGACATGACATCAGACTAATGGCCTGTTCACACAAATGTTTGGTATGAATTTTAATTTCAATGAATAGCTGTTAATGTGTCTGTTCAGAGTCAGACTGATAAAAAAAAAAAAAAAAAAAAAAAAAAATTATGAAGAGGGGTTGTAATTTCCATCTAACTATGATTTGGACATTGTAAATGTTAACCAGTGTTTTGTTTTATGTTGAATGGATATGAGTGTAACTGTATGGTGGACTGTAATTGGTGGTATGTGTGTTGTCCTGCTCTCTCGATTGTCCAAAACAATCTTTTTCTAAGAGAGACCAAATAGATTCAACTAAACTATAAAGAAAACTGGCCAAGCAATAAGATTCTCATTTTTGTTCACATGCCCAGAGCCGCTGGTGTTACATAAAACAAAGACTTGGTGGCCCTCATGAACAGACTTATTTATTAAGAGATGGTGAATAGCAGAGGAAGAATCCAGATCTGGCTCTCTTGTGTCTGTACTCTTGTATTTGTTGTTGTATTTTAAACATAACAGCAAATACAAATTCAGTATGAAAATCTGAATGGCTCCTTGAAAACTTTTCTTCTCTGTGACAAGCGAGTGCCGGAAACAAGAATTTGCATAATTTTTCGTGTACCTGTGTAACCAAGGTATTTTTGCTTTTCTATAAGCACCATCTATTGTCAGAGAAAGAATTTGCAATTTCAATCAGTTGAAATGTTTTTTTTTTTTTTTTTTTTTTTACACATTGGTCTGAACAGACACATCGCATATTGGACCAAATTCATGTTGGAGTGAGAAGGCCTTGAGTTTTTCAGTTTCACTAAGTTAACTAGCAAACCTCACATAACCCTGAAATTCAATGGAAAGTCAAGATAACTATGTTGTTGACGGTTTCAGTTCTGAAGAGTTTTTAATCCACAGTTTACACATGTATGATTGTGTTTGGTGTGCGTGTGTGTGTGTACACGGCTTTGAGTGCATAATGATTTTAGCTTTGATTATACCCACCCGGTGCACTCGTGTGCACACATATGTGATCTCTTGTTATGACTTGCCCATTTAACGCGATGATGATCTGTTTCTTCTTTAGCACCTGTCACAGATTCACAGGAATGTGTCTTATTATGTCACTATACTAAGACATTTTTGAAGTGCTGCTTGGTCATGCTTCCTGTGACTAAACATGGATGGTCCACTTTACTCTCACTGTGTTCAGACAAACCGAGAGAGCTTTCATGCAAGAGTGTAGTATGTTTACCATATTTGTTGCAAGTATCTATTCTCCTATAAACGCATGATCTCTGATAGATTAATATAGCCTCACTAATTTCAGACACATTATAATGAGATTTCCAAGGAGCCCGTGCACATCTTCCATGTCAACACAGGCAATGAATGCAACAGATCATGCTCTACCTCTGATTATTGTATTTTAACATGATTGGTAATGGGAGGCTCAACCTCTATTGACTCCTCCGACGGACCGCCGCTGGTTGAGTTGATCCCATAACCTAACCCTGACATGAACCCAAAACACACCCGTCATCTAAGGAAAACAGAGTGAACACATGGAATGAGTCTACTTAATCTTTATTATTCAAACAGACTGCACACTCTCTCTATGTAAAGAATGTTGCAACGTTTGCTTTTGAAAAAGAAACTTTAAAAACACTAAGCCCAATTATAAAATGATTAATAAATTATACTTTTGTATAATTTATTAGTAAAAGTAGTAAATAAATACTTTTGTTGATGACACTAATAGCAAAATGTGCAATATTGTTCAAATGTTTGGGTTTTTGAAAGTAGTTTATGCTCAACTAGGCTGCATTTAATTGATCAAAAATACAGTGAAAACTGTAATATTGTCAAATAGGAGTAAATTTAACTATTTTACTAAATTTTATAGTATTTATTCCTGTGATGTCAAAGCTGAATTTTCAGCATCATTACTCCAGTCTTCAGTGTCACATGATTCTTCAGAAATCATTCTAATATGATGATTTTCTGCTCAAGAAACATTATTATTATTATTATTATTATCAATGTTGAAAACAATTGCGCTGCTTAATTCTTTTTGTAGAAACAGTGATACAGGATTCTTTGATAAATAAAAAGTTCAAAAGAACAGCATTTATTTGAAATACAAATCTTTTGCTAAATTATATGAATTTTTATATGAAAACTTACTGAACTTAAAACATTTGAACAGTTACGTATTTGCTAATGTGTGAGTAGTGTTGGTTGTTTTGGTATTAAGTGAATTTAATAATATTACTGTTTCTGCAAAATGACATCCAGTATAATGGAACACATTTCTGGTTTATAAGGGGTACTTGAGCCTTATTGGTGGCTATGCACATTAGACAAAAAAAAAAAAAAAGGTTGGAAAACCCTGCTTTAAATGTTTGCCATATAAGTGTGTTTTTGTGTGTGAATTTGCAGGAGACAGGCTGGTTAAAGTAAATGGAGAGAGTGTGCTGGGTAAAACGTACTCGCAGGTCATTGCACTGATTCAGAACAGGTGAGCTCCTCAAGTCAAACAGCATCAAATAATCCATTCAAAATCAAAAAAAGTTCATTCCACTTTGTTGCACGAGCTAATGAAAATGAGGTTTTCTACAGCTATCCAGAACTAGCCTGGGAAGTAAATGCATATGATGTCTTGATCTACAACATTGTTTAAATGGTTGAGTTTAAAGTTGAACGAACAGAACATAACTAAACGTTTACACATGAGTCTTGTTCATGTGTGAATTTGTGACATACTGCTTGTTTTATGTAGCAGGATGACCTCAGGCAGTGTTTGCCGTCTGGACGATTATGTGCATTACTTAGAAAGGTTATTACAGATAATCGGACCGAATTGACCACAATGTAAATGGTGGCTTTGAACTCAAACCAAAACTATTAATGGAGATGGATTAATGGAAACTATAAATGTTTTTTACTGTAAACACTACATACTGTATATATTCTTATTGAATCTCATGCTCTCTTGTCTTTTCAGTGAGAGTGTACTGGAGCTCTCCATCATGCCAAAGGACGATGATGTGCTGCAGCTGGTAAGTGTACGTTTGAGCATTTTTACCTTTTCTCATACACCCACATTTACCTTACTGTCTTAAGAAGTGCATATTATATTATATAACTAAATTGTATAAATTTTTAAGAATTGTATTTTTCTTGTTCTAAGCATACATCATTAAATTAAATTACATGTATGCTTAATCTATTTAATATATGTCTTTTGCCACTTTGGTTAGTGAATGTATCTTGTTTTAAGGATTTTTTTAATTGTATTTTTTACTGTAAAACAAGGTAAAATAATGATTAAGAAAATGTTTTGAGATGTGAACATTTAGCATTTTTAGAGTATAGAATTTCGGTAACTTCTTGGTCTAGTTTTATTTCCAAAGTATAGCTAGTAAACCCACAACCTCAAAGGTGTGTTCACATTTCCCACACTTTTTTAACAACTCCAATGTCAGATTATCTGAACTACTTGTAGTAGTCATTATAGAGCAATGTGTGAGTCAGTAGGTTGCTTCAGCAGTATCTTTGAAGCTCTTTCATGCAAGAACTCAAACATCAGTCATGTCGTAAGCATTGTCATATGATTAGCACACACAAACATACAAATACTCACAAACATGTATGCATTCTTACAGCGCTCAAACATTCCCACTCGCATATTTCTTCAGTTCCACAAGATTGGACATGCAACTCACCAAAGGCAAAGGGAAACCTTTACACATGTGTGTGACATACAGACACATGCTTTATACACACTTCAATAAATATCCGTACGAGGGCACTCACGCTAGGCAAATTACCCATATAGCCTCCCAAGAGACCCCACTCCTCCTTACTCCACTATTCTTCCCTCCATGTCTTTCTCTCCTTCTCTCTGTCCTTCTACACACCCCTCCTTACACCCGCATCAGCTACATTCCAGAGATGACATCATCAGATATGTGGCCCCTCCCACACTCCCACAGGGCGGAGAGACGATGAGAGAGGGAGAGAGAAAGGAGGGAGTTCAAGAGCGTTGGGTTGGGTAGGGCTCATAGACAGAAAGAAAAAAGAGATACCGAGAATAACAGAGAGACGTGACAACGAGACATGAATTTGAGAAAGCACAAATCAGGACATAAGAGGTAAATTCAAGCTTTTAAGAGAACAATATAAAGAAAAAGAGAGCCGTTCGACACATTTGAGCTTTAAGGAATGTTTCACTCGATTAGTGAGTTTCAATTCTCTCTGTGTTGGTTGTATTTGCATGTATTAGCAGACTGCATGTACTATGCTGTGTTAGACGATTTGCTTGTCTGCAGTCAAGACAGCTTTTCGTCAGTGAGCCATGTCTCTGATTTGTTAATAAATTCTTAATGTTGCATATGTTGAGTTTGTGTCAGTGTGTTTTGAGGTTAGTGTTGATGGAAGGCTGGTGCTTCTGGTCAGCTTGACATCCTCTCTACAGTCACACAGTAGTGGATAATTTCATTTAACAAAAATTGTATGTACATTTTTTTTTTTTTTTTTACTGGAAAAACAAGAAAAAAAGATTTTTTAGCAGTGTAGTGAATCTCACATGAATCTCTCAATGAATATAATATACATTTCAGTTTTTTGTTTCCTGATGATTTTTCAGATCATTGAAGTTACAGTTGCCAAAGCTGTTTATTAAAATCATTATATTATTAGCAGTCATCCCTGTCACCTAAATGTTTTTAGATTAGCCAGGTTTGGTTTTTAAGGTGTGTTTGTGTTGGTGTTTGAAAAGTTGTATAAGCTAGTATTACACTGAAACTCTATTATGACACAATCGCATGATCAGTATATCGTAATGGTGTCTCATTGTCATAGAAATGTAATCTCTATGACCCCTTTTTTTCTACAAACTTTTCACCTATGACCCTTGAGGACTTTCTCACTCTCATTAACTTCAGCCACCCCTTTATGTTCTTCTAGAATTAAATAAGTTGTATCTCTCTCTTTCAGGCATATTCCCATGATGCCTACCTAAGAGGGAACAATCCATATACAGGAAAGGCCCAAAATCTTCCTCCACCACCCCCTGTTCTCTACCCTCCACGTACAATATCCCAGCCTCCTGCGGGGTACTCCCCCTCCCCTGCCCCAGCTTCCTCATACATGGGGCAAAACCAGCTGGACAACTGGAGCCGCTGGCACGGCTCTTCCTCTGGTCCTTCTCCGCCCCTTGACAACCGGACAGTCACTTCCAGCAACGCTGTCTGGGCAGCTGAGGGCAGGAACTGTGAGCCAGGAGGTGTTTGTCACAGTAGCCCTGCACACCGAACTGAGGAGATCCAGTATGGAATGACTGACAGGGGACAAATGAGAGGACGTTCACACTCATCTTCTTCCTCTTCGGGAGGAATTATGAGCCCATTGCATCATGCTCATTTTGCCAACCACAATGTGGGTACTGCCATGGGGCACACTGGAGGCCGCAAGGGAAGCCCTTCTCAGCCAACATCAACACCCCCATCCAGCCGCAAAGAACACACCCAACAAGCCCTTTCCAACTGGTACTACAGCCAGGTACCAGGCCGCGAGCGAGAACGGGAGCGATCTAGTTCTCGCTCCATGCTCCCACGCCATAGGAGTTTCTCACAGGACCGCCTGGGTGAGCTTGGTAGGGCCAGGCGGTCGCAGCAAGCAGGCTTTCCCCACAGTGCATCACAAGACACATTGCTACTGCTTCAGCAGAGCTCTGCAGCGTACGCTGATCCCTACTGGAACCAAGGAGACTGGCGTGGCGAGCATGCATATGGACAGCACCCATCTGCGGTGGGCTATGGGCGCAATTCCTCCGAAAACCTTCTAGCAACCCGGTACGGACACTCGGGACGTTCACTGGAAACTCTCGACAGAGCTGTGGGGATTCTCTCACCACGAGTTGAAAGATCCACTTGGGTCCAGCAGCCCCCAAACAGAACTGAAGGATATCCGAGACGTGGTGGACATTGTGGGCAACACGCAGAGTCACACCAACAAAAACAGTCCCACCAAACACAACACCACACACCCCAACACCATCAACACACACCTCAGCATCAAAACCTCACACATACAGCATACCAATACTCATCTCAGACTCCACAACCTCAGCAGGCAGCTCCACAGGCAAGACGTTTGCCTTCTTGCCAGAGTCTAGATGAGGAGCCGATTGGCTACCGTAGCTACAGCCCCTCTTTCAACCGCAAGACTGGCCGTATCCTGCAGCAGGCCCACTCATTTAGAGACCCCTCTTATACAGGTCCACGCCTCTGGACTCCTACACCCAAAACCAGTCCCCCAGAGGGGCTTCCACCCTCGGCCGCTTCTTCCCCAGCCCCACCAACCACCTCCTCTACAACTGCTATTCCCACACCCCCTGAAGGACAAGACAGAACTTACCGACCCACTAATCATGACAGAGGGGCAGGGGAACCAACAGGTGAAGCCCAGACACAGGAAGTAGTTCTGAGGCAGAAACCACCCACTGGCCGCAGGGGTGTGAACACCCATCGACATCCACATTACGCCATAGCACTTGACTCCAGTGACCCTCTACTCTTTACCTCTGACCCTACGGAGTCCCCTGCCAAAGCAGAAAGTGCTATTTCTCATCGCCGCACGAATGGAAACCTGCCACCACTATCCATAGATGATGACTCCCTCGCGTCGATTCCTTTTATAGGTAAGTCCCTACTGCTCAATGGCTTCTTTGCTGTCATGATCTCCATTTCATCTCGTATATTCTTGTCTTTGCTGCAGAAAACACATATACAAACTTGTTCCGTCCGGTTCTCGGTTTATCTGTTCCCATCATTTGCTCACTCTATCCTGCACATTGTTGTTATTGGTTGTTATAAGGAAACGGATTAACTATCCAGACACCATTAAAATAGACTGATGGGAATGTTAGAGAATGACTAACTACTTGTTTTAATAACTCGCAACCCCACTGGTCTTACCCTTCATTTCCTATGTCTGGTGAATCAATGTGCATGTCTATGCATTAGGTAAGGCTGGAATCTCCCATGGTCAGCCCGACAATATTAGTTGTCTGTGGCTGAATCAGACTTACTGGATTTAAATTAGTCCTATTTTTCTTTCTTCCTCTTCTTCTATTTCCACTTTTCCAGTGCCTCACCCAATTCCATCCCGTTTCTACAGTTCTATGCATTTGTTCGACGCTTCTATCCAAATTGACTCTGGGAAATGAACCCATAACGGTGGTGGGAACACTATGAAGCTTAAGGATTTGATAACCCCAGATGTTAGCTAAATCCTACAAAACCAAATTAAAGACACACCTTCAATTAGGGAAAAGGCTCATCAAGTAAATAATGTCTCAAGTTTTCTTTTAAAGGTTAGGTAAGTGTTAAGTTAGGGTTAATGTTATAGTAATTATGATTAGTTTGATTTGAAAACAGCAGATTTCTGTGTCTGTAGTTTGTATGTTCGATCTGGCCTGTTGCTCAAAGTGATCTTGTCTCTGCTTGCCTTTATTACCAAACCATAGTGCAAGAGGAAATCTGAAACAAAATGGATGGTTGAATGCAAAATATTCAAAACAAACTGTGATGGACATGTAGACACCAAAACTCTTACTGTTAAATGTGCTACACAGTTATATGGTTGCCTATGAATCTCTGTTTCCTCTAATTATATGTTTATAGCACAGCTGGATTCAAGTGGAGTGCTATTGATTTAGCAGTTTCCTTAAAAGCTTTCATTTGGTCATTTGCTTTCCTTTAACATTGCATTAGAAGTTGTAATGGCAGCATTAGAACAAAACCAATTCATTTTAGGGCTATTTCTTAGTGATTTTCTAATTGTTCTGTCATTTCACTGCTGGACATATTTTATGATCTGTTGTCTGTTGATTGCATAAGCTGTTGTTAGTGCAGTGCTTTCATTCCTGAGGAAGGTTAAGCCTGTAACCACTGTGCTTTGCATAAAAGTGCCCCACCTTTAGCATTTAGCACAGAAAAGAAGCACGTTCCTGCTATTGCACACCTGTACAGCACAACATGCCCCTCGCACAGAGTTAGAGCCTTCAGTTTGATTACATTTGTTTTTATGATCTTCCTTAGCCTACACTGTGTTTGTGTATATTTAGGATTATTGCAAGAATGTAACTACATATTTATGATGGGAGCAAGGGGTTGTGTCCCAGGTCCTGTTTTAGAGATTGATGAACGCAGAGAGGCATAACAAACTGAAACTAACAGAAATGCCCGCAAGCTGGGACATGTTACAGCATACTGATAAAAACACAACAGACATTCAGCAAACCGTCTTGCTCTACCTGCTATGTCAGTGGAGTTGTTTGTACTAGACCTTCTCTTTATTGATTTGGGGTGAATAGTTCTGAAACTACATTATTGTGTTGGTGTAATTGGATGTTTGGAGTCATATGGTATTCATTGCGTATGGCCATATAATAATGAATTACAGCACATGCAACAAACTAAAAGCCTATTCACGCCATGTCTGCATTTTCAGCACCAATTTAAAATTAAGAAGATTTTTGTCATTTTTATTAATCTTGTGAATTAATTTTGAATTCATGGGTTTATATTTTCAGTTTTAAAGTTTTAGTAATTTTGTCAGTTTTTTTATTAGTTTTTTGTAAATATGTCTATAGATTTTATTCATTTTTTATTTCAGTTTGAGTTAAATTAAATGAAAATGAGAAATGTAGCTGGAATAAAATAAGCTTTATGGGTTTTTTTTTTAGATTTGACGTTACTTCAGTTAACTTTTTTAAGTGTTTTTCATAATTTCAGTAAACTATAATAACCCTGGTTATTGCATAGCTTATTTAACATTGCATAAAAATAACACAGCTAAATATACTATTTTCTTTAAAGAAAAAACATTGGCTTTGTAATATCATTATTCATTCCAGCCCATATAAGAATAATACTCCATCAATTTGTATGAACACATTTTACTAAAACTTATACTGTTCATGGAAATCTCCAGTTCATTCCCATTGGAGGTTCTGTAAAGCTGGTCACAGTAACCGAGGCAGGCAAAGCTTAGTGAAGGATCAGTTCGTTCAGGTATCCAATATTTTTTCTGAGAAATGAGGAAAGTTTGAATTGTTTTGGAGTGAATGTAGTTGTTAGACCTAGTGTATACCTTTTGCTTTGTTGCATAAGACTTGTACTTTTTACAATTGTGTGATTAACTGAGAATGGCAGAAGGAAGAGTGGCAGGGAGCAGAGGTTTTGGGGTTAGGGGTGAAGGACACACACATACACACTCTCTCACATTCAGATATTACTGGACACAATCGACACACTCAGCTCTTTCTGCCCTCAATGTGGTCATTGTGTCTCCAATAAAAAGGGGAGGAGTCTTCACTCCACCAACCATTCACACACTAACATGCTATGCTATAAGCTAACTCGCCAGTCTCCCTAAAAGCCAAATACTTTTTTTTTTGGGAGAAATCCCTCACAGTGTTGTCAGGCCTGGTTTCATTTTGATTGGTGACACTATAAAAGGAAACCTCACCATGTTAGTATTTGTGTTCTTCACTCTTTGGTTTTGTGGATATGTCTGTAGAATGCATATCTTGGCCAGTGAGAGCCCATTGGAGGTACTCATACTTCTGATGAGTTGGGTTATTTACAGCATCTCATCTGAACCTCAGAATACGACAGTTGCATGTGACTGATGTTGAAGCAGTACGGATGGACTCTGTACGTGCAAGTGTTGTACTGTATGTCCATGAAGTAGACTCTATGGTGTGTGTGTGTGTGTGTGTGCATGCTCATACTCGGGCTTCAGTAATGAGGGCCTTTGTTAAACCCACAGAGCAGCTATTTCTGCCAGTGGCTGGAAAACAAGCACAGTCCAGATTCCACATCCTAGATTGGGAATGTTTCCGCCCCTGCTCCCTTTCTAGTGCGAGTGAGAGAAACAGTAGAAAACTTCAGAGAATTAAAAGAAGGATTCACTTGATTTAAGAAGACATTTCATTGCAGGTCTGTTGATGTTTTTGTGATGTAATCAGTGTTAAAGTGATAAATTGATGAATGTGATTGATGAATAAGAAGGAAAGGAGTGGATTCATACGGAGTCAGAAGAGATGGATGACATGAGATAAAGATAGTCACACTATATTATGACAGCTTTCAGAAACAAGAAGATCTATATTATACCTGGAGAAAGCATTCTGTTTCATCTCCACCCCCTCAACCAGGTTTTATGTTTTATTGATTTAGTCACCTGAGCTAAATGTCATGTGATTAATTAAGCAAGGAAATGACATCACGATAACACTGATTGGCCGATGACACCACAATAACACCTTTACTTTTACTACTATTGAATGATTGTCAATTGAGAACGATGCTCAGATGGTGTAGCCAGATCTACCTGCAGGGCCCTGCTGTTTAAAAGGATCAGGATAATCCTGTCTTTTATTTTATTTATTTTTGGATCAAAGCTATCCAAATATCCAAATTTTGATATAACATATAACATATGATATAAGGCTTATTCCAGATCAAAACCAACACTGGATTACATGATTCATTTCAGAATCCTTTTTTCCCTTCTTTAAACAGCCCATTTTGAAGATTTGATCTAGTCCTGTAGCCAAAATCTGATCAAATTACTTGTGCCCAGGTGCCAATAGGACCATGCTATCCAACCAAACCTTGACTTCTTGCTTAGAAACCCTGTTGTTCAGTGGTGCTTGTGCGCTGCTGCCACCTGATGGTGTGGATTGGTGTTGTTGCAGGTGGTTTGCCAGTTGACAGTATCTCTTTAGTCACTGACATACAAATGTTCTGCCAAATTGTGTTTTTGATGTGATCATGTTGCCCCTGCAGGGCCAGAAAAACCTGACACAGCAAGCACATGCCTTGAAAACAGAGGGTTTTCCAAAGAATTCATTTAAGGTGCCACTTATCTTACACATGGTTATGTGTGATTTTGAGGGGGGGAAAAGACGTTGACAAGATGTATCTCTTAATGTGTTAGCTTAAATTAGCATAATGTTTTTCTCCGAATAGTTTGTTATAAAAGCATACCTGCAACAACCAACCACTTCCCATCAGTCACATACAACACTGAGCACTAAGCAAGAACTGAAACCATGTGCTAATACAAAGAGGACTTTTACATCTCATTTCCACATTAAGCACATTTCATGGAGGGCTACGAGTCAGGTACAAAATGCTGTTTGATTATTCATTCTTTTTCTTATTTTAGCTCTCATCGCCATTCAGTTTGTCATGTATCACATACTTTAATGTTTTTAATTTAGCACATGACCAGTGGGTACAGACAGATGCAGTACGTACTATAGCTTCTCCTTACCTTCTTCTCTCTGTATTATTATTTGTTCATTGTTGCGTATGAGTGTGTAAATCAAACCTCTCATTAGGTTGTGCAGTAAATTGAGTGTTTGCAAATTCAGTTTTCTACTATTGTGTGATCTATACGTAAAGAGAGGAAGAGTCTCTTGTGTTTTGGTCTATTGTGTTATCCGAATATATTTAAATTAACTGTGCAACACCATTTTGCTTCCCCTCTAACCTTTTCTTCCTTTGTCATTTTTTTGGTTTGCCTTGTTTCAATCTTTTTCCTTTTACCAATATAACTTTCTTTTATTCTTGTCTTCCGTCTTTCCTTTTTTCCTTCCTTCCCCTTCTCCTCTCCTTTCCTCCATTCCACTCCTCCCACAGATGAGCCGACCAGTCCAAGTGCAGATCTGCGGGCACGTCATGTCCCCGCCTCCTCCGTCGTGTCCAGTGGCGGTATAAACTCTGCCCCTCCTGTGGCCACAAGCCCCGCCTCCCCAACCTTCACCTTTCCCCTCAACCGCCTTTTCTCCCACGGCAGCAGTGAGTGATCCAGAGAGAACGAGAAACACTGTTACTACTAAATGATCAAACCAATGCCTGGAACTGTACACGAAAAATGGCACCAAAAATGTTATGTTTACATTCAGAAGCTGCATGTGATCGCCGTAGAGCTCCCCCTACTGCATGCGTAGTCACACTGCACAAATAAGTCAAATGTATGTGTGCATGCCGTACTGCATACTGCAAAAGTCCACATGATCGTTCGGTAATGCCCGTACATTGTGTTCACCGCATTTTACTGAGACTGTGATGAAGATCTGCTCCTTCCCACCTCCTAATCTGATTACTTCCTGTGTCCTACCCAACTCCACACTAACTGTCCTTCATCAACTCTCTCTCTTCTCCTGTATAACAGTGTTTGACATTTTCACTGTTTGTAATGAATGGATCTCTCTCTCTCTCTCTCTCTCTCTCTCTCTCTCTCTCTCTCTCTCTCTCTCTCTCTCTCTCTCTCTCTCTCTCTCTCTCTCTCTCTCCATGAGCAGGTGATGCCAAGTCTAATCGTCGTTCTTCTTACCTGCTGGCCATCACCACTGAACGCTCCAAGTCATGTGATGAGGGGCTTAATGTTTATAGAGAAGAGGGGCGTGTCTTCTCGTAAGTTTTGGGACTTTACTATTTGTATTATATAAATATATTCAAGGTATCTTTGCACAGGTGTTTTAAGGCTGCTCTGTGCCTGCTTAAAATTCTGTGTAAAGATGTAATGCTGCATAAAAGCCAGATTAAATTATGTCTACTCTGACACACTTTAGCTCCTAGTATAAAAGTGTACTATTAAAATTGCTGTGTAAATGCATTTCTGCCACCTCAGATCAGCATGAAACAGCCTGTGTAAAGACACTGTGCACAAGTGCTTCTGTGCCACCTTTACAGTGTAAATTTGGCAAAAAATACTATTCCCACCTCAGTAAGGATGTTTTTTTTGTGTGTTTCTTTTACTTTTAAACACACTCTTATTGTGCTCTTTCAACAGGAGGCTTCCAAAAAGAGTCAAGAGCTTTTTTATTGAAGGGGTGAGTGCAACTACAGTATAAACTAGGTTATACACTATGGCATGAACCAAAGTTTCTTCTGTAATGTTGTTTAAAATCTACATAATGTGATATTTCTGATTCTAGATCAGCTAGTTTTGCTCCTGGATGCTGATTGGTCAATACCAGTGTTATTTTAGTATTATGTATATATTATTGTTTTTGTTAATATTTCGCATTAGCTTTTACTTTTATTTGAATGTTTTAATTTTAATTTTAGTTTAAGTTATACATATATATATATATATATATATATATATATAATATTATTTTAGCCTTATTTCAATTAATGAAAATTATTTTAATAGCTCAAGTTTTAGTTAACAAAAACAACACCAGTCACGTTATAATGTTATATCCACAATATAGTAGCAGTTTATACATCTCTGTGATATCTATTTTTATGATATTATCTATTAAAGTGATGCCTAGATAGTTATCTATATTCTATATTATATATCTACGTATATTCTACATTATTATTTAACATTTACTTAAGTGACATCAGCGAAACAGAAAAGGTATTTTTAGAGGAAAAGCAAACCTAGTGAAAATAAAATGTACCAAAAAAAATTATTTGAAATACATTTATTTTATGCTAAGTGTACTTTAAGCTTTCCTGGAGCGCAAAAAAAGTAGAGCGTTGGCGCTTGCAACACCAATGTCATGGGTTCGATTCCCAGGGAAAGAAAGAATTGATAAGAATGTAAATGTGTACCTTGAAATGCAATGTAAGTCGCTTTGGATAAAAGCGTCTGCCAAATGCATAAATGTAAATGTATACTACAAAAACATTTACATATTATTTATGTACTTAATATAAATACCCTGCAATTGTAGGGAATTGGAACAACTAATTTAGTTCTTAATGCACTTTAGTTATCCAGAAATAGTGCAGAGGTCCAACTAAAGATATACTTAAGTATATTTGATTGTGCTAAAATGGAACTATTGCAAGAATACTTTCGGTACACTTTAAATATCTTGCATTTTAAAGACTGATATTATAGAGAGATCATACAACCCTTATTAATAATTATATTAAACACATTTTAGGCTTAATATTAAGCAATGTGCATTGTGCAATAAAGAAGTACTCCAAATCAAGTTTAATTATTATTTCATATCAGTAAGTCTCAAGTGATATGTCAGTAAATATATGTTAATGGATTTGTACTATACTTAGTATTAAATAAATATATTTAATCGGGTTTTTTGTTTTTTTAATTAAATTTACAAAGACAAATTATTTCTTTGTAATAGCATGCATGCACAGATTAATCAATCACAACAAGATTAAGGACATGCATTAAAAAATAAAAAAAGGCTCTTTTTTGTTTCAAATTGACCTAAAAAAAAAAAACATTTAAAATGTCTACAGCTTTAAATGTTCTCTTCCTGTATTCTGGTTCTTTGTATACTGTAGTTCCATGTCAGTGTCACATTTGTGTGTATCTCTGTCCTGTGTCATGGTTTAGTCTCTAGACAGTCTGGGTGCTGCTGAAGAGGCTCGCTCTAAACGACACTCTACCTCGGAGCTGGGCAGCATCAGCTACAGTGACGTGAAGAGGGAAGGATGGCTCCACTTCAAACAGATCCACACTGAGAAGGGCAAGGTAAGAGAAAGACACCGCGGGATTAGGGTTAGTTTATAATCCGGGAGAGCAGTTATTAGTGGTTTAGATAAAGATGTGGGCTGGCAACCAGAAGGTTTTTGGTTCAAACTCGACATGCTATAAGTTGCTTCGGATAAGAGTGTCTGCTGCTAAATGACTAATTAGTTACAGTACCTGTATGATCTGATGGATGAGATTTGTCTTTTCTCTCTCTCTCTTACAGAAGGTGGGTAGTGCCATCTGGCCTTGGAGGCGGGTGTTCTCCGTGCTTCGGTCCCATTCCCTGTTCCTCTACAAAGACAAGCGAGAGGCAGTTCTCAAAGGGGCGGCGCTGGGAGGCGGGGTCGACGATGAGCAGCCAATCGGCATCCGGGGCTGCCTTGTGGACATAGCGTACAGCGAAACCAAGCGCAAGCACGCGCTGAGGTTGTCCACGCAGGACTTCTGTGAATACCTGCTACAGGCGGAGGACAGAGAGGACATGCTGGAGTGGATCAGAGTCATCAGAGAGAGCAGCAAGACTGACAATGAGGTGAGAGTGCGATAATGATGTTACATAGAGGCCTTAAACAGAGTGAAATGGCAAGATTAAATTTGTTTCTGGGTTTGTTCAGACGAATGCCACTGGTTTTTGAGGTTGTCATTGCCAGTATAGGAACCAGTGCATGTTGACATGATGTTTGTGTTTGAGATCTGCTTCCTCTCTTACTGCTGCACTGCTGGTGTGCTAATAAATGTGCATATGGTCATAACACATACATTTTATTTGATTTATTTTGAATCATGAAGTCTTTCCAATTATGTTTTTTTTATTTTAGTTTAATAACACCGTTTGTTGGTTGATTTCCCCGACTGTGGCTTTGTGGTTTGCACAGTCCAACATGGCAACATTAGCTCAACCAATGGTATTATTTTTCAATGAAATTGAAATGCTCCTTTGTCATGTTTGTCTGTAGGAACTGGGTTTCCCAGGACAGGCTCTCATAAGTAAGAAACTTAATGACTACAGGAAGCAAAGGTGAGATTGGAGACCATTGTCACATTTTGAACACATTTTTTACATTTTACTATTCCAAAGTCAAAACGATCCTCTTCGTCTTGGTTCCCTCCTTTAGTCCAACGGGTAATAAACCAGACTCCTCACCCAGAGTGCATCGAATGGCATTTCCACGTTCCCCAAAACACGAGGCCAAAGATGAGAGCAGCCCCCCTAAATCTCCTTGGGGCATAAATATAATGAAGAAGGCTAAGAAGGCAGGCCCTAAAGCCTTTGGGGTCCGTCTAGAGGACTGCCAGCCTGCTACCAAAAACAAGGTGTGTGCTTTTTGCAGTGTGCTGAATGTGTTTCTAATGCTTACTGGTTACTTTATGTTAGTATGCTTTAATGTGTATGTGTTTTTGTCTGTGAAGTTCATCCCCCAGATTGTGGAGGTCTGCTGCGGGCTGGTGGAGGAAATGGGTCTGGAGTATACGGGGATCTACAGAGTCCCGGGAAACAATGCAGTAGTGTCCTGTCTACAGGAGCAGCTCAACAAAGGAGTAGACATCAACATCGCTGAGGAGGTGAGATGTTTATACACGATCTCGGTCAGAGACACCATAATTGTTAAACCGCCTCTGGCTCTTTGAGACTGAGGCAACATACTAGTTGTATTCACTTCCCATGTTTAAGCGGTGGCTTCCTCATATACTGAGAACTTCAACAACAACTACTTTCACTTTTTCCTCCTGTACAGAGATGGCAGGACCTGAATGTGGTCAGCAGCCTGCTGAAGTCCTTCTTCCGTAAACTCCCAGAACCCCTCTTCACTGATGGTGAGATTATGAGCATGCTAACTGCGATTTTAGTGTGCTTTTGTGTGCTTAAATCAATCAAATTACTGGAAAACTTTTAAAAAGGTGTATAAAATGTCATGTAGTTACATTTTCTTTCTTCCTCTATTTCTCATTCTCTCTCTATACCATTGAAGACAAATACAATGACTTTATTGAGGCCAATCGGATGGAGAGTGCCAGTGATAGGTTAAGGACAATGAAGAAACTGGTATGAATGTGTTTTCAGCATATTTGTTTAAACCCCACATTCTGATACAAGCTTAAACCATAATTTATTCCTGTGATGCCAAAGCATCATTACTCCAGTCTTCAGTGTCACATGATCCTTCAGAAATCATTCTAATATGATGATTTGATGCTCAAGAAACATTAAGAGACATATATTTTAATAACTGCTTTATATTTTAATAATATGTATATGTTATTTATTCCTGGGATGGCAAAGCTGGACTTTCAATGTTAAAAAAAAGTTGTGCTGTGTATTTTTTTTCATTGAGGAATAGAATGTTCAAAAGACCAGCATTTTATTTGAAGTATGAATGTTTTTTAACATTATAGATGTCTTTACAGTCACTTTTGATCAAATTAATTTGTCCTTTCTAAATAGAATTAAATAATGTCTTACCTCAAACTTTTGAATGGTAGTGTATGTGCAACATTTAGCATTTATGTAGTATTCTCCTTGATTTAGTTTTTCTTTTGCCCTTTTCCATTTCTTCCTGCAGATCCGTGATCTGCCAGATTATTACTTCCACACTCTAAAATTTCTAATTGGACACCTAAAGACCGTGGCAGACCACTCTGAGAAGAACAAGGTGAGCAATACTTGATTTTCTGTTATTCAGATATTTCAGTATTTTAAATAACAGTGTTACCATAAATTACAATGCATATTTGAACAACACAGTTATTAATTTTCACATTTTTATTCAGATTTAAGTTGGGTTCAAATTTGAGAGTAATAAAAAAGTCAGGTTCAGATTGCTCTGTGTATTTTTTTCTTGTTATTTTCTCATCTCATAATGCTTCAGAAATTTCCCATTAAAGACGCAGCAGAGCAGCTCATTTAAACTGCATACAGTAGCATGCTTGTTTATGGTAGTTGAGTCTTACGGTGCACTTGTGCAGATGGAGCCACGTAATTTGGCGCTGGTGTTTGGCCCCACTCTTGTCCGGACCTCAGAGGACAACATGACAGACATGGTCACCCACATGCCTGACCGCTACAAAATTGTCGAGACACTCATTCAGCATGTGAGGCACAAAACACACCACTGAGTTTACAGATAGCCTCCATTTTAATTATTTTAAACAATGATTTTCTTGCTCTCTACGCAGTATGTCTGGTTTTTCGTTGAAGAACACGAAAAGGATGAAAAGGTTTGTTTTCTTTATATTTATTGAGATTTATAAAAATCATTTATGAATCATCAAGTCATCTATTGTATATGACTAAACTAAGCATTTTAAAAGAAAATGTGACAGTTTTTCATGTGTTTTGACTAAATATTTGAATGTCGCCCCTCAGACACCTGTGGACACGGAGGATGTTCAGCCCGCCCCAAACATAGATCACCTCCTCTCTAACATTGGCCGGACAGGCCTGCTAGGGGAGGCGTCAGGTGAGACAGCTTAACCTGTAGTCTCCTGACTAACTGCCATTGGCTAGCAGTCATATTCCACCTCAGATGACTAACACTAGATACATACTTTCATCTGCACGTGAATGGATTCATCTGTCTTTTGGACATGTGACAGAATAATAGACAGCAGGTCAAACATGTTTCTGTTTTCCTGCATGTTGAATGCTCTACACTTCTAAGTTTTGGTTTTTAAAGAATCTTTTTCATTATATTCACTTTCTGCTGTCTTTCTCTGTACATTTCTGCATTCCTTTCTTAGCTGAGCCTGTGGAACAGCCACTGCGGTAGGATGGGTTTCCCCTGCCATGCTCTCTCTCTCTCTCTTTGTGTTTGTGTGTGTGTTCAGGAGTGTGTATTTAATGCCTATATGCACAAGTGGGAACATTCATGTTTGTATCAAGCGATGAAGGTGCTTATGGGCCCCGTTTATACCTGGTATTAACATCTGTGTTACTTTGAAGTGCTAAATTCAGCTGTAAACAGGATTCCATGTTTTGTTTTTTACAAAAGCTAGTTTATCCTCATTCAAACCAACCACATTCAGAAATAGCTTAGAAGGGGTGTATCTAATATTTTGCATTTTTTAGCATGATAGTATGGGTCCAAGTTAAAAATAGCAACTCTGTGTGCTATATAAATTGTTTTTAAAATGATTTTGGACATTTCTAGTCAAAATGTTATAGGTTATATTTCAGTTTTGACTTTTAAATGAGCAGATACTGCTAAATATATACTATAATATATTGACTAGTATTTATAACAATTTTTGATTGATTGTTTTTAAAATAAGTCTCTTATGCTCACCAAGGCTGCATTTATCTGATCAAAATACTGTAAAAACAGTAATATTGTGAAATATTATTACAGTTTGTAAGTACCTTTTCTGTTTGAATATATTTTCAAATGTAATTTATTCCTGTGATGCAAAGCTGAATTTTCAGCATCATTACTCCAGTCTTCAGTGTCACATGATCCTTGTGCTCAAGTGTCACATGATGTGCTGCTCAAGAAACATTTATTACTATCATCAATGCTGAAAACAGTTGTGCTGCTTAAATCTGTCACTTTAATCAGTTTTGCCACTTAATATGCCATTGTTAAATACATTTTTTTATTTCTTTTATAAAGACTTTTGAATGGTAGTGGTTTGTATCACAAAAGTAATTATCATGTAAAATTATTTTTGCAAATTATTGAAGAGCAAAGGCTTCACAGTTGTGACTTTTGATACAAAGTGACACCCATGCCAGGTAAACGGGGCCTGTGTGTTGTGGCAAAATTGTGTTCGGTTTGTCCTTCTCCCCCTCTGACAATTACAGTTTCTACCCTTGCCTCTCCCATAGCTTCTTTCATGGGTGATGTCATCAGTATGTGCCGTGATGTCATCAGTGTGTGCTTAATTTTTACCACTGGCTGCTGCATATATGGGCTCCTTCACTTCTTCTATGACCCTGTTCACATTGGAACATTAACTGACAATCAATGGCTGGTCGTTTGTTACACAGATGTTGCTTATAGTGTATCTTGTGTGAACACCGTCTCACAATCACTGTTTATGGGGGTAATGCTTAATGATTGACAGACACAGAGGCTGCTATAGGTCTTGTTTAATAATGTATTAAAGGGATCATTCACCCCAAAAAAATATATTTCTGTCATCATATACTCACCCTCAAGTTGTTCCAAACCTGTATGAATTTCTTTCTTCTGCTGAACACAAAGATATTTTGAAGAATTTCAGTAACCAAACAGTTGATGGGCCCCATTGACCTCCATAGTATTTTTTTTTTATGCTATGGAAACCAATGGGGTCCATCAACTGTTTGGTTACTGAAATTCTTCAAAATATCTTCTTTTGTGTTCAGCAGAAGAAAGAAACTCAGACAGGTTTGAAACACGAGGGTGAGTGAATGAAGACAATTTTCATTGTTGGGTGAACTATCCCTTTAAGTTAACTTACTGACAACCACAAAAGTTCACTTCTCCTCTGTGCCTCTCATTAAAACAGCATATATTTAACATGGTGCCAAAATGTTTGTTATTTTCACTAACTTCTTCTCACAATCTCTTTCCCTATCTCTCTCTGTTTTTAACTGACCAGACTCAACCAACAGTGATTCTGCAAAATCTAAGGTCAGTATTGACCAAAGGCTATTTCCTATGTTTGTTCTGTTTTAAGAGTATAATGTAGGTATTTGAATGTGTTTTTCTATGCATTTGGATGCTAGAAATTAGTAATACATTTCTGCAATTTTTTTTTACTTTAAATCATAATTTATTACTAATAAAATAGTCATATTTAATTTTGCTTTCTAGATTTAATATAGTTTAATATTTATTTGATTTATTATAATATATACTTTCCCTCTTAATTTAATATTAGTTTTTTATTGTTTTAATATTTAAAATGAATTATATATATTTTTATTTATTCAGTTTTAATTTAAATATGAATGTTTTTCTTTTATCTTTTTAAATACATATTTAATAATAAATACATGCATTTAATATCTATTAATAAAAATGTATTTCGAAATTTTAATTGTATAATATTTCAAACTTAGGGGTCGTGGGGATCCAAACGTGACTTTACTGCCAAGGATATCCTGACGTTATCGATTATGTCGGCTGTGACCCGAAAGCGCCGGAAACGGCATAACGGCCGTCTCGTCGGCAGCAGCACAGACGACGATTCTGAGCACGAACCCATTAAATCCTGTGTCTCCGAAAAAGACGATTTGCAAGAGATGGGGCGGGTGGCATCCTTCTGCGCTCCTCGAGCGGAGGGAGAGGAAGATGAAGAAGAGGAGGAGGAAGATGAGGAAGAGGAGGGTGAGAGACAGAAGGCACAGGAACAGAAAGAGGAAGTAGTTCCCAGCATTTCCTCGACAGAGGAAGCGCCACCAGCTGTGCTGCTGAGCGAGGAGGAGGAGCAAAGGTCTGAAGTGAAAGGTCGCAGCTGGCGAGGAGATGATGCGCGGTCTATTGTTTCGGGCTACTCTACTCTGTCCACTCTGGGGCGGAGCTTAGCATCAGAGGGGCGGGGCGATGATGCAGATGATGAGCACAGTGAACTGGTGAGTGAAACCGACAACGAAAGCGGATTCGCCTCGCGCTCCCTCACCCAAGAGAGGCCGGAAAAACCGACCCGTTCCGATCAAAACTCACACGCCTCACCCGAACCGACCGCGCCACGCAGTTTCCTCTATGCGCACTGCAAATCCCAGACGCCCTCTGGCTCCACCCTCGCTCCGCCTCCTCCTTCCCTCCACATCACTACCAACCCCGAAGACCAAGCGAACGATGTCGCAGCACGTTCATCCACTCCCTCAACCTCCTCTCACTCATCATCCGCCTCCCAGCGCCTCCACAGCCGCAACTCTTTTAACTCCCACCGCCTCATACAGTGCGACACCCTCGCACGGCGTCGGCTAAAGTCAGACAAAGCCAAAGCGTCCTCGTTGGACCTGTCAGAACTGTCAAGCTCCTCCGCCATGGAGGGAGAACGCCAGTCAGGTGCAAATCAAATCCCTGATTCCTCTCCGTCTCCTCCACCAAAAGCCAAATCCTCCAAAGAGGTTAGCGTGAGAAAAGAGTGTACGCCAACATCCTTGGCCGGTCTTGGAAGTAAGAGCTGCTTGTTGTCCCCTGGGCAGGGTTCCCTGGCGGATCAGGTACGGGCTCGGCTGATGGGCTCAGCGGATGACCTGCGCAGCGTCGGCCTGAGGAAGCAGCTCTCGCCTGAGACGCGCAGAAAGAGACGTGCGTGGAGGAGGCACACAGTGGTGGTCTCCCCTACAGATTGTTCAGGAAAAAAAACGCCGGCGCTACCCCTCAAACCGCTAACTTCACCCTCCCCTGTTGAAAAGCTGGACGTTGGAGAGTCCCACCCAGAGTGCTCAGAGACTGAAGCCCCTATTGCACGTCGGGCCCTGCCTGCCTCGCGTTTCCGTGATTTCTTGTAGCAGTGATGGTGTGTACAGGCTAGTGAACCAAGAGAGTTGGATTTGTGTTGTGTTGTAGCTGCGTCCTCCGTATGTTTGATATGAGTTCACACTGACAGCGATTAATATCATTGTAGAGTACTTTTGGTCGGTAGACGTTCATACTCACTGCAGTGTCAAACTGGACCAGGTGGCAAATGATGTGATCGTTTCAGAACCATTCAGAATTGAACTGAGCATTCTTTAAACTTCCAGTTCAGTTTTTGAATTGGCATTGAATTTGAATTGAGGTAGCAAACAGGATGCCCAATTGAAATTCGAATTTAATAAATTGGAATTAAAATGAGCTGAAATTTAAATAAAACTGCAATAAGGGGGTTTACAGACCCGTCAATTGTTTGCTTCTGAAACAGGGATGTTCAATGTTACATTTCTCCCTTGGTTCGTTTTCACAAAGAACATTTTTATGCAATTGAATATTTTTACGTTTATGAAAGTCACACCTGGTTCGAAGAAGAACAATGACATTTTTAAATGAAGAGGTGCGCACCTGCGTCTGTTCAGTGTCTCTCTCTATTAACAATGAAACTGTGAGTTTACAATTGCTTCAAAATGAGAAATATATAATGTAGCGATTCCGTACCGAATCTATTCTATTACTAAAAGTCGCGGGGCTGCGTTGATAAGTTTCTGTGCTCCTTTCTGTGTGAGAGGGACTTACATGTGTGTGCGCTTAAAACAGCGAACGGTGATTCAACTGAATTGGAACTAAATGTGCATTAAACGATTTTATTGCACACCTTCCAGCCAATCAGAATCGAGTATTCAGACAGACCATGGTATATGCATAAACAAACTGAAACTAAGGGAGAAATCATGCCAGGTTCCGAAGCAAATGCTCCAATTGAGCCATAGGTATATAGATGTCGCCTTGGGGTTCTAAGTATGCGTCAAAACTGCCGCCATCTTGGAACGGGTCTTGTCATAGGAAGTAGCTAGGAAACGCTGCTATCTCCACCTGTAGGCCTACTTCGAATTCATGGATTTTCTGACTTTTGTGCTGCGTATGGATGTTCACACGAACGAAATCTGAACTAGGAAGAATGTTTTTTTTTCTTTCTCTGGACTCAATGATAAATACATGTCTGACCATTGGAACAAACAAACAAAAAAAACGAGAAAATCGCATTCATGACGATTTATTGTGATTTTATTTCCGTTAGACCTTTGCCTAAATTGACGCTTATGCATTAAAGAGGAGGGGCTCCCCTGTTACATGATGGCGGCTCTATTGACGCATTAATCCAATGAACTGCCGTAGCCAAGGCGACATCTAGTGTATATCTATGCAATTGAGCCAGGTGTGAAAACGCCCTAATTGTCATTTGTAACAAGAAATGGAGGTTATCAAGACAAACTTCTGCTTCATTTGAAATGTCACCTATAGAAATGCGTGCTTATTTTTATATACTTCTTTGAATTTTACAAAAAATGAAGATTCATTTTATGGACCAAGGAAAAACACTTCATTTCCCAGAATGTCATGAACTTTTTAAAAAAAATAAAAAAATTATATAAATTGTAATTTCCTTGAATTGTTCCGTTTACATTCCAATTCAAAATCAACTTTCTGTGGGGCGTAGCTAATTTGACCTAAAACTGAATTTCCATGAATTGAAATGGATCCGACACTAAACTCCAAAAAATGTCTTTAGCCTGGTCTGTATTCCCATGCACTGTCGCTGCCTCACATTACTGTTCATTTGCATAAACATGAACTCTTCTTTATCCAAATAAGCAATTAATGTCACAGTCGCTTACGTTGCCTGAAATCATTCTTAATGAAGATGAATCCAGTCATTTTTTCACTGCAAATCGCTGTCGTGTGAACAGCCTTTTAGGTTGCCATGCGAGTATAAAACTCAGACTGTTTAAACCCCTCGCTCAAATCTAATTTACATCACTCTTTCTCTCTCTCTGACCAACTTCAGCTGCATGGCAAAAGGGGCTTTTCAGTGTTGCCAAAGTTTTTTCCATCATCATCTTCTTTTCACTTCCTCTGTTTTCTTGGGCAGTCACATGACAACACTCTGTAATGCCAAGACCCTCACGACTCGAAAGTGCTTTTCTTGAGTCGTTCTCAAGTTCCAGACGAACCAATTCTCCGAACGTGCCGGTACAGTATTGGTTAAACAGTGTTAGCAAACAGGAACAGTGTTGACAGTTTTACTAGTTTTAACACAGGCCGTTGAGCTCAGCACAGGTGCATAATTCAACCATTAACTCGCTACATTAAGTTCCATAAGAGGCCGTGTGGTGTGTTCACCTTCCCACATATTCCTTTACATTGAGTAATGGCTCATTGGTGAAATCACTTCAAATGAGTGTGTATGTGTGTCTGAAATTTCCTGTGTAAACAGTATGTGCTTGAGTATGTGTGTCAAACGATTTTGTAACATTTGTACAAAGCCTTGCTTAAGTTAACCTTGTAAATATACATATATTATATTGTCTTTTTTTGTTTTTCTTTCTTTATTTTAGTTTTTATATGGTTTACAAAAGTGCACTTAGGTGCACGGTCATTTCTTTCAAGATGTTACTTGAAATGTTTTCCTTAATATTTTTTGTTTGTTTGTTTTATACACAGTATATATTATACATAAATTTTGTATGAATATAATATGTACTTTTATTTGGAAATCTTGGGGTGTACCTGTTTTAACTCCACTAGACTGTTTTCCCTGTTAATGGCCTTTCTCTGTGACTTACAAATACTATGCAGAAATCTATTCACCTCAATGAAAAGAACAGAGATCTAACCTGCAAAGAGTGTCTGTCACAAGCTATAATAAATTCTTATTGCAGAGCTTATTTCATTTGGGTTTTGTCCTTTGTCTTGTGTCATGTTTGTACTTGTACACACACCACATGAGTTTCTGACAGTAGTTCTCAATTATTTACACGTGTGATTATTATTATTTTCATATCTACTAATCAATAATAAGAGGTCTGATACACAGTTGCCATTTCAGATGTCTTTGACCTTGGTACTGATGTTTTATTATACAATGTCAATTATTTAATGACAGAGCTTCCACGTGTGTGTGTGTGTGTGTGTGTGTAAATTTGTTTACACATTTAAAACTTTATAAATCATACTAATTAGTTTTTTGAAAATGTAAAAATGTAGAATATTTCTGTGATGAGGGTTAGGGGATATAATATACACTTTGTAAAAAACATTACATCAATGGGAAGTCCCCATAAAACATGGAAACCAGTGTGTGTTTACAGCATTTTAGAGGGACCTGTAAAACCTGTATACAGGTCAGTGTGTTCAATGAAACTGTTTAACAGGTTTAGCGTGAAAGAAAAAAAAACTAATACAAAAAATACAGTCACTACCCCATAGGATTACTTTTTTATTATTATTATTACTCATATATTTTATCCTGTTTTATTTGATCTCATTTTAATTTATTTTATTTCAGGTCATTGCATTAGTATGTCAGCAGATGGCAGCATTTATCACGGTGTGTGAGCTGTCAGTAGCCTAAATCTCACACAGCAGCTCATGTACTTTTAACTCTGAATAAAGGACAAAAAAATTGAACTCTGATTAAACACAAGAGGTGGAGTCTAAGGAAGGGTCTTTGTGAAGTTCATTCAACCTCATGTTATATTTTTGTTTGCAACAGTGTCTCCAAAGACAACATTTTCCAGGCTAAAAACAAGTAGGCTAACAAATCAATTACGCAATCTATTTCTCTATCCAGACAGTTTATCTTAAAACAGAGGCTGTGACAGTAAATGTGTCATACAGTGTGTGAGTGAGTGACTCGTGTTCATCAGAGAAATATTTATCGCTCCTCGCCGGACTCGAGTTACGCGCTGCGTTTTTAGAAGCGTCAAGTGTTACGACAGGCGTCGCAGCAACAGCAGCGCAGCCTTCACATGCATTGACCGAAGGATTTAAACGCACTTCTGGACTTTTTTTATTTTTTATTTTTTTGTCTATTGATTATTCACATTTACCTCTCGGTTCAGGGCGGTTATAAGGAGTACTGTCTGGAACCGACGGAATATATTCAACATGTTGGGGAGAAAGAAGAAACCAGAGACCGTTCAGACTGAAACTAAAGGGTTCGAGTCGAAAACCCACGATCCGCTTCGGAAGCTTGGTGAGATGATCATACATTAAGACAAAAATGCCTAATATACTCCTGAGTCTGAATGCTACTTTAAGTATGCATGTTATGTTTAACCTAGGCTATACAGACAGTAAGCGCAATCTCAGCAACTAACTTCTTCTAAACTCTATAAAATCGGTTTGTTAAAGGAGTCATATGAGCAAATTCACCCATTCCACACTAAATCAATAAAGACCTTTAACTCTTTGATATTTGTTAATTTTGCATAACATGACATATGAACGTGAACTCACGAGATTTGCTGTTTTATTAACCCTTTACTGTCTTTGGGACTTTTTTAAACCTGTTTTTGGGTAAGAATACGCGATAAATATAGGCTACACATATATATTTTTTGCATTGGCCTACCTGGATTTGTGATTTGATATATTTATACAATTATAATTAAACAACAGTTGAATTAGTTCTGGTCCTCTAGTTTGATTGGCTGAGCGTTGCCTATTAGCATCACTCTGATTGTCTGTTTGTTTCAGACCACAGTATTGGCATAATTGGCATAACCACATTAACCACTGACTCTTCTCACACACTTATTATCTTCCCACTCATGTTTACGTCTTATCTCTGCCCTTCAGCAGCATGACTCCATCTGAAATCACCAACACATACACTTATGGCCCATGCTGTCCACGTAAAAAAAAAAACAATTCAACATGTTTTCCTTTTTAAATTAAAATTTATTTTGCAATTAAATATTATGCAACAAGCTAATATCTGAGACGAACACAGGTCTTAGTATCAGCCCAGTTCTGAAACCAAACCAAAATGTGCTAGTTTATCCTTCACGCTTTTGAAATGAACCACGATAAGAATAGCCTACAGTCATGTGAAAAAGAAAGGACACCTTTTAGAATTGTATGGTTTACGTATCAGAACATAATAAAAATCATCTGGTCATTAGTAGATCTTAAAATTAGATAAATACAACCTCAGATGAACAACAACAAATGACATATTACACCGTGTCATTATTTATTTAACAAAAATAAAGCCAAAATGGAAAAGCCATGGGTGACAATTTGACAAACTAAGTACACCCTATGATTCTTGTAGAGCCCCTTTTAGCAGCAATTAGTTGAAAGAATCGTTTTAATTTATGAATGTGCTGAGTATTGTCGCTATATCAAGTACAATACCTGCCGAAGACTCGTCTACATTCGCTCGTTTCTTTCCATAACTACAGCACTGTAACTGCAGTTACTTGAGAAAGAGTTAGCTTGAACTATTGCGAGTGGGCGATAACCCTGCCTCAGTTTAATTATCTGTACTTAATGTTGTGCTCATAAGTATTACTTTCCATAGCAACTTATGGAGAATTAGTTATTTTTATTGAATGTTTTAGTAAGACCTGTTCCATGGCTGCCATAGTGGTGATTTATCTCTGCCATGGCTACTGTGTCAATAGATATTCTAGAAATATTATTAGTGTTTCGATTTATTGCACTTGTAAAATAATGTTGAGTGGCTTTTATGAAGAGGCTGTGCAAGTTGGTGCTCTTCAGTGGCGTGATTCAATGTTACTATGCCAGCACTTCAAAATACAGCACTCCAGTGGGAATAGTCAAGAGGTTGTTTTAGAAATGAGATTTGCTGAAATACCCAGTGTGGTGGGTTTATTATATATATATATATATATATATATATATATATATAGGCTATATATTAAGTTGCTCCCAAGTTTGGTTTATTGTACTTGTACTTCTGCAAGTAACGAGAGAGAATAAGTCATCTATGCAATTGCCCCACATTTATTCTAAATATAGATATGCTTACTATGTACAAGATGCACCTTAGGTGAACTGTAGGGAACCGTAATAGTCTAAGGCCTGGTTTCACAGACAGGGCTCAGATTAAACCAGGATTAGGCCACAGATCAATTAGGACATTTAAGTAGTTTTATAAATTTGCCTTAAAAAAACATTACTGCTGTGCATCTTGAGACAAAACAATGGCACTGACATATTTTAAGATAAGTTAAATTTTTTACGTTTCAGTTTTAAGTTTCTTTCAGTTGAAACAGCTCAAACATGCATTTTAGCCTGGGACTAGTTTAAGCCTCGTCTGTGAAACGGGGGGTATATGTTGCATGAGTGCAATAAAATATGAGACACATCCTCACTTTTATAATCATCTTTTTTTTCCCACTGAAGTCGATACTACATTTATGTTTAAATGTATGCATTTAGAAAACACTTTTATCCAAAGTGACTAGAGGAACACAAGAACTACCAGTCAAAAGTTTGGGGTTGTAGAATTTGTTGATGTTTTTAATGCAAAGGATACATTTATTTGATAATAAATAAAAAAAAAAACAGTAAAATTATGAAATATAATTAGAATTTAAAATATCTGTTTTCTACTTTAAAATGTTTTACATCTACATAGGGCTTACACACAGCTGAATTTCCAGCATCATTACTCTAGTCTTTAGTGTCACATCATTGTGAATCATTCTAATTTGATGATTTGCTGCTCAAGAAATGTTTCATATTATTATCAATGTTGAAAACAGTTGTGGTGCTTAATATTTTTGTGGTAAACCATGATATGATTTTTCCAGGATTCTTTGATAAAAGTTTAAAATAACAGCATTTATTTGAAATAGAAATATTTTGTAACATTATGTATGTCTTTACAATCTCTTTTGATCAATTTAATGCGTCCTTGCTGAATGAAAGTATTAGTTTCTAAAAAAAACAAAAATCTTGCTGACCCCAAAATTTTGAACAGTAGTGAACTTTAAAGTTAATCAAGGTTTTTTCATCCAAAAATCAACTGAAGTGGTAGATTTAATTTCACATGACCAGCTTCCACTTCCTCATTCTCACTTACCCTTAGAATTAAGTCTCCTGTTTTCAGTACTGTATCATTATAATTAGAAGTAAGTGACCTCTATTATGACTGGCTAACCTGTTTGCATATGAAATAAGTGACATCATCTATGTGTTGTGAGTTGCTGTCCGATGTAGTCTGTGCTGCACTTACAGGTTTTGGACATTAAACCCTTTGTATGTCTATACATTGTGGCATATTCACAAAACAAAATACGCCAAATTCTTTAGTCAGAAACGTTCAGGGACTTGGTTCTAATATGAGATCCATATTGATTGTGACAGCACAGCCATGAAGATGTCTAAATGAACCATTTTTTGCAGCTTGGTTTCTTCGAGGCGACACGCTGCGTAAAATAAATTAGCTTTTACTAGGCTTCTGATATGCAGTGTTATTTTAGTATTACTTATACTATTATAGTGTTATTTATTAATGTTTTGAATTAGCTTTCTATATTTTAAGTTTTTATTTTAATTAAAGTTTTAGTATTTTATGTTTTAGTTTTTTATATTTCTATTCAGCTGTAGTTTATTCTTTATTTTAGTTCTAGTACAATTTTAGTACTTTAACTTAAGGGGGCTAGATGTAGAATTCAGAAACCCTTGTTATTAGCGACACCGGTGGCCGTTAAGGGAACTGCAGCCAGCAAGGTATTGCTCGTCTTCGCACTCGTGTACACGTACCGTACAAGAGACTGAACGTATTTCAATGCCCCAAAATACTCACTGTGAAGTTCTTTGCTTAGAAATTCATTTGCAGTGGTATACTGTTAACGAACATCCAGACACCGTCCACACTGCTGAGAGTGACGTTTAGATGTGCTGCGCTCTTTCCTCTCTCAATAACAAAATAAACACATAACAAAAATCTGCGGTGAGAAAGCAGCAGTTAAGAAAGCATCGGATCATAGCAATGTGCATATATTTGCACAAGCTCTGCAATTTATCGGCATCATGTCGACAGATGAAGTAACATTACACTGTTATGATGGTTTGATATAAAGAATATTTAAGACTAGACTGTATAGATCTGGCTATGTGAGACTATAGTAGGGGTGTCACGATTTCGATCTTAAATCGAAATCGATCGAAATTAAATTTTTTTCGAATCGATCGAATTAAAAAATGGAATCGTCGATGCTGCCACGCCCCCATGTCACGTCCGGTCGGCGTGCCAAGCGGGAAAAAAACACGCGTGTTGAAAAGCTGCAAGACTATGGTCAACCTCCTCTAACTTAGCTACAGCCATTCAAAAGATAGCATGGCAACTGCAGATGCAGGAGACCCATCGACAGAACTTGAACCCCCTCCTCTTTCATTGAAGTCGCAGGTGTGTAAGTTTTTTGGATTTCCAGTGAGTTATTTTGACAACGTTCGCGCTTCAAAAAAGCCAGTTTACTTTGGAGACATCCCAAGTCTCGCGGAAGTTCCTGGAGTCTCCCGCATATTGATAGCGGCTCCCTGATGCCCGCAAATTAGTTAAAATCTCCCAGAATCTAGAGTGAGCGAGCGAGCAAGAGCGCGCAATCGCGCATGCGAGACAGAAAAAACTGTGCTCCAAACCGTACAGCGCGCGCACGGGAGAGAGCGAGAGATCTTGCGTATGTGCCTCATGAAGCGCATGTAAGACAGAGAGCATCCTGATTGGCCGGTTTCGGCTTTAAAAAAATAAATGTAAAAATCGAGAATCGAATCGAACCGTGACCTTAGAATCGAAAATGTAATCGAATCGAGGATTTGGAGAATCGTGACACCCCTAGACTATAGTATGAATTAATCCCTTTTCTTTGCATAACGCATTGACATTACAGTACAGAATACCTCTCTTGGCATTATCCTGAACATTGTATAAGCATTAATTTAATGGTCAAAATACCCACACTTGCAGTCTTGGCCGCTTGAGAGCTTGTGCACGCAACAGGAAGTATACTGTAAGTGTGCAAGACTGTCCCAGGTCTTAAAAGTCCCCCTGTAGTCAATAATTAAATCCCTTAAAACTCATCTTTGATCACCAAAATTACATATTTAAAGTTTTTTTTCCTTGAAAAAAAAAAACTTAAAATAGCTTGAATGTACTCTACAGTACACCCTTGCCTTGTTAATGTTTAGTAAATGCGGTTCTATGATTATGCAAATTAGCTCACACCAGCTCAGGGATCCACTCGTTAAAGATCTCTCGTTGACGTGATTGATTACAAGGTAGTTTGTGACGTCAGAAACACCAGCTATTTCAAACAGCAATTTTGAGACTGTCCTTGGTGCACTACAGTTTTAAAGAGAAAATACTCAGCAATGGCGTTGACTGACGAATTTGCACATGGTTCGTCTTAAAGCATATTAAAAACACCACATAGACATATAAACAACATTAAAAGCTTGATTTTCACCAGAGGGTGACTTTAAAAATACTCAACTTCCTCACCAACAGACAACAGGCTGTGCGGGTAAGCTCAACAACCACACCTATACTGACCTCCAACACAGGAGCCCCGCAGGGCTGTGTTTTAAGCCCTTTTCTTTACACCCTCTACACAAACGACTGTACCAGCCCCTCATCCAACATCAGGTTTCTTAAGTATGCCGATGACACTGCAATCCTTGGACTACTCACAGACACTCATTCAACTCAAGAATATCTTGACACCGTCTCTCACTTTACGCAGTGGTGTGGAAATAACTATCTAAAACTCAAAATAAGCAAAACAAAAGAAATGGCTTTTTGAGCGGTACAATCCCACCCCCCCATTATCATTAACAATGAAACAGTAGGGATAGTTGACCATTTCAAATATCTTGGAATCATAATTGACAATAACCTCACCTTTGAACACCACACAACAGACATACAGAAAAAAGGGACCCAAAGATTGTCAGCGGTGCGCAAACTAAAAGGACTTCATGTTGCCCCCCATTTACTCTTACTATTGTATATTAGCATTGCTCAACCTATCCTACTATACTGTTCCACCTGCTTTTTCAATATGCTTACTGTAAAAAACCGAAATAAACTTACCTAGATAACCAATATCGCCACCAAAATAATAGGTCTGCCCACTCCAAATCTACATGAACTAAACACCAAAGCCATCACACGTATCGCTCATGAAATATCCCTGGACATTACTCACCCACTAAATCGATACTTCTCACTCCTACCCTCTGGCAGGAGGTTCAGAAGCATAAGATGCAATAAGACTCGCTTCAGCAGAAGCCTAATTCCTTCAGCTATCCAAATACTCAATAAGGTCAAAACCACACAGATAAAATAAATCTAATACAGTGCAATGATATATGTTTCTCCCATATATGGCTATGTCAAATGTCTACTGTGTATGAAATATGTATGTATATATGTGCCGTGAATATATATATATGTATGAGGCAAAACGTTTTCTGGAAATGTGAAAAAGAATTTCCCTAAAGGGACAATAAATATATACTACATAAAAAAAATGCTAAATCTCAGTGCCCTTAATGCACACTAAACTTTGCGCGTGAACGTCATATCCTTCGTCTCTGTCCCAAATGGAACCCTAAACCCCTCGCAATCTTCCACCAAGTCCACACTTTAGTGACATTATGTCTCTTTGACTGTCGGGTAGAAGTCTGCTACGGTGCTTTGCGAGCTCTGCAAAATTTGTGATACCCTACGACACGCAATGGCTATTGTAAGTCCACAAGACCGCAAGTTCACATGAAGTCATGAAGTGTGTCATTTGGTACTGGGCCAACGTGTCGAGTCCTTCACATTAAAATCATCAGGCTATCATAGACAACCTAAGAAGTCGGGGAAGGTCACATTTTTTAAGTTTCAGTACAAGCTGTTCACACAGAAAAAAGACTAATACATGGAAAATTTTACATATAGCCCCTTTAAACGTATTTTATTGCAGTTTAAGTTTTTCCTTTAAATTCAAACTTTCATCTATACTCTTTATTACTGCTTTCTTTTAACGAACAAAAGTTTTAGTTAACAATAACAGCCCTACTGATATGACTGGAGTCTTCTCATGTACATATTTGTCAAAACTTAATTTCTGTTACTTGTAGAATTATATTACACACATTCTATTACAAATAGAAATGAATGAGTTTTTCTAAAAAGTTCCATTCAATTCTAGTTGTCGTTTTGCTCATTTTGACCTCAAATCATATATTTCACGAAAGCGTTAATTTCCTTTAGTTTAGTTTGTAATGGCATTTCATTGCCGTGTTCCCAGTAGCAAAATAACACGACCCCCCCCCCCCCCTCCCTCCATCCCTCAGCTTTCCCCCCTGACCTCTGTCTTTTACTAACACACACACGCTTGTCAGAGAGACTTTATTCTGGTTGCCGTGGTGAGGGTCTCTTTGCTGCAAACACTCTTGGCTGTTTAGCAGAAGCAGTTGAGGGAGTTTGCACTGCCTCTTTCCTACCTCATCATTTCTCTTCTGTTGATCGCCAACTTTCTATATTATTTATTTCTAGGTCCATTACTGTCACTCCAGTTTTTCTCTTTGATTTAATTGACTGAAAAGATATTAAAAATGAAAGAAAGCAATGTTTCAGAGAGCTGAAGAAGATAAGAGGGTTTGAAGTAGTGTTGACTAGAGCAAATCTCCATGCTGTGAAAGAATGCGCAGCAGCCATTTCACTGTGATTGTGACCTCTATCTTTTTTTCAGGTCTTTTTGAGCCCAATTAAAGCTATGGCAGAGAATCAAGGGGGAATTCACTAAACAGTTGCTTGCACAACATTTGCATACAGTATTTGTGCATTATTCACTGCTCAATCCAGTTAAAGGCACTAAATGCACTAAAATAGCTCTGCACTTGAAGTCATTGTCATTCTTCTCAGTGCAAACATGGCTTTTAGACTGCAGCTTATTCACATGACTGTTTGCCTGGTCTCTAAGTGAACAGTCTTTTTCCAAGCTTGCGCAAGCCTGTGGAGATTAGAAAGCCATTTTAATCTGAACAACAAACTAACTAACAAACAAACTAAGTTGATGATTAAGAATGAAAATATGACAAAAACAAAGTAGGGGAAAAAAAACAGTTCATTTTGCCTTCCATTTTTCATATATACGTGCAGTCATTGCTGCTGACGTTGACACACAGAAATTGGTGTCTTACATCACTGTGGATCATTCCTCATGTTTATGACTGTAGACTGACCTGCCAGTGCTCTCACTTCTCCAGTATGTGTGAGTGTGCACATATATATATTTTGGAAGTAATGTTTGAGTAATGTGTTGATTTTGGTTCATATTTTGGATGAAATATCAAAGCAGTGAATGACTCAGTGCTGGGAAGTGTTAGTCGCTGGCACGTATAGCCTGAATATGAGAACTACTTTGGGACGGCGCATTATGAGTGACATGCATGCAATTACAGCATGTGTAACTCTTGGAGTCTTGACCCTTCAGATTTACAGCGTGTAGCAGGTGTGTTGGACAGACTTGAAAACACCTAGAAATAACAGAAGGTGCATTTATTTTAACGTTGTGTGTGTGTGTGTGTGTGTGTGTGTCATTCATAGGTGTGTTGGACGATGAAGATGTGCGTGTGATGCTGCAGGGATCAAAGATGGTAAAGGTTCGATCTCAGCGTTGGAGGAAGGACAGGAGACTGAAGCTTCTGGAGGACTGTGTGACGGTGTGGTGTGAGTCCAGCAAAACCTCCCGCAAGGGCAAGAGACAGCAGACCTGTGAGTACTGTATGTCTATGTCACCTGCCAGACCTGTGGTTGAGCTGCATACAAAACTGCACACAAATATCAAAATTCAGCTTTTGAGTTCACAATTTGTGTGGCAAGCTGAGAAAGTGCATCATTTAGGGTCAGTTCCTGAGGCCCTTTTTAACAAGATGTTTTGTGTTTCTACAGAGTGTACCTTCCCACATCTTTACAACATATTATGTATTTGTTTAATTTGAATCACACAGAAACAAAATGCAACTTGAAATTTGAGATTAAATTCAGTAAATAGAGCCTTCTTTACAAGTTCAAGGGTTTTGTCTGGGGAATTAATTCATTTATTCTTACAATACAGAAAGAGTTGATTCAGGAATGACTTCACAGAATGCTGGTACACTGATGTCATGATCATAGGGGTTCAGGATCCGTGATGCCAGACTTTAACATGTGAATGAGAGGCTTTAATACTGCTTTAGCATTTGTTGGTCTCAATCACAGTATGGGATATTTTTCATAACTAGTCAGATCAAGGAGTCATAGTCACACCCTAGAGGAATAATAATAATGAGAAAACAAACAGGCTATTTTAACTAGTGTTCTTCTTTCTCCTCTCACTCTGACCTCATACTTGCCTTTAAGTCAAAACAAGACATTATTAATGTTTTGTTTGCTCTGCTCTCTTTGCATACCTATTGTTAACCTCATCCCAAAGGACACAGCAGGCCTTAAATCTTATGACGTTCAATTTTTAGAAAATAAATGACACTTTTTTTAACAGGACGGATGGATTTGGCTTAGTGTAAGGAACTGTAGTGACCCAATTAATCACAGGTCAATCGAGGTAAAGATTTCCAGTTGGCGTAACAAAGGCCTAAATGCTGCGCGAAGGGGAAGCATGTTTATGTTGGGGAAGCATGTATTATGCTTTTTTACCCCATAGTAAACTGACTCATATTTGACCATACTTGCTCTGTGTAATATATTTATTTATTTTATTTTAAGTTTATTTGAATAGGGACAAGTATGTTACATAAGCTCATGTTCCATACTACAACATTTTAGCCGAGGCTAATTCTCAATGTTAGTCCCTAATGGGCCTTTACATAAAATTACACAATACATAGTTAAAATAAACATTTTTGAAAACAAACTTAAAGACTCTTTAATCAGAGGTCAGAAATGTGACCACTGACTGTCCGCTGCGTTTATATATTGCTTGGCAGGTTTTTGTTGAGGGACGGGACTTTCCAATCAGTGCAACAGCAAACAGAAAAACCATAAAGTTTTGTGTGCATATATCTGAACTCATTAATGCATGTGTGCAGGTGTGTGTTTGTGTCTATATATACAGCATATACTGGCTTAAACGCTCAGCTTCTTTTCTTTGTTCTACAAGGAAATTAAACTGGAAATATTTCAGGTTATATAACTGTATAATGATATACCAGAACTTTCTAAAGCTCCCTTAAATGCTGGATACCAGCTGGTTCCAGTTAAGTTATGACAAGTTTTATTTTTTAAACTTTTTTTTTTTTTGGTGAAGCAAATGTTGGGAACCTTACTTTTTAATGTTCTCTGAATATTCTGAACATTTTAAACATTAGACCATCTTTCTACTGAAATGTTTCAGAAAAATGATATATTGTATAAATATTGTTTTTGTGCTAGCGTTTTGAGAACATTATTAAAGACCAAATAACTCTGAACAAACGTTCTATTAACATTACCGAAAAATGTTCCTAACTTTGAGAGAACCTTTCCAGAACGTTTGCCAGAAGTTCTGAGAACTTTTTTCCGGTTTTCTGGTTAGATGATTTCAGACCAGCAGATTTGGTGCTTTTACTTTGAATAGAGATGTTATGGGACATGGCCCAATTAATTATCCCAATCGGTTACTTTCACCTTGCTTTTCAGGTGATTGTTAATCTTTTTTAATCACACAAATTTAACAAATTGTTATAATGGAAACGTACCACAGATTCATCTGTGACGAGACATTATGGTCATGCTCTATCATCCCTAATTTCTAGATGTTCAGATGATTGTTAATCTGTTTTTAATCTCACTTATGCTCTTCAGATGAAATGATAATCTGCTGTGAGAGTGAAGTGATTAGACCACAGGTGTTGGTGGACCATATTTAGGGAGCCTTCAGCCTCTCTGTCATTCATCTCAGCCCTCTGAAATATCTGCGATTACCTCAGCTGTCATCACCCTTAAAATCGGTCTCCTCTCATGTTTGCTGAAAACATGGCTATGAGAAATCTGAGGCTATTCAACTCTGAAATACAACAAAATACGTCACCGTTACAGATATACATCTACTGATTTTATTTGGTTACATTGTTATGTTTTTTAACAAATTAGACTTATTCTCACACATGGACTGTGAACAGCACATTGGAAGCTTTTGTATAGTGATATATTTCTACAGTTGTAATCATATGTTTCTGGATTTTCTGGATTACAATACTCTAGGTTAAAGCCCAGGTCATCATGTTTATGAATAATCTCTGCTCTAAGGAGGATTTATGGGTCTTTCTGATGACTTCTGAAACCTTGAGGATAAAAGTGAACCTGTGACTAATCATGTGACTCACTGTGATTAATAATTTGTGCTCTCTGACACACACACACAATCACAGGGTATAGTGTTAGTAAGCACAGATGTCCCTGTGCAACTCATTTTAGATGTTTTGTTATTTTGGTAAATAGTTCTTTAAAGACATTGTTGATTATGTAATATTATATAATTGGTGTTTTTATTTTAATTGGAACAGATTTGTGCTTTATTGTTTCTTTTGACTCATTCAGATGTGCTGCGTTTGTGGTGTAAACATAAATGCATCTTGACTCACCTTAGGCAACATTAAAAGTCTGAACATTTATTCATTTGGAAGTATATTTGGAAACAACAATCAGTAACACTCAGTAACATTATTCAATATGAAATGTTCAGTGGACTCTCTGTTAGGCTAGTTGGGACAACATTTGGGGAAAAAAATATATTTATCATATACATTTATTATATTTGATCACATGGTAGAACATCGCTATTCAGCATAAAAGGATAGACTTGTAAGCAACATAATCAAGGTCAAGGTACTTTTTATTGTCTCTCGTAGGATAAATTTGTCTTAGATGAGAGAACTGCTGCAACATCAACCCACCAAAAACATACATCATTCAAACACTCTTCCCTAAGCTAAATAAAAACACTAGTATTAAATAAAGAAGATAAACACTATTAGTTCATAAATGACCTAAAAAACCACACCTGTATTTATATTACCTCTAATCCGCCAACAAATGTGCAGTTGTATCACCACCTTACCGGAGATGCAGCTTGTTTTGTCGATAATGGAACAAACAAATGTTTGTAGCAATTATGCTTGCATAACGGGACCTTATATCTACTACCAGAGTTCATCAGCAGATACTCTGAACACAACACATGTGAAGGGTCCGATAAAATCTTATTGGCATGCTGTATCGTAGACATCTCAAAAATATCTTGTAGGTATTGAGTGTCTGTATTCCATAATGTGTATAAGTATAGATGGGTAAACTTGTGAAAGCATTTGTACATTTTTTCCTTTTTGTAGTTATTTGAAAAATAAAGACTTAACATATCTGTTCAAATGTTGCTTAATACTGTACAGTACAATAAAGCTACTACTGTTACAAAAGATTTCTATTTAAAATAAATGCTGTTCTATTGAACTTTACATTCATCGAAAATCCTGAAAATAAATGCATCACGGTTTCCACAACAATATTAAGCAGCACAACTGTTTTCAACAGTGATAATAATAATAAATGTTTCTTGAGCAGCAAATCATCATATGTGACTGATTTCTGAAGGATCATGTGACACTGAACACTGGAGTAAAGATGCTGAAAATTCAGCTTTGCCATCACTGGAATACATGGAATACTATTTTCAATTGTAATAATATTTCACAATATCACTGTTTTTACTGTATTTTTGATCAAATAAATGCAGCCGTGGTGAGAATAAGAGACTTATAGACAAACTTTTGAATGGTTGTGTATAACATGAACCTCACTTCTACTCGCAGTAGAAGAGACGAGACGGCCTCTCTTTCTGTTTCTGTCTTGTGCTGCGTCACACTGGGTTCAGGAATGCAGGCTCAGCTGCTTCTGTCCTATCCCAGCATGCCCCTCACAACTCACTGACTGACACACACTTGAGGGAATAAACATAGTCCACTTAGTGCATGACTGTGTGTGTTCGCATTATGTGTTTGTGAATGTGACGTTACATCATGCACCACTTCATTCCTCTGTTATTTTGGCTATTTATTAGGGTAGATAAAGATAGAAGACACGTGGTTATGTCATACGTGTCAAATATAAGCTGGACAAAATGATGCCGGTGTGTGTAGGAGATGAGTCTGTCCAGGTGTCGTCGTGCTGTTAGGCACTGGGCGGCAGATGCAGGGCCGGACCCCCAGAGAGTTCATGCTCCCATAGATCTATGCAGCGGGCATTAGTGAGGAATGCCAGAGGCATAGTAAACGCCCATTCACTGCACATGTCTCAGCGCACACGCTGTTAAAATTAACACCCTTCTTCAGACATACACAAGAATCATGAATGCGTGTTTGTCAGATGGCTGTTGAAAGTGGGCAGAGAGTCTTTGCCATTTAAAAGAGCTTGTGTCTGTCTTCCCTTGTGTCTCTTTGTTTATTTGCAGTGTAGGAGTTTCCACATATCAAAGATGTTAATGTTGCGACCACTGTCTCTGCTGTGCTAGATTATGATTCCTCATTATAGCTGACTTGATATGGACACTTGAAGAGTATTAGACTCTGTCTGTGTGTGTGTGTGTGTGTGTTTTAGGATTAATGAGTGCACATCGTGAACATTTTTTGGCACTCTGTTGCACAGGTCGTGTTTTACAGGAGCCAAATGAATCCTCATGTCCAGCTTCACACACTGCGATGACGTCATTGACCTTCTTGCATGGACAATAATGATTTAAAAAAAAAAAATAATAATTATTATTTTTAGCTGTAAGTGTTCCGGTTGCTTGTTTATTATTTCCCAGACTGTTTATGGTTTCTAATAACTAATAGAGTTAGACAGCCTTTCACTTGAATGAAATATCTGAGACTTGGATTCATTGTGTTTAATTTAAATTTTGCTTAAACTAATGTTCTTTTAATTGACACAACTAAGACTTCCTTTCGTTTTTTTCATTTCTGCACCACTAGTAACACCAAAACAGAATTGTAGTTCTGTTTGTTTGAGTCGCCTGACTGGGCCTGACAGAATGACATTAAAGATCGATGTTTGAAACTTGTTTGATTCATTTCTTTATGCAGTTCTATTTGGTGCCACTAGTGGCGCATAAATTACACACTTCACCTTTAAGTAACATATTATATAAACGAATAGCAGAAGTAATGGACTACGCACTCATTTGCGTGTGTTTTCTCTCTGTCAGTCTCTGTGACGGAGGTGGAGTGTGTGCGGGAGGGCTGTCAGTCGGAGTGTCTGCGACGGATGGCAGGTCTGGTTCCAGAGACCAACTGCTTCACTGTGATCTTCCGTGGAGGAAGGAAAAGCCTGGATCTGTGCTGCCCCACACAGGAGGAAGCGGAGCGCTGGGTGCGAGGCATCCGCACACTCAAAGACCGAGTCTCCAACATGAGTCAGAAAGAAAAGCTGGACCAATATCCTTAAAGCCATACCTGCAGGGTGAAACCTCTACACATTTAATTATAGTATTTAAACAGAAGGCTTAGGTCAAGTTTCCTTGGCCACCATTTGCCAATAAATGCACATGTTAACACACTCTCCATTACTCAGTGAGAGAGCTGACTATATATAGACCAGATGTAGAACAGATTTCTACACGCACACATGAACCACATGCTGAAATACCTTTGTCCTGTTTCTCTTTCCCCCAATGTGGTTTTTACTCTATTATCTTTTCTTTTTTTAAACCTCTATGCCCTTTATTATCTTTTTCTTTAATATATTTTAGTTTCAGGTGCAATGTTAATTTTCGACTATGTGCAGCTTCTAATTTTAATTTTAGAGCTAAAGTGTGTCAATTTAAGTTAAAATACTTTTATTTGATACCAGGCATATGTTGATTTCCCTGAATCAAAACATTAGCTATGCTTCCATTCACCTATTTTTATGCGCTTTTTGGGGTATTGCATAAACAACTGCTGGATAGAAATGCCAAAATGTGCATTTAATCTAGAAATGTGCATAAAAAATTGAGGCGGATACATTTTTTTATCTGATAAGAAGTCATACGTAGGCTATAAACTACGATGTAAAAACATTTACCGAAACAATCCCTCGATGCACAACAAAAAAACGTATGTGACTTTGCCTCAGCAGTGGATGTGATTGGATAACTGGACAAACCAGCGGACCAATTTAATTGCACAGCATCTCAAATCTCGGTTTGGTCATTCTGAAATGCCTGAATCAAAGTCTGTCATCAGAATGATTTGGTTTAATTCTCTCCCAGAAGTGTCTCACATGATTGCGTTCCCAAACACCAGCATCTGAACAAAAGAGAACATGACGGGTTTAAAAAATGCTTTATTCGCAAATGCTTTATGCAATATTCCAATTTTGCACACAAGTTATATTCGCAACTTTGGATGTTTGTTTGAGCCTAACAAGCCTGACACAGTTAAAGAGTGGGAAGTGTTTGAGAAACCGGTATACAAACTATTCTTATTTGTACAATTCTGCAAAAATAAATTCAAGGCAATTAAATTGGCTGAAATGTAAATCGGTCCATTTGATCTGACATGATATTGGTACTGTAAAATTTTACGACCAAAACCCTTTTTGTTATTTTCTCATCAAGCTTTTATCTCACAGTTAAAAGAGTTACAGTACAAATGCAAAGAATTTGTTCAAATATATTTTGATTAAAAATTATTTGGTAACGCTTCCTTTTACAGTCCTGTTTCCCATGGACATACTATGTACTTACTATAGTAATTACAATTACTGGGTAATAACCTGGTACTAACCCTGAACCTACCCCTAACCCATGTACTTACCTTATATTAGCCAGTACTTTCTAGGTAAGTACACTGTAAGTACACGTAAGTACTGTACTGTAAAAGGAGCGTTACCAATTAATTTTATATATTTTTATATATTTATAATATATACACTTTATTAATATATTTTAATTGAATATTTTATATTTTCTGTTTATAACATTATTTTCTTTTTTATTTAATTACAAACTAAGTAAGTTCCTTTGGGCTGAGGTTGGGTTGCAGAGAGATTGTTCATATTTTCATACTGTATGGCTGGCATCATGTTGTGTAGTATGCATGTAATGGCTTTGTCAAGTTTCCCCTAACTGTGCACACTTGGATTCGAGGCTATCTGAGACGTGCAGATCAGAACCAGGATGGGAAGATGAGCTATGACGAGGTGAAACATCTGCTACAGCTGATCAACATTGATCTGAACGAACAGTACGCTCGCACCCTCTTTAAGGTTTGTGCGAGAGATCCATATAAGTGGCAGGAGTTGTTGTAAAAAAAAAAGTGTTTAAATTAAATTAAGCCTCGAGCAATCTTTCTCTTTTGTTGTAGAAGTGTGATCGTTCCTGTGACGGGCGGCTGGATCATGTGGAGATTGAGGAGTTCTGTCGTGAGCTGATGCGCAGGCCGGAGCTGGACGCGGTGTTCAGGCATTATTCCAGTAACGGATGTGTGCTCACAACATTGGAGCTGCGGGATTTTCTTGGAGACCAGGGCGAGGACCCATCGCTGGCCCATGCGAAGAGTCTCATCCACACCTATGAACTCAACAACTGGGGTACACAGCCATCAGAACCATACATTATTTGTTATTGAAGGCATGTTTATGGGCACACTGGGTTTATATATTTATATATTGAGCTGGAAAGCTTAATATTAATCTTTTAACTCAGTCAAGACTCTTGTACAATGAAGTTTTCAGTTTATTCATTACGGGCCTCTTAGCAAAAAATGTCACCATTCAATATGCATGCACAATATCTATATCCTTACTCTTTCTCACTGGTTCACTTATATATATATATACATACAGTAGTAAACATTTGAAGTTGATCAAAAAGCTTATTAAACCACCACCCAATGTAAGGTTTGTGCCACAGCTGCCCTAAACTAACAGTATTGGTGATTACCAAAACCCCTTTTTCTGTGTCTGTAATGGTTAATCCACCAGAATGTGTAAGCTCTTTAGTCATAGTTGGCCAAGTCAAACTCCGGTCTTGAATCATATTGAGCAAATTTGGGATTAAGTGGATTTAAAGATAGATCTCACAAGATTTTAATCAAAAGCAATTTTTCGAGAACAACTACAAACTATTTGGAAGTCAATAACAACAGAGACTTCGTTATGACAGGAGGCCTAAATTTGTTAAGCCCAATATATAATTTTTATACATAATATTATATACTTTTTTTTTTGTACTGTAGGCTACTACTGTAATATGAGAAATGAGATGCTGCGTTTCCACAGAAATTACACAGATCAATTTGTCCCAGGAACTTTTTTCCCCCCTGACCTTTTGCTTCCTCCTTTTCCACCGCGGTCTAAAGTACCTTGAAGATTAGGCAAATTAGTCAGGTGATGTAGGACTGCACGCACCGCAACATATTTTTAAAAATGGTGGTTGAAATGAAATGCTGTGTGGAGTCAACCAATCAGCATCATCCACCAAGTCCCACCCCTAAAAGTTCCTGAACTTTGAAAAAGCACTACCTTGCAAGCAGGAACTTTCTGAGGGGGAATTTTTTTACCCGGAACTAACCCTAACCCTGGTGCCTGCGGTCCAAACACACAGAGTACCACCCCAAAGTTCCTAGAAATTAAGCTTAACAGGAGACCCATGGTGTTCATGCAGGTAACATCAGAAAACCACGCCTGAAACACTGAAAAACCTTGCCTGTCCACTTCCACAAACTAGTGTGAGCACATAGCTCAGTAGTGCGTCATTGGTTATTGTGCTATTGTTACAAACCTTGGTTATTCCTGATTGCTCTTACTAGAATTGAGGGTAACATGCTAGTAAAACTAAATATGATAAAAAGCATGTATTAAACACTTCCTCAGCCAATACATGTTCTTTCTGACTCTCAGCCCAGAAGAATCTGTTCATGACCCAGAACGGTTTCACCATGTACATGCTCTCGAACGAGAACGATGTGTTTAACCCGGATCACGCTCACGTGTATCAGGACATGAGCAGACCACTGGCTCACTACTACATCTCTTCCTCTCATAATACATACCTGACCAAAGACCAGGTGACCAGCGCCAGCAGCACTGAGCCTTATATCAGGTACAACATCCACCCACCCACACCTTATCATCTGCCTCTAGCACCTCAAAGATACAGCAGAGAGAAGAAAACACACTTATACTTCGTTCTGTAAAATTGCAATGATTACTTGTGTCTGCATTACAGCATATTTTCTAACCATTTGTGTTGTGTTCTATTACACTGACTGGGAGAAATGTAATACAATAGACAAGCAATTACATTTGTAAATTAGAAACTAATTAAAAGGAAAATGATGCCCAAGGTCCCAGTAAAAGGAAAAACTTTTAAGGTGACTTTAGATGAAACATTCATCACCATTCAAAAGTCTCTTATGCTCACCAAGGCTGCAGCGTGGTATAGTTTATTTAATCAAACATATAAACAGTAATATTGTAAAATACTATTAGAATTTAAAATATTTATTTTAATATATTTTATTTTTGTCTATTTAATATATTTTAAAATGTAATCTATTCCTGTGATGTCAAAGCTGAATTTTCAGCATCATATCTCCTGTCTTCAGTGATCCTTCAGAAATCATTCTGATATGCTAATTTCAGAAACATTTCTTATAATTATCAGTGCTGAAATCAGTTGTGCTGCTTAATATGTTTGTAGAAACTGTGAAACACTTTTTCAGGATTCAAAAGAACAGCATTTAGAATATGTTTTGTAACATTGTAAATGTCTTTACTGTCGTTTTGGGTGCCTGAAAACGCAAACTTTTGAAAACAGGTTTCAAAGTGCAAGTTTTTAAAACGGTCTTCGTGTAAACAGCAAAAACATGAGGGGGAGAAGAGAAGAAGGAGAAGAAAAAAGTGAAGAACAAAATAAGAGCAAAGAATATATATGCAGGAAACTTACATCCTCCTAAACTTGTGCTTTGGTCTGATTAGGAAAGGTCAAACAGACGTAGTTTGGCGTGACCGGTCAAATGCTATGGTTGCAAAGAAAGATGAAAATAGATAGAAACAGGTGTGTTTTTGACACCTTTAAGAGAATACCGCAGATCTTGCATTATCTATGTCTGCAGGGATGGAAACAGACATATTTTGATACAAAGATTCATCATGTAATCAAAATCTTGATGGAAAACACACCCACTCGATCTTACAGCACAGAAAAGACACCAAAGATCTTTCATTTGGAAATAATCAAACATATTACAGCCTACAGTAGAAAATATATAAATGATTAAAGTAACCAATAACATGTAAAAGACTATTAATGCAACATAAGGAATATACAATTAATAATGATTAAATGAATACATAGCTATCAATGACTAGAATTCATAAATAAGGGATTAACATAAATTCATAAAAATTAAAAAGACATTAATCAAAAGAATACATTGCAAAAGTTCGAATATGAATAATTTCTTATACACCAGAATATCAGGCAATCCAATTCTGCAAGGCATTTTGTTCAGAATGAAATATTTGATCACCAGAGGAAGCTTAGTCTCCCGTAGCCAGACCTTCAGACTGATGGCAGAAGGTCTGGACTTCATTGCAGACCAACATCACAGTTTGTTTTGTTCTGCGTTGTGTTGGGGTGTGAATGTGTAAAGCCAATGTCTCTACGATAACAGACCAATAACTGCATCTAATAAATGATTCATTCAAGAAAGATAATTTTGCAAGTTTACTGCAACTTCACACACTTACCATCTTATACCAGACAGAGCGTTAAAGAACACGACACACACGTCTCCCTGAAATCCTGTAGAATTCAACAAATCAGATAACAACTTCAAAACTCCCAAAGTGTTTCCCATTTTGTGCGCATTTTGAGACTAGAGGCAGCTATACAAAACTTACAGAACCACTAGGGTTATGAGACACAACACACAATGCTAATGATGACATTTAATGTTCATACTCCTTGTTTGCTGTTAAACTCATGGGTCTTGTGTGTGTGTTTAGAGCTCTGCATCAGGGCTGTCGCTGTGTTGAGCTAGACTGCTGGGACGGTGATAAAGGAGAGCCCATGATCTTCCACGGACACACGCTCACTTCCAAAGTGCTCTTTAAAGAAGTCATCGAGACCATCGCTCAGTACGCCTTCAAGGTGCAGACGCATGAAGCACAACAACAGCCTATAATGAAAATCCTTGTATAATGCAACAATATGGGTTAGCGTAGCATGTTTTTTTTTTTTAAATAGTTCTCACTTAGTGTTGTTTCTCTTAAACAATCATGTCTCTCTCTTTCCGCAGGCGTCTCCATATCCTCTGATCTTGTCTCTGGAGATTCACTGCTCAGTGGAGCAGCAGGCGGTCATGGCGCAGCACCTCAGCTCCATTCTGGGCAAAAAGCTCCTGAGAAAGCCACTCAACGAGCTTCCCCTCAAACAGCTGCCCTCGCCTGAGGTCTCACACACACTTCCAGTTTTCCTCTTCCTTGAATTAATAATTAATAATTCATGGAATTCATTTCCATGTTAAAAATGAGGTCATGTGACCTCAGTGTACCTTTCTACTCTTTGAAGCATTTATTGTTGCATACTACTTATGTAGGCAGTTTGTAGTATCTACTGTACTGTGGAGTAAGCAGTACTCTGAATCTCCCTGTTCTAATACAGTGGTAATACAAAAGTTACTGTATGTAACTTTTTCACACCTCACTTGTTTTTGAAAGAAGTCTCTTCTGCTCGCTAAGACTGCTTCATTTGATCAAAAATACAGTAAAAACAGTGATATTGTGAAATATTATTTCAATTGAAAATAGCTGTTTTCTATTTTAATATATTTCAATTTTTTCATGTATTCCAGTGATGGCAACGCTGAATTTTCAGCATCATTACTCAGTCTTCAGTGTCACATGATTCTTCAGAAATCAGTCTCATATGGTGATTTGATGCTCAAGAAACATTATTATTATTATCACTGTTGAAAACAGTTGTGCTGTTCAATATTTTTGAAGAAACCATGTTTATTTGTATTTTATTTTTTTATCCATTAATTCATCCTTTCTGAGTAAATATATAATTATTAATATATATATATATATATATTTATCTTACTGACCCCAAACTTTTAAACAGTAGTGTGTGTATTCAACAGATGCTTTGTCTAAAAATACTTTTTTGGTATTGCTAATTCTTCCTTTCTTGCTCTTGGGAACTTCCTGTTTACAAACAACGTTTAGGACATTTGCAATCATGTAGTACTAGGAATGAATTCAAGTCAAATATAAGTCAACACATGCCAGTGCTCATACTCGTGTAGTGTAAATTTTCTTACTGTGTCAAGCACTCTTGCCTCTTTTTTCATATGCATGACGATATTCCCTCCTCTCTTTCACTCACGCTGTTTCCAAGACTTTTCTGTCATCCCACCATTCTTACATACTATCTAAGGTGTGTTCAGCCTCTGATGTAAATTATTATGTTCACTGTCACAGTGTTATAAAACGGCAATTTTCCAAGAAGAACAAAGTGTCCAATGTTCTTTCTCTCATGTGCCTGTTTTACTGTAGGAGTTGATGGGGCGGATCCTGCTGAAGGGGAAGAAGTTGAGTGGTCTGCTGGGGAAGAATGACAGCTGGATAAGCTTCTCAAATAGCTCAGATGAAGATTCTGCTGTGGGAGGGGGCGGGAGCAAAAAGGAATCTAAAAAGGATCCTGGGAAGGTGCGTCCAGATATGAATGGCTTTCCTGGCCAAGTTATTAAATCCTGTTCTGTTTTGTAAATTATTGGATGATTATGTGATTTGATGTGTACTATTTGTGTTTTAACATGATATTTTAAATAATTATTGGGGTATGTGTATGAGTATGACTGCAGCTCAGGTAAACGTATCAGCTAAATGCATCATACTGTATGAAGTGTATGTTTATGATTCATAAACTGCCTAAACATACTCTGAAGAAAATCTGACCGTATATGTGTGTGTACATACGCATTGACATGTTTAACCCCCCTGTCCCTGCCCCCCAGTCTGTGAGCACTAAACTGAGTCCAGAGATGTCAGATCTGGTGGTGTATTGTCAGAGTGTGCCCTTCAGTAGTTTCGAGACAGCCAATCAGAGACCTCCTAGCGTGATGTCCTCTTTCTCCGAGAATGAGGCGCTTAAACTCATCAAAGACTCAGGTGAGATGACCTGAACAAATCTTACACTGCATATTTACTCAAGCCACATCATGCTCTGTGTACTTTAGGACCGGCCTGGTCCATAGAACCACTGCAATGAGAAGCATTTCCTGTCTTTTTAAGAAAAAGCAATAGGGTGGATGGATGGATAGAATATAATTCTGTGATATCCATCATAATAGAAGTGGCACGCGACTTCCCAGAAATACACTGCTGTATGAATGTATTTCACAGATTACTGTGAACTGTGTATTGTTTTAATGTTTACTGCTTTTATCAGGGCCTGTTGCCTAGGGCTCCACCAGATGGTTTATAACAAATGAGCAGATCACTTCCAATACAAAGACGCTGCTCTTCCAGCCAACTCTGACAGCCAGCGGCATGACAAATTTACATCAAACTCACATTATTTCATAATTAGGTCGTGTCACACTTCTCAGTTTCAGAGCTCAACCTTTACCACACAAACCACAATAACTGTGACAACCCAAAAAACAAACATAATTAGACAAAGGTCAGTCACGCTATCCTTTTGGAGAAATAAAAATCTATATTGAAACTATAGGATATATAATCAGATTATATAATGGGTTTAGTTAATCAAAGCAATGTTTACTCAAAAGTGTGGATCATAAAAGAAGTCCCTTAAGCCCACCAAAGCTGCATTTTTTAAATCAAAAATAGAGTAAAAACAGTAATATTGTAAAAAAGGATTACAATTTAAAATAACTGCTGAATGTTCCAGTCTTCAGTGTCACATGATCCTTCAGAAATCATTGTAATATGCTGATTTGCTGCTCAAGAAACAATTCTTATCAATGTTGAAAACAGATGTGCCGCTTGATATTCTTGTGGATATCCTTGCGTGAGTATCTGTTCATTGTTTTATGTGTGTCCCCTGTAGGGAAGATGTTTGTTCGACACAACAGTCGGCAGCTGAGCAGGATTTACCCATCAGGCCAGAGACTACAGTCCTCCAACTACGACCCCCAGGACATGTGGAACGGGGGCAGCCAGATGGGTGAGCCGAACGAGCACTCGGACATTCCTGCATGTCTACAAGTCCAGCAGTAAATGCTTGAAAGCTTCATTCTCTCTGTTCTCCAGTGGCTCTGAACTTCCAGACACCAGGAGAGCAGATGGATCTGAACCAGGGCCGATTTCTCCCCAACGGGCGCTGTGGATATGTGCTCAAACCTGACTTCCTGTGTCACCCGAAGTCCGACTTTGACCCTGAGAACACTGGTGGAGGACCAGGACATATACCCACACAACTTACCATACGGGTTAGTAACTGCTCCACTCCTCTTGTTTAGCTTTTCATTTCATGAATGTCTGACAGGAAATATTGCTCAGCTTCCCATGTGCTGTGTAAATATTTTAATAAATCTCTTTTTCTACCATTTTTACTGTACTTGTGGGCCGTTTTGTTTCTCCCACAGGTGATTACAGCTCAGCAACTTCCTAAAATAAACACTGACAACCCCAACTCCATTGTGGACCCGCAGGTCTGGGTGGAGATTCATGGAGTTTCCATCGATAAGGCTCGTGCCAAAACCCAGCGCATTGACAACAATGGTGAGGCAAATGAGATTTTCCATAATCTAAAGGTATTATGTTGTGGTGTATGATTGTTTAATCCATAAAGATCTATTCAAATATCTTATTAATGGGAAATAGAAACATTGCTGTTTTAATGGTGTGTATATACATTTTTCATGTAATAGCACATTTATTTTGCTGACAAACAACAGATTTTGTCATTAAGACAAGAGATGTTCCTGTCAGGGTTGAAAATTGAGTGTGTGTGTTTGTCTCCCCCTGCAGGTTTCAACCCCCGCTGGGATTGTACTGTGAGCTTTCAGCTGCAGGTGCCTGAACTGGCCTTGGTGCGTTTCATGGTGGAAGATCACGACCACAAATCTAAGAACGATTTTATTGGTCAATTTACCCTCCCCTTCACCAGCCTGCGAACAGGTGTGTGTGTGTGTGTGTGTGTGTGTGTGTGTGTGTGTGTGTGTGTGTGTGTCTGGGTGTGGTTTACGGTATACACAATATAATGTTTTTATAAGACATATATAATAAACATATGCATGGTTTGTGGTGGAAGAAAATACAAAGTTCTGGCATGAAACTCTAGATGGTGCAGGGCCTGCAGGCTAATAGGTCCTTTTACTCACCTGTTCATAATCACATCATTATCTATAGGGCGCAGCTGATTGGTTACTGCCGTATCAGTAGCCAATAAGCTCGCTGCTCAACCTTCAAATACTTGGGTAGCATTTGCCTTGCAGTGCAGCGTGCTCAGAAACCCTCCAACTTCCCCAGCTCCACCTGTATAGATCTGCTGCTGGTAGTTCATGTACGCTATATTGTACCACAGCAGCATGTCGTGTATGTATTGGCAGTAGCAAGTCCCGTACTTACTCTGCCGCAGAAATAACCAACAGCAGCAGCAGCGTAGCAGATTTATTCAGCCAAGACAAAACATACAACATCGTCACAATCAATCACTCCGAGAGTTGTCATGACAGAACTGATTGTATTTTATATTTTCCAACACTAACTGTCCTTCAAAAGTGTAGGGTCAGTAAGATTTTTTTAATACTTTTGTCCAGCAAGGACACATTAAATTGATCAAAAGTGAGTGTAAAGACATTCATAAAGTTACAAAATAAGTTATATTTCAAGTAGATGCTGTTCTTTTGAATCCTGATTTTTTTTTTATCATGGTTTCCACACAAATATCATGCAACTGTTTTCAACATTTATAATAATAAGAAATGTTTCTTAAAGGGTTAGTTCACCCAAAAATGAAAATTATGTCATTAATGACTCACCCTCATGTCGTTCCAAGCCCGTAAGACCTCCGTTCATCGGAAGCTCTCGGACTAAATCTAAAATATCTTAAACTGTGTTCCAAAGATGAATGGAGGTCTTACGGGCTTGGAACGACATGAGGGTGAGTCATTAATGACATAATTTTCATTTTTGGGTGAACTAACCCTTTAAGCAGCAAATCATCATATCAGAATGATTTCTGAAGGATCATGTGACACTGAAGACTGGAGTAATGATGCTGAAAATTCAGGCTTGCATTACATTACATTTTAAAATATATTCAAATAGAAAACAGTTATATTCAATTGTTATAATATTTACAATATTACTGTTACTCAAATAATTGCAGCTAAATATTACTGACCCCCAAACGTTTTAACAGTATTGAAAATAAAAATGATAAATGCTTCTAGGTAAACTACTGTATTAGCCTATATACAATTTGTCAGAACACAAGACTGGAAACATCTAACATGAATCTTTTTCAAGGATATAAGAAGGATATAATAAAGAGTCAGATCAACCTTTTTCCTTCAAAACAGCTCTAGTCATTTTTGGAATGTTGTTGTTCAAGTCTCCAACTGTGTAGAGTGGGATTTGTGCCATTCCTGACGAAGAATAGATTCCAGATCACTGAAAGATCAGTTAGATGGAAATCTGCTTCTTAGTATGTGGCCTAGAGCATGCAATGTTTAAAAAATGTCTAGATCTGAAGTTCAAGAAGGTTCTGAAACACATTTAAATTAATCCTGATGTTCATGAAACTTTGACTTTGATTGGTACACATTACTCTGAACACTTGCTTGTGACACTGCTTTTATTTTAGTCTAGTTTTTTCACATATTTTATTAAAGTGTTTTGTGTTATTCTCCAGGTTATCGTCATGTTCACCTGCTAAAAGCAGATGGCTCCAGTCTGTCTCCTGCCACCCTCTTCATCCATGTAAAGGTGGTGCGGCGGGGAGTTCCAATTAAAACCGTTTCTGAGCGGATAGGCAAAGCCTGATGCTTCTGTCATACAGTTGTTCCTGGAAATACTGAAGTAAAAGCCACTGAGCCGAGCTCTTGAGGTGCTGTGACTCTTCAGAATGAGACCACCTGAAGAAAACATGTGACATTGGACGTATATGGACAAACTCTGTGCGCAGCAATCTGAAGAAAGTCAGTGTAGACCTGCATTTGGCTTTTTTTCTATTGTTAATCTGTGGTGTCAGAGCGTGTTATGGACATGTTATGGTGGAATCTAAATATGCTAAAGTAAGTATTGTTAGAAGTTACAAGTCAGTGTTGTTTATATAGTCTGTTTCCATGGAGACAGAATTCTATTGAGTCTGAGCCTTGAATTTAGAATATTTAACACATTTTATAATAATTATTTAATATTTCAATTGAATGTAAGCTAGTCTTGAGATTCTGGACAAGAATTGGATGTGCATGTAGATAGAAATGATCTGTCTTTAATTGTTTTAATGTTTGAATATTGTAATTGTGTTGGTGGTTTTGATATGCTGAATACTGACAAGATAAAGAAAGCGTAGACAAAAAACATATTGAAAGGATACAGAAAGCATAGCAAGTATGGACTGTTTAGTAAGGTTTATGACTGATTACGTTTTTATGCAAGTATATTTTAATTGATTTTAACACTTTTAGCGTTCCAGTTAGGTCATTCTGAGAAATAATATATCTAAAATCTAATCTAATATTTTTGAAATAACCATGACTAATGATGAAATTTGTGTTTAACATAATGTCTGAGACATTAATTAATTTAATCGATTTATTAAGATTTTATTAAAGCTAAAAGCAAGCATTGTAAATGCTCAGTGTCCTAAGATGTCCAAATTTAGACAAATTACACTTCTTGACCTGCTGAAGGTGCAGGCAACTATAACACTTGCCCCAAGATACTTTATTTTATGACTAAGATTGAGGAATCATGGTTATTGAGTTAAAGAGTTTCCAAAGGTCTGTTTTTTGCACTAGGCTATGATAATCTATTTTATATAATATATAATAATATAATATCAACTACTTCTTTACAAACATGTTTTAATTGTAGATTTTCTGTTTCACAGTTGAAAACTACCATCCCTTGATCTGAATGTCTTGTTGTTCATACAGTAGGCTACTGTAGCCTATCTGTATGTGTGTGTGCATTTTTTTCTTAGGTTGTACTGAAATAGATAATCAGTATAATAAATTAATATTAATATTTCTCTACCTAATTGTAGCTAATTATTGTGTGTTTAGATAGACATACAGGCAGACAGACAGACAGACAGATAGACAGATAGATAGATAGATAGATAGATAGATAGATAGATAGATAGATAGATAGATAGATAGATAGATAGATAGACAGACAGACAGACAGACAGACAGACAGACAGACAGACAGACAGACAGACAGACAGACAGACAGACAGACAGACAGACAGACAGACAGACAGATAGATAGATAGATAGATAGATAGATAGATAGATAGATAGATAGATATATAGATAGACAGACAGACAGACAGACAGACAGACAGACAGACAGACAGACAGACAGATAGATAGATAGATAGATAGATAGATAGATAGATAGATAGATAGATAGATAGATAGATAGATAGATAGATAGATAGATAGATAGATAGATAGATAGATAGATAGATAGATAGATAGATAGACTTAATATGAAAGAACTACAGAGCCCATCGGCCAGTGCGACAGTCCACCAATAGTTTTGCGGGGTGTGAGAGCGCAGGGCGAGATCCTCACTTCCTGGTTAAAGATGGCGGATGAGAATGAGACAGCACCGCAGCTGGAGAAAGAAACTGAGGTAGAAGATGATCATGGACATTGCAGCAATTGTGAAAATGAAGAGCATCACTCTGACGATGGGTGAGCGTGCATGCATTTTATTGTTAGCTCGTAAAAGTACAATACTCTTCCTCACGGCCCTAAAAGACTGGGCCCTTGTTCGGCTAGGCTGGGGCACGCTAACAGCATATTAGCCCGCCCCTGTGGTCCTACGCCATTGGTTCACCGCCTTGATTGACGTACGGACCTCTAAAACGATTGGCTCAGACGCCGTCAATCAAACAAAAGGACGGTTCCATATGGCCAGTTCTCTAGGATCATTGGCATTTTTGTGCGAGGTGTTTAACAGCCTAAACATAATTCATGGTATGGTAAAAATGAATAAGCTATCACGTTTAAACGCGCTATTTCATATGCTGTTTAATAAATATTAAACTGACAAATATTTATAAATCACCACCAAAAATCGCTTTCAAATCTGTTCATGCAGGCCTTTGTGGCCACTAGGTTGAAAGTAATTTGGATTTTCTGTCACTAAACGATGTCTTGTCGTGATCTAGTTAGCTTGAGTGCTGCTAGTTGCAAGTGAAGCATCATTAAATAATTGTTTTATCACATTGCTCTCTATTTGCAGTCTCTCTCGGTCGTTTTCCCCGATGGAGTTTCACTTTCAGTACCAAAGAGCAAATCTGTTCACTAAAATATAGTAATAAAGCCCCACTAACCAGCTTCTTATCCACTATATGTTCCTCAAGGTCATGTACAGAGACTGACTCGAATGTATTAGGAAACAAGAGAGTGAAATATTGCACTTAATTATCATAAAGAAGTAATTGTGCCGCCTGTCATGTTGCGCCTCATACAATTGATGCCGTTTTTCTTCCGTTATAATAATAATACGTAAATAAATATTTCCATAAACATTTTCTTTTAATTTATTCTTGTCTAACTGTCATGTGACAAGTTGGATAGATTTATTGTTTATTATTCTGGAAAATGTTTAACAAAAAATCACAGAATCATTTACATTTAATACTATTAAAAGCAAACTTGGGCATTTTTTTTGTGTGATAATTTTGATAATTCACAGTATTTTCTTATTTATGGAGGGATAAAAAACCTTTAATATGTCAAACAACCATTGAACCTGGTTTTATTCAATGAATTATGTTCTGCCAATGTATGACATTTAGTGAGTATTTAATTAAATTGTGCCTCATTTACATATTTAAACATAACAATTAGTAAAACTTGTAATACAAAATTGACTGTCTTAAATGTACTATGATTAATTAACTATGGAAGTAAGTATTATGATATCTAAAACATACATAAATTAAAACTACTCTACAATTGTCAGTTATGTTATGAGGACATCCTATATTGCAGCTTGCTTAAATCTATTGAAGTAATACAGAGATAAAAAAGGGAAGCCCTGGTGGATAGATGGGGATAGACGGCTGTCAAAGCAATAGTCACAGAGGTGCTTGTTTATCCGTCAGTCTTTGTCATATAGCCCACCACCCCTCGAACACACAAAAACATGCTTTTTCTGCAGGTCATGTCATAGACCATCTGTCCCCCATTAACAAATGTAGCTCAGCGCTGTCACCTCTCTCCCTCCGTGGACATTAATAGGATTAGCTGCGCGTCTCTCTGTAAGTCGCCCCATTCCATCTCGACTACTGGTGTGGGTCTTGACTCTTGTGCCTGTGTAGTTCAGGCATGAGGTGAATTTCATGAGGTGACATTAGTTATTTGTTTCAGTATGCCCAGTTTTATCTTCTTCTTCTTTTTTTTTAAAGCTCAGATTCTGCTTGATCTTTTTCATGCACATGCTACCAGTGTGTATATTTGTCACTATACTATCAACTGAAATAAATAGGCTCATTAAAGGGATAGTTCACCCAAAAATTTATTTCTGTCATAATTTCTTCACCCTCATGTCGTTCCAAACCTGTATGAGTTTCTTTCTTCTGCAGAACACAAAAGACGATATTTTGAAAAATGTTGGAAACCGAATGATTTTGGTGTCTATTGACCTCCATTGAATGTTCAAAGAAACACTGAAACATTCCTCACAATATCTTCTTTTATGTTCCACAGAAGAAAAAAGAACTTGTACAGGTTTAGAACGACGTGAGGAAATGATAACAGGAGGTCTGAACTATCCCTATATCTCTGGGAAAATCTAGACCATTTCTCTTTGTTCTGTGAAAATTCTTGCTTTATGTTAGAAATGTCAAAATAAAATCCAGCCTATAAGTATTGTTGTACTCTAACGAGAGGTTGTCATCGTGAAATACTGCTGAATGCATCAGGAGCAGTGATGCGTCCATTGAGATGATGCGTGATGCCCTTTCACCTGCATCAGCTGTAGTTAGTGCTGAGTGGACACGACCTCTCATTATATCTGCCCATGTCAACTGAGTTCATTTGACCCGCAGGGAGAAGGGTGACACAGGTGCCAAGAAGAAGAAAAAGAAACAAAAGAAAAAGAACAAGGACAAGGCTGGAGGAAAAGATGTAGCCGAGGATCCGTTGGCCAAAGTGAGTGTGTTTGCATGACTCTGAGTGTTAAACAAGATTATTTAAATTTTCATCTCAAAAATCCCTTAAAGTCAAACTTTTAAAAACACTAATAATTTAATAACACTGCTAAATGTAATCTAGAGCAATTATCAAAATGATTGTCCATTTTTTTGGCAACAACAACTACTACTTTGGCGATTTAAAAAGTTCATAAAGAGACCTTAAAACTAATCCATGTGAATTGAACTGTTTAGTCCAAATTTTCTGATGAGACACAATCGCTTTATATGATGAAGAGATTGAATTTAGGCTTTTATTCATATATAAATATTGATCAGCTTACAGATACAGAAGCTTAACTGTACTTGCTTGATGTGAGAACAAACCTCATTGGTTCCTGAAGAAGCTCAAATGTGCTGCGTAACGCGAGAATGAACCTCATTGGTTCTTGCTGAAGCTCAAAGGTGCTGCGTAACGCGAGAATGAACCTCATTGGTTCTTGCTGAAGCTCAAACGTGCTGCGTAACACGAGAATGAACCTCATTGGTTCTTGCTGAAGCTCAAACGTGCTGCGTAACGCGAGAATGAACCTCATTGGTTCTTGCTGAAGCTCAAACGTGCTGCGTAACGCGAGAATGAACCTCATTGGTTCTTGTAGAAGCTCAAACGTGCTGCGTAACGCGAGAATGAACCTCATTGGTTCTTGCTGAAGCTCAAACGTGCTGCGTAACGCGAGAATGAACCTCATTGGTTCTTGCTGAAGCTCAAACGTGCTGCGTAACGCGAGAATGAACCTCATTGGTTCTTGCTGAAGCTCAAAGGTGCTGCGTAACGCGAGAATGAACCTCATTGGTTCTTGCTGAAGCTCAAACGTGCTGCGTAACGCGAGAATGAACCTCATTGGTTCTTGCTAAAGCTCAAACGTGCTGCGTAACACGAGAATGAACCTCATTGGTTCTTGTAGAAGCTCAAAGGTGCTGCGTAACGCGAGAATGAACCTCATTGGTTCTTGCTGAAGCTCAAACGTGCTGCGTAACGCGAGAATGAACCTCATTGGTTCTTGCTGAAGCTCAAACGTGCTGCGTAACGCGAGAATGAACCTCATTGGTTCTTGCTGAAGCTCAAACGTGCTGCGTAAGGCGAGAATGAACCTCATTGGTTCTTGTAGAAGCTCAAACGTGCTGCGTAAGGCGAGAATGAACCTCATTGGTTCTTGTAGAAGCTCAAACGTGCTGCGTAACGCGAGAATGAACCTCATTGGTTCTTGCTGAAGCTCAAACGTGCTGCGTAACGCGAGAATGAACCTCATTGGTTCTTGCTGAAGCTCAAACGTGCTGCGTAACGCGAGAATGAACCTCATTGGTTCTTGTAGAAGCTCAAACGTGCTGCGTAACGCGAGAATGAACCTCATTGGTTCTTGCTGAAGCTCAAACGTGCTGCGTAACGCGAGAATGAACCTCATTGGTTCTTGCTGAAGCTCAAACGTGCTGCGTAAGGCGAGAATGAACCTCATTGGTTCTCACACAGCATGCTTGAGCTTCCGTTTATCATAACTGATCCGTGAGTTGATGAATGTTTTTATGTGAATTAGGGGTGTAACGGTTCACAAAACTCACGATTTGGTTCGATACGATACACTTGTGTCACGGTTCGGTACGTTTTCGATACAGCAAAAAGAAAGAAATGCCAGAGAAATTTCCGTGATTTAATTTTTTAAATTATATTTTTATTAAAACTAACATCATAAAGTATGATATTTTTTTACTTAGAGCAATGATGGAGCTATACTTGACTTTTCTTAGAGCATATAAAACAAAACAGCTCCTTGGACAAAATGAAATGTAATCTTGTAGGCTAGTAGTTATAAACAAAGGTTTATTTTAGTTCAGATTAACATTTGAGGGCAGCAATTGTATTCATAATGTCAAAATAAAACCGACTTAATGTTACTTGAAAGCCTACTATTCCTGCCAAACTTCCATGGTTACAGTTAGTAGTGTTACTACAGTAAATCCATGGTGAATGTTGCTGATCTGTGGACACTGGATAGTTCATTCATGGCACAATGTTTCTTCCTGGTTTCCCACGTCAGCGCTGTTTGATCCGTTAATAACGGAGAAATGTGGATGTTTGTCACTAGATCTCGCAGCGATGCTATTACTTCAGTGGCCAATTCGCCTTTGGCTAAGCCACACCCTAGAATGTAGATTGACCAATCACAGCGCAGCCAAGAACGAGCTCCCACAGAGGTCCGACACTTTTTCACAGCGCTCCATTGACTTTAACACAGGCGTCTCATATTTTTGTAACATAGAAACGCGTTTCCCAGAGAGGTTGGAGGGGGTGTCCGTTTTTTTCCCTTCCCAAACCCAAAGTCAAATCCTGACAAGTGTCGTCTAGCACACGGTGCTAATAAATACAACGTTATACTCGCGTAGTCCGTTTGCTTTGTAATAACGATTATAGAAGTGAATAGAGACCTACCCAGCTTTGCATGAACAGTGTTGCGCCTTGATATTGTTAGTCCCCGCCTCCATCTCGATTAGTAGGATATGCGGTGGTTCATTTTTTGACTGTGGCCGGTATGCTTTTGCCTCTATTTTGGATGCCTTGTTGTTCCTTGCGTTTCACCTGTATGTCGTGAATATAGCCTTCGAACGTATATCGCAGCCCCTTTTGCCTACTTCTATCGGACACTTTATTTGCTGCTTTATAAAAGTTTGATAAAATTTCAGCAGGAAGAGCTGTCACAACATAAGCCATGTTGATGATACCAGAGCCCAGATGAAGTTTGTTTGTCGGACGTAGCAACAGTAACTAAGGGGGGCGGGGCTTAGCCAAAGGCGAATTCAAATGCTTTCTTTACTGGATTTGGCTGTGTAGTAACAGTGCTGCTTGATCAAGATCGGCTCGCGCTGCATTTGTCCAAACTGATAAACGGTCCGTCAACCACACAATAACGAGTAGCTCACTTTCGTTCCGCTTACATTAGCCATTTGATGTTGGGCAATGTTGTGGTCACACAAGCATCTCTTACATTATGAGCGCGCTTGCCACACACATGAAAATGCGTACCGAAAACCGAACCGAAAGCCTCGTACCGAACGGTTCAATATGAATACGTGTACCGTTACACCCCTAATGTGAATAAAAGCCTAAATTCAATCTGTTCATCATATAAAGCAATCGTGTCTCTTCATAAAATTTACTAAACCGCTCAATTCATATGGATTAGTTTTATTTTCTCTTTATGAACTTTTTGAAGCGTAAAGTGGTAGTTGCGTAACTTTCAATGGAGGGACAGAAATCTCTGCAAAAGAAATATCTGCATTTGTGTTCCGAAGAAGAACGAAAGTCTTGCGGGTTTGGAACAACATGTGTAAATGATGACAGAATTCAGGTTTGATACCCTCAGTCTGAACATCATCATACACTAAAACAACTGTCCAGACTGCAAATCGGGGCAAACGTCATGAAGTGTATTTCAGCCTTTAGCAATATAAGCCAGAAATGTAATATTGGTGCGTCACTACTTTAGTATAGGAACAAAGATTTTCTTTACAAGCATTGTCCTAACTGCTTGGTTTATATGTGTAGCTATATTTTGTAATAATATTTGTAATATTTTGATTTAGACCCATATATGAGTGCAAGAAATGCCTTAAATACCATGGTATTCTTTGAAGTACCTTGGGTTACTTTCTAAATACCATTGTATTGATTACCATCATCTGATAATATCACTGCACCATGGTACAGGCAAAGTACTTTTGTAAACATTTGAGGAATTTTTTCTTTGTCTCTTCCTCAGGTAAACTCCCTCCCTGCTGATAAGTTACAGGAGATCCAGAAGGCCATTGAGCTGTTCTCAGTGGGACAAGGTCCAGCTAAAACCATGGAGGAGGCCACACGTCGCAGTTATCAGTTCTGGGACACTCAGCCTGTTCCTAAACTTGGTATTGATCATTTGTGCAATTGTACTCACAATAGTTTCATTATTATACCTGTTCCTTGGACTGACGTCAGTTTGTTTTCTTTCTAGTAGTGTAAATTTTCATCTTTACAACATATGTTTTCTTGAGACTCATGAACGCACGTGGCACAGTGTATTCTGAGTCTGTCGTTTGTTTATTTGTAGGAGAGACTGTGACATCACATGGCTGGATTGAGGCGGATAAAGATAACATACGAGAGGAACCGTACAGCCTACCGCAGGGCTTCAGCTGGGACGCTCTCGATTTGGGAAATTCTGCCGTGGTACAACACTCAAACCATTACATTTATCCCTCGAATTCTTATACATACAAATATACACCTGGAAACAACTCGTCTAAAGCTCTTTTGTTTCTTTTTTTCTCTGTCTCTCTGAAGCTGAAAGAGTTGTACACTCTCCTCAACGAGAACTATGTGGAGGATGATGACAACATGTTTCGATTTGATTACTCTCCTGAATTTCTGCTCTGGTAAGAATGATTGGCTTGAAAAATGACAGATGGGTTATGAAAAACTTGATCTCAATATTTTTTGTCTTGTATTTGAAAGGCTGGCTATCTATCTTTTTTTTTTTTTTTTGTCTAAAAGTCATGTGATACCTGTCCTCAGTTTCTCTGTACTGTGTTTTTGTCCCAGGGCTCTGCGTCCTCCAGGCTGGTTGCCTCAGTGGCATTGTGGAGTGAGAGTGAACTCTAATCAAAAGCTAGTTGGTTTCATCAGTGCCATTCCAGCCAACATCCGCATCTACGACATGTAAGCAGTCATAAGTGTATCTAATGTAAATAATGGTTTAAATGCAATAAATTCAATTGACCCATAACTGCTCTTTGATCCCCCCAGAGAGAAGAAGATGGTGGAGATTAACTTTCTGTGTGTGCATAAGAAACTTCGCTCGAAACGAGTGGCTCCGGTACTCATCAGGGAGATCACAAGACGGGTCAATCTGGAGGGCATCTTTCAGGCGGTGTACACCGCAGGTGTGGTGCTGCCCAAACCTGTGGGCACCTGCAGGTAAGACACTGGCAGGGCCTAAAGTATTCCGGCCGGGGGCCGGATTTCCGGCTTGAGGGCAGGTCCGGCCTCCGGCACAGGCAAAATTTACTAATCAGGCTGCAAATTACAGTCGGAGGCACTTTCGGCGCGGACGCGCTTGGAAAAAACGAGTGCGCCGCTTCCATTATGAGCGCGCATACCGTGCGGCTACATTTGAAACTGGGAACTTGAATGCGGTTTAATATTTTCGAGTCAATTGATTTCACCTACCAATCATATGAGAGGAGCGCAGCTCTAACTAACGTCACAAGCCTATCAGAAGCAGAGCAGGGCGGGTCCTGGCAACAGTGTGATTGAGATCCATACCTCACGTTAGCGTCGTCGGTGAAAGCATGGAGCGCAGAACTCCAGAAACAACATCAGACCTGACTTTAATGTCATCATGGATGAAAAGAAAGAAAGGAGATGTGAGTTGGTTGATTTTGTAAATTAGCTCAGGTCAGCATAATCATATTTTCTGTCTACACCTTTTGATGTTAGCCTTATGTTGACTGAGCTAACATTAACATACACTGCTGCTAGGTAACTTCAGACTGTTAGTTAAATATTTAATGTAGAACATTCTGTGTAGCTTACTTAAAAAAAACATTATGTGTAGGCCTACCATGAAAACGAGTCCACTTTAAACCGCTTCATTTTCTGTCAGCAATGTATGACAAGTAAAGTTAGTGCTGTCAACGTTAACATATGCGATTTCTTTTTTTTTTGTCCAGCTTTAATGTTTTAAAATATTTAACACAATTAACGCTGCATCCGTTCTTTGTCATTCTTTAGCTAGGGTTATGATCACGCTCTTATTAGTTATTAGTTTGTCCACCATATGCTTTAAACCATTAATGTGCGACAAGACAAAAGGGAACACACTTCAGTAAATGTCCTCCTCACACACACACACACACTAGGCACAAAAAGTCGCGAACCAGTATCGAATTCTCTTTCGCGCTTGAACGAACAATAACACACACATTTATACCAAAATGTCCGTTTTGTCGAGTATCCTCACAAGAATCAATCATTATTAACCTTAAATGAGTTAAATAAAATCTTAAATGGATGTAAAGAGTAGTGAGAGAATAAGACGCGTGAGATCCTGTCACCAGCTGTCAGTAAAGTTAACCGAAGAACAAAGGGAAAAGAGAAAACTACTAACTACTCTTTGACTAAAGAACGCTTGTAGCTTTAATAAGGATTAATCTAATTTAATTAATAATTTATGCAGTGCGGACTATTTTATAACCCTAAAATTGTGGGGGAAAGAATTTTCATCGAGACAGCATTAGCTATATTAATATCAGTGATACTGGCCTTCATTAATAAAAAGATGCCATAAATGGTTCCATTTGAAGATAAGTCAGTCTGTGCAGTCCACTGCTGTAAATGTAACTAATTTTAGTTGCCATTTTTTTTAAACCCCTGTTTTGTACTAATTGCCTTGCTTATTTGTGTGGTAGATACTGGCACCGGTCTTTGAACCCACGAAAGCTGATTGAGGTGAAGTTCTCTCATCTGAGTCGGAACATGACTATGCAACGCACAATGAAGCTCTACCGACTGCCAGAGGTGTGTGCCATCTTCTTTCCTGGGTGATGTCTGGGAGGTTTCCTCTTTTCCATTTTCTCTTATTGCGTGTTTCTCTCCTGTAGGCTCCTAAGACTTCAGGCCTGAAGCCGATGACTGTAAAGGACGTCCCAGCGGTTCACCGCCTGCTGAATGAGTACCTGAGTCAGTTCAACCTGGTTCCTGTCATGAGCCCTGAGGAGGTCCAACACTGGCTGCTTCCTCAGGAGAACATCATCGACACCTATATAGTGGAGGTATTACACTCACTGGACACCAATAATTCATGCCATGTATAATCCTAGAGGTATCTCTCATGAAAGTATTTCTAACATACAAAAATAAGAGTGGGTAATCAGCGTATTTCTAAGTAATATATTTGGCATGTGAACAGCTGTTATATCAACTGTGTTGTAGAGTTCAGATGGGAAGGTGACTGACATCCTGAGTTTCTACACTCTGCCGTCCACCATCATGAACCATCCTGTGCATCGCAGTCTGAAGGCAGCGTACTCTTTCTATAATGTACACACCACCACCACCCTGCTGGACCTGATGGGAGACGCTCTCATCCTCGCCAAGTCGGTCAGTCACTGAAAGTGTGTGTGTGTGTGTGTGAAAGAGAAAGAGTTAAGGCTGCAACTAACGATTATTTTGAAAATCGATTAATCTGTCGATTGTGTTTTCAATTAATCCAATTAAAACTCACATATTTTATTTCCCAAAAAGAGTTATTACATCCTGCCCGATGTTGTCCTCCAAACAGTGTGCAAACTGAAGGTTATGAAAACAAATGTAGAGCGTATCTACGCATGGCTGTGTTATACATTATAAAACTTGGTGGATGTTTTCCCTGAACAGGTGTAATTAATCGATAATCTATTTCTTTTGATTATATTCTCTATTGATTTTATCATTTAGTTGTTTCAGCCTTACTTTAAGTCTACCTATCTATAGTTTTGGTGCAAATTTCTCACCAAAAAAAACAAAAACATTCATAAATGAAATGCAAACCTGTGTTTAAGAAGAACATATGCAGTAGTATGAAATGTATCATTTGCAGGCACTACTGGAGCATTAAACTATCAGCAGATTTATTCAAGCTTTTCTCGTGTCATTCCCCCTGCAGAAAGGATTTGATGTCTTTAATGCACTGGACCTAATGGAGAACAAGACGTTTTTGGAGAAGCTCAAGTTTGGCATTGGAGATGGAAACCTGCAGTATTACCTCTACAATTGGAAATGTCCCAGCATGGGCTCAGAAAAGGTACAAGTTTTCAGATGTCAGTCCAGAGTTTTTCTCAATAATTTTTTTTTTTTTTTTTTAAATCAGAATCAAGCTGAAGTTACATGAATTGGCCACTAGGTTGCCATAGTACTTCACAGTCTGTCTCCCAAACACCTAGATGTCACTTTCTATGGTTTTTAGGGCTGCCCCCAAATAGTCGACTAAATATTAGTCGATATGAGGAGGGCTTGGTCGAATACATTTTCATTAGTCGGTTAGTCGCAAAAAAAAAATCACGTGAAAAAATTACGCAATCAGGGGCTGCGCAGTCAGTGTATGACATGACATCAAAGACGGAAACTGACGGAAAATATCGCGACCAGCATTTATATAGGCCTACAAGCTGCTGTCTTAGACCCACGTTTTAAGAGCTTGTCATTCTTTGACCAACACGAACGAGAAGATGCGTACTCCACATTGTCGGATCTGACAGAAAGCTGCGCCAGAAAGTGATCATGACAGCATTAGCCCTGCAGAGGAGGGTGAGCCCGAACCGAAAAAGGAAAAGCAGGCCGAGATATCCATGCTGATGGCCATTGATGAGGAGGAGCATGCAGAAGAGAAGGATGAACTAAAAATGTACTTGGCAGATAAAACAAAGGTTGATTCGGGACCATTGGCATGGTGGCAAAAAAAATTAACATCGATATCCAAAGCTCGCTAAAGCAGCTAAACGCCTCCACTGTATCCCTTCCACATCCACTCCATCAGAGCGCATCTTTTCAAAGGCCGGCTTCATTGTGAACAAGTCGAGAAGCTCCCTTCTTCCCAACAATGACAAGCTGGTGTTCCTCTCACATAATATGAAAAAAAATAAAATCGAATTGAAAGCTAGGTAAGAATGCTTAATTTCCTTTTTGTAGTGTTTCTGTTTGCTATCCGTTAGGCTATATAAAAAACGGGTATTTTTATAACGGGTATGCTAGCTATACAAATAAATAAATATTATTTTTATTTATTCGTTTTTATATAATGCAGAAGTTGTTTTTTATTCTGTAAGAAAAATTAGTCTGATGTTTGCAATTTGTTGTCTCATCCGTCGTCTTAATGGCAGTTTGCGGCATTGCTCTGATATTTTTTGATTTGTATTAGTGTTCTTTAAATTAGCCTATTTGTTCCACATTTTGTCTTAAATATAGCCTAGTTGTTCTAAACAATTTAATCAAATACTTAGGCTGTTGATTTGTTTGCCGCCTTCTTTTTTATTCTAAGTTTTGGCGATGTGCCGTGCATTTATTAAATTGTTCGTTTTTGTTAATTTTCCTTTTGAACAATATACAAATTATATTAATTTAATTTTCCACTGTATTTTTATACCAAACAGCGTTTTTGCTACAGTATTTATTTGGGGTTTTTTTTGCCTTGTTTTGTACTAGGCCTAAGTTACTAATAAGTTTATTTAATTTATTTTAAAGAACGAATTTTAGTTTATTTTATTCAAAACTGTTTTTTTTTTTTACATGTAACTGTTACAGTTTGTATTTTTGATAATATTCTTAAAATGCACAGGCAGTCTGATTGCTGTTTTTATGTCATAATTAGCCTATAACGTGTCGCAAGCGCTGTATACTTTAAACGCTTTACTATTCTGTTTTAAGCGCTTAATTTTCATTTTGAACGCGCTAATATCACGCTTTAGCATTTTCTGTCATATGGAAGTGTTAAACTTCAACTTGGACTATACCTTTCCTTGTATATACGCAAGTTTTTATATTAATATCATAAATGAACGATTATTCGACTAATCGCTAAAATGCAGGAGTGTTAGTCGACTAGGAATATCTTTAGTCGGGGGCAGCCCTAATGGTTTTCTTTTTAAAGCTGCAGTCCGTAGCTTTTTTTAGGTTAAAAATTATCCAAAATACATATTTGAGAAAATACATAACCAGCCAGTGTTCAAAACTATCTGCTTGTCTTAGCTCGATTCAAAGCGGTAAGCTTGTAATAATGGTTTTAACTCCAGTGGTGCTGGTGGATTTCCGCGGGAGATTTGAGCATGTCTTTGTGTCATTACGTCACATCTGTACACATAAAGAAGGAGTCTCGGCTAGTAAGCTATATTGCGTGTGAGGATGCTGGAGGTGGAGATTTATAGCCTTTTCTCACAGCACTTGATATAATTAAACTTGTCAATTTGATGGCGGATCCAAAGGTTCAAATGACAATCACCAGTGACAACTAGAGACTCACCCGCTGTAAAATGCTAAAGACTTCGTTCGGACTTCGCTTGTTTTACGTGATATAAGCGATTTTTAGATTTAATCAGCACGATTTATTGCAATGTCAGAACCAGAACAAAAGTGGATGTTTCTTACTAGTTCAGATGACATTTTCCGGTGAAAATTATGATGTTGGTCATACTTCCAAAAAGAATAATCTGTGATTCTGAATGCCAGTATCCACACCGGCGCGGTGACTGACAGCCTCACACTCTCCTCAAACATTGTGTTCATCCGCGCTGTGCCGTGTCGAAGTACAACTCACGTAAAGTTGATAATTATGCGAATGACTGCAATTGCAGATTTCGAACAGAGATGGAAGTGGAAAAACGCCAGACTGCAGCTTTAATGTTTTTTATATTTACACCCACATATCACACACACACACACACACACACACACTCACTGGCTATTAGGTACACTCTGCTAGTATCGGGTTCGACCCCTTTTTGCTTTCAGAACTGCCTCAATTCTTTGTGGCATAGGTTCAACAAGGTGCTTCAAGGTTTAACGTGTTGTGTTTTCAGAGATGAGTTACTGTTGCCTTTCTATGAGCTCAAACCAGTCCGGCCTTTCTCCTCTGCCCTCTGGCATCAACCAGGCATTTTCTCCCACAGAACTTGCCCCTCACTGGATATTTTCTCTTATTTGGACCATTCTCTGTAAACCCTAGGCCTAGAGATGGTTGAACTTGTGCGTGAAAATCCCAATATATCAGCAGTTTCTGAAATAGTCAGACCAGCCCGTCTGGCACCAACAACCATGCCATGTTCGAAGTCACTTAAAATCACCTTTCTTTCTCATTCTGATGCTCCTCAGCAGATCGTCTTGACCATGCCTACATTGCTAAATGAATTGAGTAGTTGAGTAGATATTTGCATTAATGAGCAGTTGAACAGTGGCCCGTGTGTGTACCTAACTATGCATGCATTTACATATGTGTGTGTGATGTGTAAAAATTCATAAAGATCAATACTGGGGTATATAATTATTATTAATTTTTTGTAGGTGGGTTTGGTTCTGCAGTGACCCATTTCACCATCCACAACCTCTGTCTCGCATGACAGCGAGGCTGATTTATGACATCACGCACTGACCACCTGACAGATGCTACCAGTGGACTTCCTGATTCAGGAAGGAGTATTCACCACCCATTTTTAAGTTTGAACTTTGACCTTTTGGACCTGCACTACTGCTGCCAGACTGAGAAGATTTTCTTCTATTTCCTCCTTTTTTTTCTCTCTCTCTCCCTCACTTATCATCTTATTCTCTCTCTGCGCATGGACCTAAAGCCATTGTAGTTACCATCATCAGAGATGAGGAACCTTAATCTGTTATGATTGTTAACAAAGGTGCGCACACACACACACACGCTGATATGTAATTACCATGCTCATGATGAACCCAGATGCATAAGTGTCACGCTAATCGCATCGGTAGATTCAACTCATTCAGTATAAAGTGATTTTACTCTCCCTATCCAATGGGAGGTGCTTTTTTGCTAAAAAAAAAAAACAGGATGAAAATGTTCATTTCCTCAGTGTTTTAGAAATGAACATGCAACAATCAAAGACACATGAAAGTTCCTAAAAAATAAAAAAACAGCCAATGAGATAATAAAAATCCCAAGTGGACATGACAAGGGCTGCTGTCAATGAGTTTCCTGTGGTCATTCTCTCCTTCGCACATCTTAAACAGTTTTTTGCCATGGAAGCCTCGTCTCTACTTTCTTTTGACAAACGTTGACCAACTGATGGATGCGGTACACAGTGAGTGAGATCTTTTTGTCTTGGTTTTGCTTTGTTATTGCTTTTAATCTGTTCTAATCAGTTTATTGCTTATTTGTCTCTAACTGCCTGTGATCCTCTTTCACGGTTTTGCCAACAGAGAAGCACCAGTGTAAATAAACAAGGAAGCAATGAGAAATACCATAATCGATCCACAATTTGACAGTGGTTGGGACTACATTGTACACCTGGCAGATAGCAGGGGGGGTCATCATAAATTAGCAATAATGATGGTGTTTTTGAGGAAACCGTTTTGATCGGAGGGGTGCGGGAACTGAGACGTGTTAAAAATGAAATGTGGTGATTTGTCGTGGATGATAGATTATGCCTGCTCATAAAGTTGTACAGCTCTAAAAGTATTGGAGAATATCCTGATCGTGGTGTAAGCATATGCCCCAACTCTTATTTATCACATGATCTGTCCCACACATGGAAGTAGATGGATGTATCAAAGCCGTACAACCTTATGAGTAATTGGCAGTATCTACGTAAAATTGTGGTTTTGAACGCAGTATGTGTAATTTGAGGAAGCGGGTTGGGGAAAATACAATGGAAGCAACTGAAAACGGGTCTTTAGGTTTTTATGATGATGGAGTGAAAGATATCAACGTGTATTATTATAAAAAAAATTTTTTTTTGTGCTAAATAAAAAGTAGCAGCTGCTGTGAACGGTTGGTTTGTGGTTTGTTATTTCTGAGTTCGTGGCCTGTGATCGATTGATCTCACATGTTTTCACTCATGGTAGATAACATTATTTCTGCATTCTATAAATGCTGTTATTTCCTATACACATGTGTTTTTAGTTCTTTGTGTAGGAAATTTTAAGTCTAGCCATGTCCAAGATCAGTCAAAACCTCAGTAGGGTCGATGAGATGCGTTGTTCTGTTAATCCTCATGATTTAAGCATTCAGCAGGTAAATGTTAGATATTGCAGCTTTATATTGCAGATGTGCCTGTTATACACCCTAGAGCCAGACTAGTAGAAACTGCCTGATTTATTTCAATCCTTCATGAACATGACGATGTGTAACTCTCCAACCACCCTTTACTGAGGCAGTGAACTGTGAGAATAACATGGTATGCAACCTTTAGGCATACTGCTGAGTGCTGACTGAAATGTTGCTTTAGTACCACAATAACCAATCAGTAAAGTACAGTAACATGTACTTTTAGGTTATCTGAAATGACTAAGGTCTCTGGACAAGGGTGTGCATTTATTTCTTTTTTTTTTCTTTTTTTTTTTGCATGCCTGTGACAGTATTAATATAAAATCACTTTACATCTTACCAAAATATCTTACTTGCTATCTAGCCGTTGATCTCTAGTTTAGTATAATAGAAGTGTCATTGTGTAGGTTGTGAATGAGAGTGTAGAAAGAGGGGTTTTGCACTGTTCTACAGATTCAGACCTAGAGCAGGAAGTGGTTATGCTTTAAATGTTAGCGTGGTCTCAGCTGAATCTCACTAATAGAGGACTGCATGACAGACTGAGACACATTAAGACAAGAAATTAGATGTGCACATATTTAGATCTGACACTAAAATATTGTTAAAGGGGTGGTTGATCATGATTTCACTTTTGTTTTACTTCAGTTAGTGTATAATGTTCCTGTTTGAGCATAAACCACATCTGCAAAGTTACGACGCTCAAAGTTCAAAGCAAAGGGAGATATTTTCTTTTAAAGAAATTGCTTTTTAAGGACTACAACTGGTAGGGACTACACGACATTCCTCCCGGGTTAGTGACATCACCAACCCTAAAATTTACAACCCCGCCCCCTGGAACGAGATTTATAGATTATCATGACAGAATATGCTAATCAATGACTAGAAGATAACACCACATAAGCTACATAAATTCATCAACTAACCATTCAGAAATGTTGTCACTTCTTCTTGAGTCCATCTTTGTCCGACTCCGGTTTGACTTTGAACATGAATTTTCAGGCCACAAGCTGTTGAAGCTCCGCCCCCTGTGCGGGAGCAGCAGCTCTTTTGCATTTAAAGGGACATGTACAAAAACGGTGCGTTTTTGATCACCTTCAAAAAGTGAAAATTTTAACATGCTACATAAAAATTTCTGTGGGGTATTTTGAGCTAAAACTTCTCATACACACTCTGGGGACATTAGAGACTTATTTGTCATCTTGTGAAAAGGGCATTATACCACCCCTTTAAAGGGTTAGTTCAGCCAAAAATGAAAATTAAGTCATTAATTACTCACCCCCATGCTGTACCAACCCAGTAAGACCTTCGTTCATCTTCGGAACACAAATGAAGATATTTTTGATTAAATCTGAGAGGTGGATCACTGCTACATAGGCTGCCTAAGGGAATGAAACTTGACGGCCCAGAAAGTCATTAAAGAAAATGTTTGAATATTCCATGTGCCTACAGTGGCTCAACTATAAGTTTATCAAGCGACGAGACTACTTTTTGTGCGAAAAAACCCCCATAAATAACGACTTTATTCGACTATTCCATTACTTCCTTGTGGGCCTTGAGACGAGAGTTGAAGAGATTTCCACGACGCATGCGCGAGAACTGAGAAGAGGACGTTCTTCTTCTACTACTTCTTGTTCAGTTCTTTTACATTCACATTAATAAAAAGGAGAACAACGACAATGAAGCAAACTTCTTCAAATGAGAAGTTCTTCTCATATTCTCAAGTACAAGTACAACTGATTAAAAGAAAATTATGAAAAAACAGTTATTTTAAAAAAATACATCAAATGTGAAGTGTCACGCAGGGAATTGTGGGAATGTCAATTTACGTTTTTTCACTGTAAATTATACAATGACTTGTTCTTTTTCACTTCCAAAAACGGTATTTTACAGTAAAATGTACCATTATATATATCACAGTTATTTACCGTATATAGTAAGGAAACTTTCCTATAACCAATTAACAGTTTTTCACTGTAGCATTTTTACAGTCTTTTACCGTTAAAATCACAATAATTTTTTACAGTGTAACTCAAGTCAGTTCAGTGTTGGTTCAGTTCAGTTCAATAACTGCGTAATTAATTATGAAACGAGTTCAATGGACCTATAAGGCAGCTCTACATAAAACAGTGGTGTCATCATCCAGCTCAGTTCAAGTTTTGTTCTCATCCAATAGTGTCAATGCAGTCAGCGGATAATATTACTGAATATTAAGCAATGGAAAAGCGACAGTAGCAAAGAACCCAAACTCCCATCAGGTGATAGAAATGGAGAGAAAAAAACCTGGGGGGCAGCTCTCCTCTGGCCGAATGTGTTGATTTGTGTCCCATGTGTCTCTTTTCGATACATGTTTAATGTGTTTTCTGTAGGTAACAGATCAAGTATAGTATCCAGGTTTTTCTGACTGTTTTCCTCTTCTTGTCTCTGCTGGCTAATGGTGTGTTTTCATACCTGTGTGAGTATCCACAAATGTCACACACAAACGAAACCATGTGGTACATTTTTACTTTTACACTATACATTATGTTTATAGTATCACTGATTATTTTATTTTTTGTTTTTACAGTTTATAGCAGTGGAACAGATCAGTTAATGGGATGTGGGACAGAAACAAACTTCTCAAATCCATGTGGATGAAATCCACATTGTCTACTATTGCACTCATAATATTCTGTTTTCTTACTTCAGTGCAAATAAATGAACGATGAAAGACCAGAGGTGTCATGCTGATTGATCATGTGTCCCTGACAGTTTAAAGTCACAATGAAATCTAAATTGACGAATCTTATTTTTAATGAAATATTGCAGTATTTATTATAAATGATCTATCTGTGCACATCATTTTTTTTTAAATTCATGTGCTCTTACAATCTTTAATCAGAATAACTTCCCCTTGTCCTCGTATCGACATCTCTTCTCTTCTCCGATGACATACTGGCGTGAGGGCGGGACAATCTTTTTGAACATTTCTATCTTTTGAACATTTGTTCTTGTTCGAGAAGCCGTTTCATTCATATATATATATATATATAGAAATAATCAAAATAGGTTAGAAAAGACTACAATTTCCATTTTTTAATTACTTAAACGGACCATTTACACCTGCTATTAACGTCCATCTCAGAGGATCCAAACATTACACTTTTTTTCCCCTTAAGAATCATTTGAGTGGAGACTTCAAAGTATTCTTAATATTACTTGAGCATTGATTAATTTTGGTTAAGTATTGATTTTTATATTTTATTGTAATTGCCCAGTCTTTATAATTACTATAGTAGGTACGTAGTATGTAAAGGTAGAATTAATGTAAAATAATGTGTGAATTATATTAATATTAATAATTTTTCAGCAATAGGCACTGTGGATTTGTATAAATCTCATACAAAAAAAGTAAAATGCCATATTTAATTGTTTTATTTTACTATTTCTTTAGAATATCTTAGATTTATAAATGTAGGCTAGGTTTCAAAACGGCTTTAATTTGTGGCAAATAAATAGGGGAAATGTTATCAGTTTATAATATAGTCATAAGTTTAAGTTTTGAGTTTAAAATACAGTACAAAAACATACTTTTAAAGTAAAAAAGTGTTACAAAACACCCTAGTTTCCGTTATACTGGTTACTCAAAGGTTATGATGGTTAACTGTTGTGCTGACACTGTTTGCAGGAATCTTGCAAAAGAGTATCATTTGAGTTTAGAAGGATCAGTCTTATTGGCCAATGTTATAAATGTCTTGTGATGCTTCAAAGTGTTGCTGAATCAGCATAAGTGTTTCTAAAATCCCTCATTTCCTGCACTAAAGAACCATTGTAGATATTGTGTTACTTGGTGCTTCAAAAAATACCTCAAACAGGAATTAATATTGCATAATTATGGACAGAAAAAGAAAGTTCCAGATTGTTTGCCAATTTATTCTCTTCCATTTTACCCTAGTATGAAGTAAGTGGTGGCAAACTAGTATTTTCTTATCTTGCTAATGTTGCTATTCACAGCTAGCCGAATATTAGAACAACACAGTCATTGATATTGATAAACTGATGTTATATCTGACAATGTAAAAAGGTTAGAGAAATAAATACTGATAAATAAAAACTATAACCCTATGGGTTTGTATATCCCAAACACCTAATAACCTTCTGACAGGAAATGATGAAAGCAGCTGAACCCCTTAAATACCAAGTCAGAGCAGTTCTCTATTTGAAAATCAGCAGTAGGCTCAAAATGCCTGAAAATATTTACATAAATACTTTTCAAAATCACAATTCAAGATCAGCTGAGAAAGATCAACGTAAGTGCTTTTTTCACACCCTAATTTATATTTTATATAATCTGGGTAAGTTTGAAATGTGCCTAGAAAATCAGATGTGAATAATAAATATGTTTCAGCAATTTCACAGAATTAATATATTGGTATTGTTTATATTTGTAAATTTCCATCAGTGTTATGACGTTAACATTAAAAGTGTTATGTTATTTGATTGATTTTCTTTCTCTTCATGTTTAACACAACATCATTCACGTTTTAAATCTGAGAAGTCATAAAACCTTGTGTTGCTTTCAACTCCATAATTCTTGTCCTTTTTACAAAAAGAATTACAGAATAAAATATCTTGTAATATAATTATAGTTAGGCTATACACTTTTTTTTGTTCTTTCTAATGATGTGAATTGAATATTGTTTTCCAATTATTTTTAAAAATGCCATTCCTTTGCTAAAATGCATTCTCTGCAAGCTTTATGAAGGAGTTGAAGCTGGAGTCGTGTGCAAGGATGATTATTTCAACGGGCTCATGACACGGCCCTGTGGGACCCCTTTTGGGAATGAGAGTTGACAGTGTTTGGTTGGCCAAAATAACCTGTGATCTGACTGACAGAAAATGCTTTAGAGAACTATTGATTTGTTTATTTACTTATTTCAAAGGCTATTAATTTCTCTACTAATAATGTATTTTCAGAGAAGGAGTGTGTCAACGATAAGAGAGATGGGGTCTGTGTGGTAGTTCTTCTCTCTGTTCTCCTCTTCCTGTCTCTGCTGGCAAATGCAGCTTTGGCTTACCTGTGTGGGTATCCTCATGTGTCAGAGTATCAGTTGTGTTTGCACTGTGTATCAGTTTCTCAATACTATTTTATGCTTCACAGATTACACCAATGACACAAATCAGTTAATGGGATGTGAGCCAGTGACAAACAACTCAAACCTAGGTTTGTAAAACCACATTTTCTTATTCCATTATTTATCAAAGTATTTCATATCTAATTAATTTATCATTTAAATTAATTGATTGACTTTTTAAACATTTATTCTATACACTACACAACCGCAGAAGTTAACAAGCCATCACTCCCTTGTACTTATAAAGGTATGTCATATAACCACTATTCAACATATTTGGCATGTGTAAGGCCTTATAATCATTATGTGTGCTACTGCGTGTTTTCTCTGTGTATGTTCAAGTTAACAGCAATTTTTTATGTTTTGTATTATGTTTATTGGATGTGCATGTTTGTATGTTTCTTTAAATTGGACAATTATTAATTCTGCTGTTCAATGAGAATTTTTGCACACATAAATAAAAACAGAATAACCTGTCACTTCAGGTTTGCCAGAGAAGTGGGTCCAGGACAAGGGCAGATTCTATGTTTTCTCCAATGATACCATGGACTGGGACAGCAGCAGAGAACGCTGTCAGGATCTGGGTGGAGACCTGGTCATCATCAACAGCAGTGAGGAGCAGGTACATATAAAGATATTTTTGATTAAATCTGAGAGCTGGATCACTCCTCCATAGGCTTCTAAGGGATTGAAACTTGCCGGCCCAGAAAAGTTATGAAAGACATCGTTAAAATAGTCCAAGTGACTACAGTGGCTCAACCTTAAGTTTATCAAGCGACGAGAATACTTTTTGTGCGCAAAAAAACAAACAAAAATAACGACTTTATTCAACTATTCATTTCCTCCTCTGTGGGCCTCGAGATTTCACGTAGTGATATTGCGCAAAGCTTCTAGGTTGTACGTCACACGCATCACACACATGACCAGCGTCGGCCAATAGTAAGTCTACGTGTGACGTACAACACAGAAGCGTTGCGCAGTTTTACTAAGTAAAATTTCAGCCATATGTCTTTTTTAGGAATTTCTTGCTCAGCAAACAGTCAGTTCTAATGCATTGGTGCTCCACTGGATTGGTCTGACTGACCGCCATACTGAGGGGACGTGGCTATGGGTGGACAACACCCCCTTAAACAGCAACCTCTCGTAAGTACTGTTTTATTTCGAAATCTGATGTGCTTTAAATGGCCTCGGTTTGATGGTACAAGTTATTTAAAGGTCATATGGATTTTTTTTTTTTACATTTTTACACACTTATTTTGTCCTGTCAGATGGTGGATCTTCCCTCCTGACGATCACGATACACATGATCCCTTGGGTGAAGACTGTGCTGTATTAAATGGATATTTAAGAGGAGAAAAATGGGGAGATATTTCTTGCTTGAAAAAGGAAAGAAGCATTTGTGAGATTCCATGTTCTTGATCAATGCTAAAGCGTCTTTCATGACTTTTTAATATCACTGTTCATGTATATTTTATAGCCTATGGATTACACTGTAGAATCTGTGTAGCTCTTTATAAATAATACATTTGCGTTCTTTTTGTTGTTATTGTTATATGCACTGGCCAATTGCACATAATGTCATTGTCTTTAAAATATTATGCACTTTCTTTACAGCATGAATTAATAAATGAATGAATGTAAAGACATGAGTGAATATGTACAATGGAAAAAGCACTAACGCATGCAAGCTTATAATGTATTTGCCAAATATATAATTTGAATCTTTTTAAAGCTTCTATTTAACATCTTTTCTAGAGTCCAGTCTCCAGTTCTAAGATGTTTAGTGGGCCATTTAATACTCAAATATCTTTTGATATTTGGTTGGGGATGTCTTTTGCCCCCTGGTGGATTAACCAGTGCTCTTCAAGTAAAAGGACTCGCAAAAAATATACAGTAGTGGCCAAAAATGATGTCCAGAAGGGGATATTTGCACAATATTTCCTTTTAATGACACTTCAGATCGTTCGACTAAATTAAAATATGAGGAGTTTGTTATATTGGGAAAAAGAAAATACTAAACTTGGCTTTAGTATTAAAATGACAACATTTGGCAAGAAAGGCAAACTCCAGCATTTAATTAAATATGGGTTTTATTGTATCACACAAAAAAGGCATAGAAAAACAAAGATTGCAGGAAATAAAGCATACATTGACTGCAATGTGATCAGTTATTAATATTTAGTTTGTTCTCCCTTGTTTTTGAATACAGCAGCCATTCTCCTGACCTGGGCAGTGACTCACTAAACTTTGCTCATGTGTCATGCTTAAAGGGATAGTTTGCCAAAAATGAAAATTCTGTCTTTAATTATCCACCCTCATGTATTACATTCGTTCTTCTTCGGAACACAAATGAAGATCTTTTTTATGAAATCTGAGGCATTTCTGTCCCTCCATTGACAGCTAACTTTGACGCTTCAAAAAGAGATCATAAAACTACATATGAATTGAGCTGTTTGGTCCAAATTTTCAGAAGAGACTTGATCGCTTTATATGATGAACAGGTTAAATTTAGACTTGAACGAAAGTCTTACGGGTTTGTAACAAATGAGGGTGAGGAATTAATAACAATTTTCATTTTTGTGTGAACTATCCCTTTAATGTTCCCAAAGTTGAGCTTCGTTGGAAGACCAATAGCCTACATTGTTATTGATATTTCAAAATTAATATTTACTGGATTGAAACATATTATGCTTTTATTTTATATTTTGTTCATGATTTCATAGAAAACCAAGTCGAAAATATAGAGGAATGCCTATATGTTTATTGCAATCATCATTGTACACTGTAAACGGCAAACGTTGCCTTATATTTTACAATCAACTTTGATGTTTAAGTCATTTTAACTTAAATTACATTAAACTGGCTTAAATTGATGAGTTAAAGCAATTGTAAAAACATGTTGTCATAAATTATTGATCTTTTTTTTTTCTTTTTCTTTTTTTACAGTGTAAAGCATTCATAGTGTATTATGCCCATCACAATCAAATTAATCAAAAAATCATTTAATCAAGTATATTTTACTAAGGGCAAATGGCCCACACTAAGATATATAAGTGGGAACTATTGTTTAAAAAAAAAAAATCATTTATTTATCTTTTTGTGATCAGTTGTTCCCTTTCGTTGTCACTCCGAGTTCCGTCGGATGACGACGAATGGGGGTTTCGCTTAGAAAGCCAATCGACTTCGAGTACTACAAAACGAGCCAATGGCAAAGAAATGCCATGGGTCTGCGGAATTTGCATAGCGTAACTCCGCCTCACCTCGTGAGTATATAAGGAGAACGCTGGCAGCAAACCGGCATGTTTTCGCTTCGGAGCCAAGGTGATCCTTCGCTCCACAAGCCATTCCTGTACTGTCAGTTCTGCAGACGAGCGAGATTCTCTGGTGTTGGTGTGACGGCGATCTCCGGCGAGGACGCGCTTCCTGCTTTTCTGTCCGTGATTCGACAGCGAGTGTGTTTCTCCCCGGGCGCTTCAACACAGTCAGAGTTTCTTTTTCTCACAAAAGAGCTTGCACGCGGCACGTCTTTTTAAAGATGCCTCGCCCGTGCACTTCTGGTTGCGGTAGACTCGTTGATGACTCTGATGGGCACGAGTGGTGCATAGTGTGTTTGGGCGTTAATCACGCTAGAGCAGCACTCGTGGATGACTCATGTTCTCTCTGTGGGAACATGACCATCGCAGCATTACGATCAAGACTCGGTGATCTCGCAAGAGTGAGGGTCCCCTCATCCACACCCCGATCTACTGACTCTAGAAATAGAGCTAGTACTTCGGCTGGTGGCCAGGGTGATCTGAGGATGACGGTTTGGAACAAAGCGCCGACTATCAGTCCGTGCCCAGCCGCATCCTCTCCAGTGCTGCAACCCGTGAGTGTTCGGGGGATTCCGGCGGGATCATCTTCGGGTGTCCCGCGGCTTTCCTTTGACGCTCCAGAGGATGACGCGATGTCTATCGCAGCATCACAAGGTGGGTCTGAGTCTTCTGGAAGTGAAGACTCATCACAGCTGCCACCTTCGGGTGTGAATACAGTTGTGCTAGAGTCTGATCCAGAGATGACGGCCATGCTGTCTCGAGCCGCCGCGAGCATCGGGTTAGAGTGGAACCCTCCGCCCTGCCCCGAGCGCTCGCGGCTGGATGACTGGTATTTGGGTCAGGCTGCGGACCCCCGTCCGCGTCAGGCCCCGATACCTTTCTTCCCGGACGTGCATGATGAGATCTCGAAGTCCTGGAAGACTCCCATGTCTTCCCGTGACCGCTCGCTGATTTCATCCGCCTTTCCTCCCCTCGATGAGGCCGCTGCCCGTGGGTACACTGGGCTCCCCCCGGTTGAACGCTCTGTTGCGATGCAACTGTGTCCTCAGAGCGCTTCTTCTCGTGGTGAGCCTAAGCACCCATCCAAAGCCTGTATGTACTCGTCTGCGTTAGTGGCGAAGTCCTACAGAGCTGCGGGACAGGCAGCCGCCTCTTTGCATGCCATGGCCATTCTGCAGGTCTACCAGGCCCAGATGCTCAGGGACATGCACGAGGGCAGGACAGACCCGGGGCTCTTCAATGAGCTGCGCGCCGCCACCGACCTTGCTCTCCGAGCGACGAAGGTGACCGCACGCTCCCTGGGTTTGGTGATGTCCACAGCCGTGGTCCAGGAGAGACACCTCTGGCTTAATCTTGCTGATGTGGAGGATGCCGAGCGGTCCCGGCTGCTCGACACCCCCATATCGCAAGATGGCCTTTTCGGCGGTGCAGTCGAGGATTTTGCCCAACAGTTCTCGACTGCCCAGAAACAGACTGAGGCTATTAAGCACATTCTGCCCCGACGGCCCGCTGCTGCCTCCACTCAGCCGACCGGGCAGAATACTCAGTCTGTTTCCCGCCGAGGGCGCCCTCCTACGGCTCCCACCCCTCCCGCCCGGCCCAAGCAGCAGCCTTCACCCGGGCCCGGTCGCGGAGGAGGCCGTAGGAAGGCGCCCCAGCCCTCTCCAGTCCCGCCCCCCGCTAAATGCCGGGTCAAGCGGCGCTCCTGAGACGGGCTGCTCAGGGATGATGTACACTTCTCAGGAGGTGGTAGCAGGACCACTCCTTCCCCCGGTGGAGGGCCGGGGGAGAATCTTGAGAGAAGTGACACATTCATCCCTGAGCATACGGAGTTCTTGGACGACACGGTGCGCCGCCCCCGGGCCGTGCACCCCTCGTCCTCCTCTGTCCCAGAGCCGGATGACAGTGCGCGCCGTCCCCGGACCGTGCCGCTCTCATCCCCCTCTGTCGCCAGACCCCTGGCAGAGCAGACCCCCGTGGAACGTTCGTCCTTCCCTGGTCTGCTCTGTCAGGACGCGGTCTATGACTGTACCCCCACATCGGGCCGCTATGCCGTCCACGTCTGGGTCAGTCATACCGCCTCGCTGCCCCACCGACGGGAAGTCTGTGGTTCGCATGACCCCGCTGGTTCAGTCCTTGGGAGCCTGGCTAGAGCTTCCCAACCTGTCCCGCTGGGTCGCACGAACGATCAGGCTCGGCTACGCGATTCAGTTCGCGCGGTCTCCTCCCCGCTTCAGGGGAGTCCGCTCCACTTTGGTCGGTGGCAATGCCCCTATCATGAGAGCGGAGGTTGCTACCCTGCTGGCGAAGGGTGCGATCGAGACTGTCCCTCCAGCCGAAATGAAGACCGGCTTCTACAGCCCGTATTTCATTGTCCCGAAGAAAACCGGTGGGTTACGGCCAATCCTGGACCTGCGCGTTCTGAACCGCTCCCTTCACAGGCTGCCGTTCAAGATGCTCACCGTCAAACGCGTTTTCGAATGTGTGCGGCACCAGGATTGGTTTGCAGCGATCGACCTGAAGGACGCCTACTTTCATGTCTCCATTCTCCCTCGACACAGACCGTTCCTTCGGTTTGCTTTCGAGGGTCAGGCATATCAGTACGCAGTTCTCCCATTCGGGCTAGCCCTGTCCCCTCGCGTCTTTACGAAGGTCGTCGAGGCAGCCCTTGTTCCCCTCCGGGAACACGGGGTTCGCATTCTGAACTATCTCGACGACTGGCTGATTCTAGCTCACTCTCGAGATCAGCTTTGCGAACACAGGGATTTGGTACTCCGCCATGTAGCCCGTTTGGGCCTTCGGGTCAACTGGGAGAAGAGCAAACTTTGCCCCGTGCAGAGGATCTCTTTTCTCGGTATGGAGATCGACTCGGTCGCCATGTCCGCGCAGCTTACGAGCGAGCGCGCGCAGTCACTGCTGACTTGCCTGAGACAGTTCGAGGGCAAGAGTGCGGTTCCACTGAAACTTTTTCAGAGGCTCCTGGGGCATATGGCATCTGCAGCCGCGGCAACGCCGCTCGGATTGCTTCATATGAGACCGCTTCAGCTTTGGCTTCACGACCGAGTCCCGAGGTGGGCATGGCAACACGGCACGCTCCGAGTACCAGTTACTCCGACCTGCCGTCAGACCTTCACCCCGTGGGGGAACCTCAGCTTTCTACGGGCAGGAGTGCCTCTGGAACGAGCTTCCCGGCATGTTGTTGTAACGACAGATGCCTCCACCACGGGCTGGGGTGCCATGTGCAATGGACGTGCTGCCGCGGGCTCCTGGACAGGACCCCACCGCTTATGGCACATCAATTGCCTCGAGTTGCAGGCTGTACGTCTTGCTCTGCGCCGCTTCCGGGCCGTGCTCAAGAATCAACACGTACTAGTCCGAACAGACAATACCGCCACTGTAGCGTACATCAACCGTCAAGGTGGTCTGCGCTCCCGCCGTATGTCGCAACTCGCCCGCCACCTCCTCTTATGGAGTCAGAAGCATCTGAGGTCGCTTCGAGCCATTTACATCCCTGGAGCCCTGAACTGTGCAGCCGACGAGCTGTCACGGCTTCAGCCCCTCCCCGGAGATTGGCGACTCCATCCCCAGACGGTTCAGCTGATTTGGGACCAGTTCGGGGACGCACAGATAGATCTGTTTGCCTCTCACGACTCGACCCATTGCGCCCAGTATTATTCCCTGACCGAGGGCACGCTCGGCACGGATGCTCTGGCGCACAGCTGGCCGCGGGGCCGCAAATATGCGTTTCCCCCAGTGAGCCTTCTTGCGCAACTCCTGCGCAAGGTCAGGGAGGACGAGGAGCAGGTCACTCTGGTCGCGCCGTACTGGCCCACCCGGACCTGGTTCTCCGAACTTGTACTCCTCGCGACAGCACCTCCTTGGCCGATTCCTCTGAGGAAGGACCTCCTTTCTCAGGGACGGGGCACCCTATGGCACCCTCGTCCCGATCTTTGGAACCTCCACGTGTGGCTCCTGGACGGGACGAGGCAGGTTTGAGTACCCTGCCACCAGCGGTGGCGGCTACCATCACTTCCGCTAGAGCGTCGTCCACGAGACACCTCTACGCGTTGAAGTGGAACCTCTTCGTCAGCTGGTGCTCTTCTCGCCGAGAAGAGCCCCGGAGTTGTTCGATCAGTGTTGTGCTTTCCTTTCTTCAAGAAGGGTTGGAGCGAAGGCTGTCTCCCTCCACCCTTAAGGTCTATGTAGCCGCTATTGCCGCACAGCATGACCTTATAGAAGGTAAGTCTTTGGGGAAGCATGACCTGATCGTCAGGTTCCTGAGAGGAGCGAGGAGACTGAATCCTCCTCGCCCTCCTCTCGTACCCTCTTGGGACCTCGCAGTGGTCCTAACTGCCCTGCGTAGTGCTCCCTTTGAGCCTTTGCAGTCAGTCGAGCTAAACTTCCTATCTATGAAGACAGCGCTTCTGACTGCATTGGCCTCCGTTAAGAGGGTGGGGGACCTGCACGCATTCTCCGTTGACGAAGCGTGCCTAGAATTCGGGCCGGGCTATTCTCACGTGATCCTGAGACCCCGGCTTGGATATGTGCCCAAGGTTCCTACCACTCCCTTCCGGGACCAGGTGGTGAACCTGCAAGCGCTGCCCCCGGAGGAGGCAGACCCAGCCTTGGCACTGCTCTGTCCAGTACGTGCTCTTCGCATCTATGTAGACAGAACGCAGTGTTTCAGGACCTCAGACCAGCTCTTTGTCTGTTATGGTGGGAAGCTGAAGGGAAGGCTCTCTCCAAGCAAAGGTTGTCTCACTGGATAGTGGACGCCATTGCTTTGGCATACCAGCAGCAAGGTCGACCGTGCCCCCTTGGTGTGACTGCCCACTCCACCCGGAGTGTGGCATCCTCTTGGGCTCTAGCGCATGGCGCCTCGCTAACAGACATCTGCAGAGCTGCAGGCTGGGCGACACCTAACACATTCGCCAGATTCTACAATCTCCGAGTGGAGCCTGTGTCCTCTCATGTACTCGCTTCAACCAGCTAGTACCGGACTCGCTCAGGTGTCTTCGCTTGCTCGCCATTCCACTCTACGGACTGGATACGTGCGATATTCTCCTCAGGTGAGCTTCTCCGAAAGCCCTGAGTTCCTCCAGCACTCCTGACGTCGGCGCCAGTGTCTCTTGCCTGCGCGTCGGCTAGGTGCCTCACGTGTGCATGGTACCTCCCGGAGCTACCCCCACATGTGTATTCCCACTGTAAGCCTCTCTGAGCATGTGTCTTTCCCTTGGCAAGCCACCTTGCCACCCCTGGGGTTGAAATATTCCACCTGCGGCTGGATACCCCAGTGATTCCCCATATGCATCCCTCGGGTCATATGTGTATTTCTAAGTCCCCCCCTCTGGGTTGGCAGTAATTGCATACTTCCCTAAGACCTGGGATATGCTCCCCAGTGTACCTTGGTATTCCTGTGTTAAATAGGAGTCCTTCGTCCGTGCTAGTCTCACGACAGGGATCTCAGATTTACGCAGGGCACTGGAAGACAGCTGAGAAGGTGGCGTGATTAGACTGGTATCCCCATTCGTCGTCATCCGACGGAACTCGGAGTGACAACGAAAGGGAACGTCTCGGTTACGGATGTAACCCTCGTTCCCTGAGTAGGGAACGGAGACGTTCCGTCTTCCTGCCACTTTCCGCTGTACCGCGGGGATCGCCTGAACTCAGGTTGGCTCCTCAGCGAAGAAACATGCCGGTTTGCTGCCAGCGTTCTCCTTATATACTCACGAGGTGAGGCGGAGTTACGCTATGCAAATTCCGCAGACCCATGGCATTTCTTTGCCATTGGCTCGTTTTGTAGTACTCGAAGTCGATTGGCTTTCTAAGCGAAACCCCCATTCGTCGTCATCCGACGGAACGTCTCCGTTCCCTACTCAGGGAACGAGGGTTACATCCGTAACCGAGACGTTTTTATTTCAACCAATAAAAACACAACAGAGAAAACAGTGAAAACACAATTAGGTAAAGTCTGTTTCTAGTCCTCATTACAATAAGAATGCCAAGATCCAAAAGAACCAACAAAATTCCCTCATACTTACAGTAACCGTTATCTAAACAACTGATATGTTGGCAAGTAACCAAAGTCCAAAAAGTCCAAAGACTCAAAAGTTTCAAACCAAAGGTATTTATTGAAATAATAAACTCAGATAATCCAACACAGTGTAACAGCGTGTCTACACACAAACAATAGCTGACAATGAACAGACAACTTTAGTAGACAATGATGATGAACTAGAGTAACAGGTGTGATGATCAAATGAAATACCATGGTAAACTGATAAGAGCGGGAAACTTAAACAAAGGAAACAGGTGACTGATGATAAACAAACTCAAAGCCCATGAAAATGAAACCAAACTAACAAATGACTAAATATGTGACGTATTGTTGAATGTTTTTTGTTTTAATGGCATGTATGTCTAAAGGTCTGTGCTTGCTGCTGCTTTATCACCAACACGCCGTGTGCACTGTGTACAGCAAGAGGCCTACTGTTCAGTAAGAAAGGGATGAAAAAGAAACGCTTTAGCAAGTTTCTATCTAATGTAACATATTACATTAATATGGAATTAGAGTAAGATTCCAACAATGAGGGAAAACCATAAATGGCATGAAACACAAAAAGCGAGCGTTCAAGAAGCATTGACCACAGATGATCTTTTATTGTTTGAGATGATGCCCCCAACTACTAATAACCAAGTGACAGGAAATGATGGCAGGAAACATCACTACTAACCCCCAGCAAGAATACTTAACCAGATCCTCTCTTCAGTTCTCATTTCTTTACTTGCAGAAGATGTCAGAAGCTATTTATTCCAACACTATTCCGAGAGCCGTCTTAAGACCAGCTCATCAAGATAGAAGTAAGTGCTATTTCGCTACTTCATTTTCGCAAATTAATTGTTTCAACAGCTTCATTTCACTTTAACTTTTTATTGTATTGATTTATTATTATTTTTATTATTATTAATATATACACTGAACAAAATTATAAACGCAACACTTGTTTTTGTCTGTTGATAGAAAGTCTGTTGATAAGAGAGATGATTTGTTTATTTACTTATTTATTTCAAAGGCTATTAATTTCTCGACTAATAATGTATTTTCAGAGAAGGAGTGTGTCAACGATAAGAGAGATGGGGTCTGTGTGGTAGTTCTTCTCTCTGTTCTCCTCTTCCTGTCTCTGCTGGCAAATGCAGCTTTGGCTTACCTGTGTGGGTATCCTCATGTGTTACATGTACACATTGCATTGCAGTATGTATGTTAACTACATGCATTGCATATTATTATTATTATTATTATTATTATTATTATTATTATTAGTAGTAGTAGTAGTAGTATTTATTTTATTTTTTTTACATTTGCAACAATCCAGCTATATTTTCACATGATTAATTTCAAACGTGGGCAACACTTTACAATAAGGTTTCATTAGTTAATATTAGTTAACAACTTTAGTTAACATGAAGAATGAACAATACTTCTACAGCATTTAATGTTAATGGTCCTACATTTACTAATACATTATTAAAATCAAATGTTGTATTTGTTAACATTAGTTAATGCACTGAGAACTAACATGAATAAACAATGAACAGCTGTATTGGTCATTGTTGGTTCATGTTAGTTAATGCATTATCTAATGTTAACTAATGAAACCTTATTGTAAAGTGTTACCCAAAACATGTTCTTCACTGACACTATTATCTCCTTACTCACTTTGATAAACATTTATTTGTGGCAAAATTTTAATGAAATGGTACCACAAGTAAAGGACAGTGGTAATTTGTTTTCAAAGTAGAAAATATTATTTTCTGTATCTGGTCATAAATAGTTTTGTAATGGTTTTCTGTAGTTTCTTATAGACTACACAAAGTTTTATGAACCTATAAAATACCTTTTGTTATTTATTTAGTCTCTAAATTGTGGGGAAAAACTCTAATTTAGTCTCAAATCAATTGGTTTAAAGTCAAATATCAAGTGTGACTCAATCTTCTAACTCTCATGCATTTTTATACAACATATATTTCATAGAAGTTCAAAATAGTTTTTTTTTAGTTGTTCATATAACCCTAAATACTTACTACTGTAAATATATTGTAATACTAAAGCTGTAATGTTACAGTATATGTGATCTTTTTTGTATTACAGATTACAGCAATGGCCCAGAACAGCTTTTGAGTTGTGAACCAGTAACACACTGCTCTTATTCAGGTAGACAAACTCCACATCCTCTCTGTTTAAATAAGACGGTAAGTTTATTCAGAATAAGATTTGTAATTTTCTTTGTTTTTATGTTAGATGTTGACGACGATGCCCAAATCAAACAGAGCTTTCACAAGGACATGGAAAACAGGTCCAAAGTACAGCACTGTCCAAAAAAAGGCAAATCAATTTATTACTTGTGTTCTTATGCATAAACACATTAGAAACATACATCAAATATTTTAGTAAACACTGGAATATTTTCAGACATGTAGAGACAGCTGCAGAATAAGTCAGAATAAAAAAATGTACACTCATGTTACACAGAACAGTTTTGTACCCCACACTATATCGAATATATAATTTAAAATTTAGTTTAGGGCACTGATATTGAACATTCAAAAACTGTCACGCAAGATTTCCCTGCGAAGTGGGTCCAGGACAAGGGCAGATTCTACGTTTTCTCCAATGATACCATGGACTGGGACAGCAGCAGGGAACGCTGTCAGGATCTGGGTGGAGACCTGGTCATCATCAACAGCAGTGAGGAACAGGTATAGATATATAACATGACATCATTAGAACATTTCATTTGAGGTGAAAGATGTACATTGAACTTAAATGAAACAAGCTGCAGATTAAAGAATCTCAATATGTCAGTCTTGACAACTAGGAATGTTTGGCAAGGTAATGAACAGAGTGGATTTATTTTGTCTTGGCTGAATAAATCTGCTACGCTGCTGCTGTTGGTTATTGCTGCTGAAGAGTAAGTACAGGACTTGCTACTGCCAATACATACACGACACTTGCTGTGAGCGAGTAAGACACGCTGCTGCTGTACAATATAGCGTACATGAATTACCTATAGCAGAATTATACAGGTGGAGCTGGGGAAGGTGGAGGGCTTCTGAAAGTGCACTGCACTGCTAAGGCAAATGCTACCCAAGTATTTGAAGGTTGAGCATGTGAGATCATTGGCTACTGATACAGGAGTAACCAATCAGCTGTGCCCTATAGATAATGATGTGAGAATGACGCAGACTATAGTTATGGAGCTATTAGCCTGCGCCGTATAGAGTTTCATGACAGAACTTTCTATTGTAGAAACGTCTTGCAAACCAAATACGCATTATTGGCGCACAAACATTATATTGGATTGGTCTGACTGATAGCCGCAATGAAGGTGTTTGGCTGTGGGTGGACGACACCGAGGATCATCTTAGGCAAGTATTATTTTAAATGTCTGTGTTAATAAATGTATCTGATGTTTAAAATGTCCCTTTCAATTTGGAACCCGTTTGGATATATGATACATTTTTATGCAGTTTACACTCTAAATGATTTATTTATTGATTGATGATTTATTTATTTGTCAGTTTCTGGGCACTTCCCCCTGATGATCACAAATCAGCGGACAATCCTCTGGGGGAAGATTGTGTTGTAATGAATGGACGAACGACTGAGTCGAAGTGGGGAGATGTTTTGTGCTTGAGGAAGGAGAGAAGCATTTGTGAGATTCCATGTTCTTAATAAATATTTACTTAATAAAAGTTTCTATTTGTCATTTGAACATCATTAACAGGGGTAGTGAAATGTGCTTTCTGCAAGCCCCCTACAGACAATAAAAATAAAGATGATAAAGTAAAAAAAGGACATTTAAAATAATGTAAACAATATTATAAGGCAGAATAAAAGTAGTTATGAAGGGAAAAAAAGCTTGATCACTTTATGAAAATGAAAACTGACTTAAATAAACAGGAGAAGCCATACAAGTCCTATAGATAATGTAAAAAGATATTTACTTAATTTATAAGAAGATATAGTAAGTTTGATTTCACAGTTCAATGATTTAAATAAAGGACAGTTGAGTACCTATTAACTGATAATACTGAGTAATTACTGATGTTATTCAATAATAAAGCAAAGAATAACCCCCAGCATTTGCAAATACCTTTGGATGAAGTATGAATCTTGAAAGGTGAGTCTTGACTAAATGTGTCTGAACTGGAAAGGACAAATTAACTGGACAAATAAAACATTTCATATATATGACCAGTGGTGATAGAGTATTTCAGATGCAATGCTGTTGGGCAACTAATGAGGCAGTTGTGCAAATATAATAGTAAAATGTCTACACTCAAAATAGCTCTTTGGCTGAACATGATTCAATAATGGACAATCGGTTCCACATGAGTGAAACAAGTAAAAACCCAATAGAATCAACCATGTACGTACATGGTTGATTCTATTGGGTTTTTACTTGTTATTAAATGTTACATGTTTTTATCTGGTTAATTTCACTGATTTTAATGTGTTATTTAATCCTACTTATTTTTTATTATTAATTTTCAAATTCACTACCCTTGTTTAAAACAAGCTAATTTTATTCAATTAAAAGTAATTAGAAATTTTTTTTTTAATATAAAATTGTGGCAACAGATTACAGGTAATATTATTAATTAAATTGAACACATTAGAATTGAGTAATAATTAATCAAAATAATTCCTTAAAAGTTAACCATTTTCAAACTGAGAGACTGATTGGTCGTCTGAGTAAAATGAGCCCGCCCCCTTGTCTCTATGACACTGTGATCCAGTTCAATACAAAATCCCTATGCATTTTAAACAAAAATATCTGATTAACAGACAGACGTCAAAGAAGAAGTAAGAAGTCTTTATTTTTATTGCCAACATTGAAGACACCTGATGTTAACAAGCAGAATCACTGAAGGAGAAAACCGTAATTTTGTGTTACCATTATGGAGATTAGTGTTTGTTTTAGTTGGGCTCTTGACCCCAAAAATCATTTAATGTAGATTTTGTTTGACTGCTGTACCTGAGTCAGCAATGACTTCTGAATCTCAGCAATGGTGACAAACTGATCACCTCTAATCACAAGTTCATTATGTATTCATGAAGCAATGCATGGTGGGAGCTGTGAATGTCTTTTGATTGGTGCACCCAGAAAAACTGCAACATGCTTTATAATTGTCACTGTTGATGAGATTCACAGGCTGATTCTTGAAAACTTTGAGTAAATTCAATTCAAAACAGTTTTAATCTTATGAACACAATTAATCTGAAATTACTTATACAATTTAAGTACAACCAATTTACAAAATATAAGTACACTCAACTTAAAAAATATATCTGGATTTAGATCAATTTATTTCGTGCAACCCCTTGACATAATAAAATTAAGTAAATTCAACATAAAATTTTTTTCAGTGTGTACATCTAACTAGAATCAATGGTGTTCCTTTAACTTGAATGAATTGCTTAAGTTTAACTTAAATAAATGGTTTTCATTTCAATTGAATTATTCAAATATTCCAACAATTGATACTAAAATGCCTTCAGGGTGTAAGTGGTTAAATAAAGTTTTTTGTTGTTGTTGAGTGTACTAGCTGATAGTGACAAAGACATTTTCTTATCTACATTTTATCATTATTTAGAAACATTAACACACGAGTAAGCTGATTTTTTATATTCTCTTTTTTATATTGACTATATAGATAGGCTTATACATAATTATGTATACGCACAGACAAGACAGAGAAAACTATTTCTATAGACAAAAGCTACCAGCATGATAACCCATAATGTTAACAGGAAATGACAGTGGGTTGGCATGAGTGTCTTCATTGACAGCCTGATGTCACTTCACCACCTCTCTTGCTGCACAGTGCACACTTCTCTGCTTGACACAACAATGCCCAAACATGATATGTCAGATCATATTTATGACAACACTAGATGGATGAAAAAGAATTCACTTGGAAGTAAGTACTTGATTCTTTTTCTCCTTGTGGTTGTGGTTCTAAATTTAGGTTAAAGTATTATAACGTTTCATCCGAGTTTTCAAACAATTTTAAAACAAATTAGAGTTTGCAAAATGTATTATATGAGGTAGCCTATAACCAAACCATAGCAACAGTTTTATCGATCTGTGTCAGTAGCTTAAACAGTTACTTGAAATGCAAATGCTATTTTTAGACATGCAGGCTATACTATCTTTGGACAACTCTCTGTTGGTGCAAAGGTGTAATCTACTGAATTAAAATTATTTCTAAAGATTTTTCCTCAGTATTCTACACTTTTAAAATGTATTTTATTTTGTAGGTAGGAAATCTACCAAAGAGAAGAAATGTAGACCTATCTTTGCCGTTATTGCTGTTTTCCTCCTCCTGTCTCTGCTTGTAAATGGGGTGCTGGCATATTTGTGTAAGTATCCTCATATTTTACAGGAACTATTATGTTGCATATACAGTATCAGAGGTATATATTACATTTAGCTACATACATTTTTTTATTTCACTGTTCTTACTTTTGCAGATTTCAATAAAGACAAAAATATGTTGTTGCATTGTGAGCCAGTAACAAACTGCTCAATTTCAGGTAAATCATTCATCTGTATGTGTTCAAATGTTATATGATATTCTACTGACAATTTCCTAAAGTCTTAGGAACATGACCAATATTGGGCCCTATCATACACCAGGCGCTATGCAGCGGCAATCGCGACGCAAGTGTCTATTGCTAGTTTCAGCCCGACGCAGTTATCATTTTCACGTCATGTGCCGCGTTGTTTAAAGCTACACTGTGTAATTTTTTAAGTCGATTCTTAGCAAAAAAAAACACTTTGTTCTTTCAAAATTATATGTGCTCATTAATGTGTAATTACTTCTACCAACTAATCAAGTATTCTCGTAAGCGTAGAATCTGCCATTCAGAATACATATGAGCGAATCGCTCGAATGGCGGATAAGACTAACCGTGTTGAGCTATACAAGTTTTCGGTTGATAAATACATCCAAACAGTTGCTCAACTGTCTAATAAAACACAATATATTAAAGCAGAAATTGAGGGTTACGCGGATATATTACGTCATTGACAGGCGATGCAATGACACAGGATGTTACACTGGGTAAAATAGCTGATTTCTCTGGATTTAAACAAAAATATTACATATTGTGCTTTTAAAAACAGGCTGAAATATTTGTTGAGTGTGGTCAATTTTGATTTCATAGTGACTTTAAGTAATCTTTGATTTTCTTCATTCCTCACATCCCTATTCAGAAAACGAACAAGGTAGTCCAGGGTGCACGTATGAGGAATGGAGGTCACTTGATTACTGCCCAGGTAAAACTATGTCTTGTTTTTCAACATACACAAGAGCTGGAGGATTATCTTCAAAATCTGCAAATAATTACCTGAAGCGCCTAAAGTAATCAGTCTTTTACTTCTTTTTTTTATCAGTAAAATAACAGTCTAGAATGCTCTGTGCTTCTGTACACATTCTGTCTGAGTCTTCTTGCCATGTCTATTCTTGTGTTTTTAACAATGAGTCATTCCAAAATATTTTAGAACCCCATTTAAAGTATGTAAAGGTGCAGTTCAGCAGGGTTGCCGCTTTTTTCCAACCTACAAATGTGCTTCTTGCTAAACCACAGACTTGAAACAGACGTACAATCTTGTTTCCTCTTTATATACAAAAAAACCCTGTCTCTGTAGATTTGCCAGAGCAGTGGTTAAAAGGCAACGGCAGCTTCTATGTTTTCTCCAACCACAACAAGACCTGGAGCTCCAGCAGAAAGCACTGCCAGGATCTGGGTGGTGATCTGGTCTTCATTAACAACACAGAGGAGAAGGTCTGAAACTAAAAATGTCTGTATTATCCCGACATTGTGCATGTTTTTTAAAAGAACTAATGTGAGAGAAGTGGGTCAGGTGTGAAACAGTTACAAAGTATTTGGTCACATAAAATATTGTTCTTCTAAAATATATTTTAATTGATAAAGCCATACACACGATTTGATTGAAAATGATGAATGAAACCAATGTTTTTAAAAGAGAAACAAATGTGAGAGAAGTGGGACCAGGTGTGAAAGCCCACATTGTGTTTTCACCCAAAAATGTGCAAAACAGTAATATTACTATAATAGATATTTCAGTTTGTAAAGCCATACATCATTTTTTTTTACGATAAAGCCAAGAATAAATAGAATATGATGTGTTTGTTACGCAGGAATTTCTTGCTCGGAGACTATGTGTTACTGGTGAATCTGATCTCTACTGGGCTGGGAACAGTGATGGGAACTGGGCAGATCTGAATTCCAAACAACACAACTGTGCTGTACTCAAAGGAAATGCACAAGAAGACATTTCTTGCTTGAGAGAAGAGAGGAGCATTTGTGAGATCCCATGCCTTCAGTAGACCTAGGGGTGTAGGGGTTTCCTTTTTTTTTATGGTTGATTTTTTTTTTTTTTTTTTAACTGTGTCCTCATAATAGTCTTATTTGATATTCCTTTTTGTATACTTGTTTTCACATTTCCATACTATTCCATGTTTGATATGGGAATATACTTTAATGTCATATTTTTCATAGTTATTATTATTTATTTATTTTTTATGGACAACATCGTTTGTGTACACAATTTATTAGTGTCTAGTGAATAATTGCAGATTCCTCTTTATTGTCATTTTTTTTAAATTATAATTAACCATGTGCAAAGCCTATCTGATGGTAAATTCCTTAAATAATCTGTCTATTTTGAATAACTGTCTGTTATCCTAAGAAATCCTTCTTATGGTCTATCTTCCATAGCAATAATAGTATTTTTAAAATGTTCTTTTCTAGCTATACTTTATTACATATGCAGGCTAATCTCTCTTTTTAAATCTCATCCTCTGTTGTTAACAATAAACGTTTTTATATATCAATATGTTTGTTGTATAATTAACAATAATTTGTGTTAATTGCTGTAATTGTAACTTTTTATATTTTTATCTCAAGGGATTTAAATAGTTTTTACTATTAACAAAAATCATTATCAAGTGATTTTTCTGTAGTCAATACCAACTATAAAAAGCAACAATTTTGCAAAATAATGCCAAATGAAAATACATGTGAGGTATCATATGGTTGAAAACATACACCACTAATAAGCAGCTGACTGGAAATTTTGCATGCACGGTTAATTGGTCGATATATGGTCGAATAAAGCCCCCAGAAACCTGCCTTTCTTTAGAGTATTTTGTCACGAGACCTGCGTGCTTCAGTTCTCTCTTCACGGGATTAAATATCTCTCTTCAGACAAAAGAGCCTGACAATGTATATTTCAATTATTTATTAGACTCTAAACTGATGCCAGAGGAAGAAGATAAGAGTAAGTGCTTGTCCTTAACTTATAATTACTATTATAGAATAATGACTTATACTGTAACGTAATCTTCGCCAAACATAAAAGATGCTCAAGCCATTACTTTAATCAAGTTGTCAGTATTAATGTAAAGATATTTCTTCTTTTCTCCTGCATTTGTTTATCTTTAAATCTCCTTCAATGATACGTATAGCCACATTTAAGTTCTGGCTGAAACTACTTGTGCTTTCTCACACTAAACACTGTATATTAGGGTAAAAGCCCGGTCATCTGAATGAAAATTACCTTTTTATATGTAGGCCTACCTTTATATATTTAGCAGATGCTTTTATCCACATACTGCTACTAACAAATGAGAATAAGATCCTCCACAGATTAAATAAATTATCTTAAGGAGGCAGTATGACAAATGCTAAAATCCAAAATGGTTCAGCATATTATATATATTATTACATGCATATTTGTGTAATTATGTGGGTTCAGTTATGATTAGGCTACTGTATATACGTTTTATTTCAGATAATATGTATCTTAGACATCTAAAGGATCACGCACTTTATGAAAATGAACTGTTGGTCCAATGTTAACTTAACTAAAATTAAACCAAAAAAAAAAAAAAAATTGAAATAAAATAAATACATTTGAACTTAAAGGGATACTCCACTTTTTTTGGAAATAGGCTTATTTTACAACTCCCCCAGAGGTAAACTGTTGAGTTTTACCGTTTTTGAATCCATTCAGCCGATCTCCGGTTCTGGCGGTACCACTTATAGCATAGCTTAGCATAGATCATTGAAGTGGACAAGACCATTAGCATTTCTCAAAAAAAAAATGACCAAAGATTTTCGATATTTTTCCTATTTAAAACTTGACTCTTCTGTAGTTACATCGTGCACTAAGACCGACGGACTACAGAAGAGTCAAGTTTTAAATAGGAAAAATATCGAAAATCTTTGGTCATTTTTTTTGAGAAATGCTAATGGTCTTGTCCACTTCAATGATGTATGCTAAGCTATGCTAAAAGTGGTACCGCCAGAACCGGAGATCGGCTGAATGGATTCAAAAACGGTAAAACTCAACAGTTTAACTCTGGGGGAGTTGTAAAATAAGCCTATTTCCAAAAAAAGTGGAGTATCCCTTTAAATCAATAAAAAAAAAAAAAACTTTAAAAAACATATATTTTAGCTAGTCGCCAAGGCAACAATTCTCACTTTCATCTGATGTACTAAAATAACTAATACTAAAACTGAAATAATAATTAGTATAAACAATTAATAACTATCTGGAGGTATTACAAAAATTATGTTAAAAAAAACATATCAAAATTATTAAAGGTTAAACTAAAATTAAAATTAAAACAGAAAATATAATAATAATAATTCAAAATATTGATAAATAACACTGCATGATCCAATGTCTCTTATGGCTTGTTATGCAAGTGCTTGTGGTTTATGCAGGGCACTGTTTAGAACAAATTCAGTTCAGTTCTCCTCTTCCTGTCTCTGCTGGCCAATGGGGTATTGGCATACCTGTGTAACTATAGACATTTCATTTCATTTCAGTTCTGGCTATTTGATTATTGACCTAAAATGTTGCACTGTAACTTTCCGTTTACTTTCTGTTTTTTGAAAAATCCCAGATTTTCAGTGTGGACTTATTTGGACTCCAATGTTTATATTAAATATAATTTGCATCTTTAATTTCATTTTCACTACACCACAATGATTCACAGATCTTTCCAAAAATGCGAATCAGCATTGTGAACCAAGAAGAAACTGCTTAAACTCATAAATCATCATTACTCTCTTCCAAAGCAGTGACATTGCTCTGATCACCAATTTTACCTCTTTCCACAGGCTCTCATTTAGATTCTCAACCAAAAATGAAAAATAACTCCAGGTATAGTAGAGATGTCATATGTTTTGAATATGCACCTGTCCATGCAGATTTAAAAGAGAAGTGGGTCCAGGACAAGGGCAAATTCTATGTTTTCTCCAATAATACCATGGACTGGAAAAGCAGCAGAGAACGCTGTCATGATCTGGGTGGAGAAATGGTCATCATCAACAATAAAGATCAACAGGTATAGATGGGGAGCAGCGTGACACTGATATAGAGAGAAAGAGATACTAATAGTCTACAATTTAAAAATGATTGGGTTTCATTACACAAGACAACAACAAACGTTTTTGTGTGTTGTATAATTTCTCTCTGAGAGAGTAAATGGCGACTACCATTGGATTGGTCTGAACGACAGGCATACAGAGGGAGTGTGGCTTTGGGTGGATAACACACCCCCCTTAAACGACATCCTCTTGGAAGTATAATTTTAAAAGCCTGTCAGGACCTTCAGCTCTGTAATTAGTGACAAATCACAAACCAATGAAGCTGTTTTTACACATGAAAAAGGTTCAATGCGGTTCTATGGTACTTGACTCAATTTTAAGAATGCTTAATGCAAAAAAGTCCTATAAGGACAAATGTCTTAAATGATAGCATAATCCTTCACATGTTTTTATCATTTGTAGTGTGGTGTGGGAACGGGGAATATATGTATGTGAAGAGGGAATTTATGTATGTTTGTACACCTGGAATGCAGGAGCGAGACACTTTGGGAACAGCTGGGTAGGGACCTCTGACCTCAGAGGTTATCTATTTTAGGTCTTAAGGGTCAGCTAGTGACAAATCGAAGCTAGCAGCAATGGGTCCTTTATCTGTGGAATGCGTAGCGGGAAGAAGCCCTGCTGAAATGAAGACATTTGAAGTCAGTATAAAGGCTGCCCAGTTCTTCCTGTCAGGGTCTCACTCACTTCACAGAGTAGCAACTGTGTGGCGACTTGGGCCTTCTTGCAAGAATAAATACTTTTTAAAAGACTATTTGATTCAAAGTGTCTCTTACGCAGTGATGATGGTTTAATAGAAAATTTTGCCACAACAATTTGATGTCAGAATAGTAGGATTCCTTGGAAGTGCCTTCTGGACCTGAGAGCGGACGGTGGTTGATCACCTGGACTGAGCAGTTCCAGCCCTACCTCGCAAACTTCAGAGAGAGGGACCGACCGCCATCAGGGCCAGGAGAACTCCACTGGAATTGAGAAAACGAACCCGGGAGGCAACAAAAGCATCACTGGTAAGTAGGGTTGGGTACCGAAATTCGGTGCCAATAGGGAACCGGTTCCGACGTAAACGGTAGTAACCAGACCGAATAAGAACGAAAATTTCGGTGCCTGATTTCGGTGCCTAACTTCATTAGGCACACACACACACGCAAGGTCTCTCGCTCTCTCCCTCTCCGCCGTGCGTGTGCTACACAGTTTGGAGCACAGTTTCTTCTGTCTCGCATGCGCGCTCTTTCTCGCAAGGTTTGGCTGCATTTCACGTGTAAAACTACATGTCAGAACGCCCTCTGGGTGTGCCGATAGTCTGAATCCCATATAGAATCAAGCCAATTAATTGGCTAATGGCGCGGGCGCCGCCTCGACGCACTGACGTCGTCATATTATGTTGGCGCGCGCGCGCCATCTGCTCCTCACTCCTCAGATTTCTCTGCCGAAAAAGAAAGCTGGTTGGCAGCGCGAGCAGCTTGGCAGCGTCCGGGCAGCGTCCCGTTCCCTATTGAGAGATATGTTACACCAGTAACCAGAGATGTTCTCTTTCATAGGTTCACTGCGCTGCGTAGCTAAGAAGCAGTGGATTTGTAGGCTGCTGTATCACGTGCCGTTTGAACTGACGCGCTACAGCGATCTGTCACATTTCAAAGAGCCAAAACGTTATTTATTGTGTGAATCTCGTAAAAATATTGACAGAATCTGACAGCTGTGGATTAGTTCCATATCAAAAGTAACCTTCTCTGTCTTGTCTGTCGGTGTCAGTGTCCTCTTTGTCCGCGATTTTTCTGTGTGAAAAGGGTCATTTGCGTGAGTCTCACGGTCAATGCGTGAGAGTTGGCAGCTCTGCAGTAATCTCTATTAATCTCTAGTATTATTACATTTTTTGATACAATATTGTTTCATTTGATATTATGTAAATATGAATTTTTATTTTATATTGGTTTTATTATTACCATATGTTACTTGTATTTATATTGTTTAA